GGGAGGAGGGGAGGGTTAGGTTGAATTTGGGAAATAAAATAATATATGGGAAAGCAAAGGATATAATAGATTCTTATAGAATCGTAATATATTGTAACCAGAATAGAAGTTCAAAAGTGGAAAGTAAATGTAATTTTAGTATTTTCATTATTTTTACAGTCATCATTATTTCTTATCGGTAGAAGGCAAGGTTAACTTAGACTTCTTTGTTTTGCTGTCTGTATAATATTCTTAAGTCAATTTTAAAAAAAGACCAAAACTGTTTCCTCAATCAATAGTCATATCAATGAACCCAAGCCCGCGGGAAAACACACAGCGAACGGGTTTAATGTTGCGGTGCTAAATGCAAAGTTGAATACAGTGGTACCTCTGGTTACGTACTTAATTCGTTCTGGAGGTCCATTATTAACCTGAAACTGTTCTTAACCTGAAGCACCACTTTAGCTAATGGGGCCTCCTGCTGCTGCTGCGCCGCCGGAGCACGATTTCTGTTCTCATCCTGAAGCAAAGTTCTTAACCTGAGGTACTATTTCTGGGTTAGCGGAGTCTGTAACCTGAAGCGTATGTAACCCGAAGCCTTTGTAACCCGAGGTACCACTGTAGGGCCGTGCAGTTATGGCAGAGGGTGAGTCTAGCCGGCGTTCCGATTTTCCACGCAGGCGAATCCACTGATTGGCTAGAAAAGATGATGTCACATGCTACGCAACCGAGTTGGCCATGACATCATGAACGTTCCGATGAAGCGAGCGCGAGAAGCAAGGCAAGCAAGCAGGCAAACATCGTCACAGGGAACACAGGGAAGGATAAGGAGGTTTGGGCAGTGCCCAAATTGTCTGTGGGGCAAACCGCCATTGGTTTGGTCTCGGGTCGCCGTTGCGACAGCGACATCGCTTGAAATTGCCTGGCTGGCTTCCGTTTTAAGGGTGAAGTTGTGCTGCCCCCTGGTGGCCCAGCAAGGACCTGCAATTGCACAGCTCCTGATTGGCTCTTCCAGAAGATGCGAAGACAAGAGGAGTAGCTGCTTGGTTGAATAGAAGCCTCCTGGAGGAAGAAGCTCAGAGTTCAGCGGTAGATAAAGGATGGACAAATCAGCCAATATCCATTTCTCTGTTTCTCATTTTCCCCCCTTCTCCACATTTCCTCAGTAATCTGTGATTTATTTTTATATCATCTATAAAAAAAAAACCTCACTAAGATTTGTCAGTGAGAACTTCTCCTAATACACACATTTTTATATGCAATTCTCCTTAATATTAGGGATGCGGGTGGCGCTGTGGGTTAAACCACAGAGCCTAGGACTTGCTGATCAGAAGGTCGGCAGTTCGAATGCCCGCAACGGGGTGAGCTCCCGTTGCTCGGTCCCTGCTCCTGCCAACCTAGCAGTTTGAAAGCATGTCAAAAGTGCAAGTAGAGAAATAGGTACCGCTCTGGTGGGAAGGTAAACGGCGTTTATGTGCGCTGCTCTGCTTCTGGTTCGCCAGAAGTGGCTTAGTCCTGCTGGCCACATGACCCGGAAGCTGTACGCCGGCTCCCTCGGCCAGTAAAGCGAGATGAGCTTCAACCCCAGAGTCAGCCACGACTGGACCTAATGGTCAGGAGTCCCTTTACCTTTACCTCCTTAATATTTATGCATCTTATTGTCAGGGACTGGCAGGACGCTGATGAGTGTGGGGCTGGAGTCTGACTCGGGGGAAAGAGGACTGTGGTTTGTGGGGACCAGGAGACAAGAGTCGGAGGCAGGGGGAGGTTCAGAAGACGAGGAGGAAGAGGCAGGCCAGGCAGGTGAAGGGCCAGGGGCTTCCCAACCTTTTCCTGCACCCCACTGTCTCCCAGAACCAGGAGAGGTCTGAAAAGGGGTGAGCAGAGGCAGTTGCCATGCAGGCATAGTCTCCGGCTGCATACGCAGAGTCCGTCGGGGAAAGGTACGTAAACTGGTGGACCTGGAGCGTGGCTGCCTGTTGCTGCAACTGCTCTATAGAGCGCACACCTGAGAATAGATCAAGGGGGTTGGACTAGATGACCCCTGAGGGCACATTACAACTCCACAATTCTGTGAAAATGCATCTTGCCCCTGCACACCAGAAGTACATCGGCTGTCATATTCATGCCGCGTCATAAGCTGGTTGTGAGATGCTGCCTCCCCAGGCCATAATAATCAGCTCCAGCACAGAGCCTCCTTGGCCTAATGAATTCCCTATTGCAGATCTTTGCGCTGCCAAATCCATTATCTGAATATTCATTGTGAAGCAATGAATATTCAGAATGGCCACGGAAAGCTTTTTTTTTTGCTCCGAAAGAGAATAAGAGGGATCTCTTTCTCTCTTTGCTCCCACCCGTGATGCTAGACTTATTAGGCCTCCTCTAATGGAGACAGGATTCTACCCAAGCGCTGTTAACAACCTAAAGATTTGGCTGTGCTGCTTAAATTAAAACTCAGGCACATCCAAGCTCTGCTTAAATTAAAATTCAGGTCATCCAACCTCTGCTTAAAGTGCTCCAAGGAAGGAGAGTCCAGCACCTTCTGGGGCAATCCATTACACTCTCAAGCAGCTCTCACCATCAGGAAGTTATTCCTGATGTTCAGTCGTAATTGCCTGCCTTGTAACGTGAATCCAAGCTCAATAGCAGCACCCAGATCATTTGCAAGCATAGCTCTCTTTAAGCCAAAGTCCCAGACGTCCTAGATGGGACCTTTACAAGCTCAGCAAATGGGGAATAAAATGGCAAATGCAATTTGTTGTGAACAAGTGTTATGTCAATTGGGTTTAAAGGTAAAGGTAAAGGGACCCCTGACCATTAGGTCCAGTCGTGGCCGACTCTGGGGTTGCGGCGCTCATCTCGCTTTACTGGCCGAGGGAGCCGGCGTACAGCTTCCGGGTCATGTGGCCAGCAGGACTAAGCCGCTTCTGGCGAAGCAGAGCAGTGCATGGAAACGCCGTTTACCTTCCCACCGGAGCGGTACCTATTTATCTACTTGCACTTTGAGGTGCTTTCGAACTGCTAGGTTGGCAGGAACAGGGACCGAGCAACGGGAGCTCACCCCGTTGCGGGGATTCAAAACGCCAACCTTCTGATCAGCAAGTCCTAGGCTCTGTGGTTTAACCCACAGCACCACCCGCGTCCCTTATATTGGGTTTAAAATTGGGTTTAAAAAAAGAAATAAATCATAATTTCACATATATGCTCCTGGAGTGTGAACTGGCGGTGACTGAGCGGGTTCATTGCTTGATGAAGATGTCGATTGGCTATGCAACAAATTCCATGCTGGGGACTGTTAGGAACTGAAAAGAAAACTGCCAATATCATCAAGGCTGCCATAAAAATCTAGGCTGTTGGCCACGTTTGAAATTCTGTGTACCGTTCTGGGCACCTCAGCTCAACAGATCTGGGACAGATTTTTTTAAAAGGATTTTATTTTCATGCAACACATAGTTAAAGCTATGGAGCTTCTCCTACGAGAGGCTGCAAAGGCCACCAACTTGGATGGCTCTGAAAGGAATTTAGACAAATTCATGGCATGAACATTAATAAAGGTAAAGGGACCCCGACCGTTAGGTCCAGTCATGGACGGCTCTGGGGTTGCGGCGCTCATCTCGCTTTACTGGCCGAGGGAGCCGGCGTACAGCTTCTGGGTCATGTGGCCAGCAGGACTAAGCCGCTTCTGGCGAACCAGAGCAGCGCACGGAAACGCCGTTTACCTTCCCGCCGGAGTGGTACCTATTTATCTACTTGCACTTTGACGTGCTTTCGAACTGCTAGGTTGGCAGGAGCAGGGACTGAGCAGTGGGAGCTCGCGGGGATTCGAACCACCAACCATCTGATCAGCAAGCCCTAGGCTCTGTGGTTTAGGACACAGGGCCACCCGCGTCCTAATAGTGCACTCTTAATGTCTGTTTTCTCAGGTGTCAGTCCCACTACGTTCAATAGAGGTTACTCGACGGTAAGTGTAATGCATATTTATTCAGAAGCCAACCCGAGTAAGTTCATTGAACCGGGGCTTTCAAGGTTCTAGTTTCTAGCTGTTCTTGGACTGCAGTCCCCATCTTCCCAGACCACTGATCCTGCTTATCTAAGGATGATGGGAGTTGTGGTTCGGGGTCGGCTGCAGACCAGAGTTTGGGAAACCCTGAATTAGACTTACCCCAGGTCAAGTCTATATAGGATTGAAACCTGACCCACCGTTTTGGGCTATTTATGTCCTCAATTGTCTGTGAAACTTGCAGAGCTTTGAGAATCCTAAGGCTCAGAACTTTCAGGTTTTTTAAAAGGTGAAGTTTGCAGATCTCGCCGCCGTTAAAGGTAAAAGACCTCTGGACGGTTAAGTCCAGTCAAAGGCGACTATGGGGTTGCAGCACTCATGTTGCTTTCAGGCCGAGGGAGCCGGCATTTGTCCGCAGACAGCTTTCCGGGTCATGTGGCCAGCAGGACTAAACCACTTCTGGCACAACGGGACACCGTGACGGAAACCAGAGCACACGGAAACACCATTTACCTTCCTGCCACCTATTTATCTGCTTGCCCTGGTGTGCTTTCAAACTGCTAGGTTGGCAGGAGCAGGGACAGAGCAACAGGAGCTCACCCAGTCGCGGGGATTCAAATCACCGAATTTCTGATCAGCAAGCCCTAGGCTCTGTGGTTTAGACCACAGTGCCACCCGCGTCCCTCTCGCCGCTGTAGTCCAAAGCTTAACCAAAGGGCAAATGAAATTTTGAGCCCTGGCGTCCCGGGACCCTCAAAGGAGAACTCAAATCTAAGGAAGATCGGATGCTGGATTTCCTGTTTCCTCCGCTGCAAAACCCTCCGTGCCACTTGCCATGCCAAAAGCTGGTGCGAAGTTCCGTTCATTTCCTTCCATTGGAACAATGGGAGGGAATTCTCATTCTTATTTGAAAGCAGGGGAAAGGATATGAACCTCTTGGGATGACTCTGCAGACTGTCCCGGGCAACCCTCGTGTTCGGAAACACCGCCTTAGTGAAAATAACGCACACATAAAAGTGTGTCATGTTATTAATTTTATTAAATGGATACCCTGCCTTTACACCCCCACCCCGAAGGAGCCTAAGGGGGCAAGCGGCAAGCAATAAAACGATGCAAAAGTCTTTCAAACAATTCCAGTGCAGATGAAGGGAGAGAGTTTCACTTGAATGGCTTGCTGGAAGAGGAAGGTCTTTTGTAGGTGGCAAAGGACACCAGGGCAGGTGCCACCACCCTGAAGGCCCTGATTCCTACATTATGCCCTGCAGATTATCTCCAGAGTAGGGACTTGTCTTTCTTTGGTTTTGTTTGAGTATGCAACACAGCTGTAAGATAGATAGATAGAAAAAATAGAAATTGGGGAGGGGGAATAAGGGCAGGGAATTCCAAGCATGAGTACTGCCACACTCCAAATTATTATATCATTTATAGACCTTTTTATTCCACAAATCTCAAGGCGGTGTACATGATTCCCCTCCTCACAACAACCTTGTGAGGTAGGTTAGTGTCAGGAGTGTGTGCAGGGGCCAGGCCCTGTGACCAGTAGGGCTTCGCAGGACTGGGGCCTTCCTAAGTTTGTTCTGGAGAGACAAGGCGCGGCCGCACAGGTGAGGCCGATTGGTAGCTCACAGCACCTGGTGGCAAGAGCCGGGAAGGGATATAAGGTCAGCATTTCCCTTCGGCTCTTTGCCACAGCAACATGTTTCCTGCCTTGCTGTGTTTGGCTCCTTGCTTCTCAACCCTCGGACCCTTGACCATGACTCCTTGTTTCTCAACCCTCGGACCCTTGACCGTGACTGCTTGTTTCTCAACCCTCGGACCGTTGACTTTGTGACTCCTTGCTTCTCGAACCTCGGACCCTTGACTTTGTGACTCCTTGCTTCTCGACCCTCGAGTTTGTGACTCCTTGCTTCTCGACCCTTGGACCCTTGACTTCGTGATTCCCTGCTTCCTGACCCTAGACCCCTGACTTCTGGACTCTCGTTCCTGCTCCCACCCCGCCATCTTGTCCCCGGTCCCGGCGTCCTCAGCCGGGACTTCGATTGCCCGTAGACTGGACCATGGCATTTAGGCTAAGAGATGGTGACTGGCCCAAAGTCACCCAGTGAGCTTTCACGGCTCACTTCTGCCCTGGTCAGACCACGCCTGGAGTCCTGTGTCTAATTCTGGGCACCACAATTTAAGGAGGACGTTGACAAGCTGGCAAGTATGCAGAGGAAGGCGACCCTGAGTCTCTAGCTCTGGGCTGGGAGTCCCAGTCCTAAACATCATGAGGGCACCAGGTTGGGAAAGGTTGGGCCGGACAGACCATTTTGTCTGATCCAGCAAGGCATCCTTCTAATGTTCCCGTTGCCAGCTAGGTATTTGGTCCAAAGGGGTTTCCCTGGCAACGGAAGACGCTGTCACCATCTCCATGGCAACAGATGCTAGCACTGATGCACTCTGTTGAGCCATGGATAGACTTGGGACAGGCTAGTATCTTGAAGGGGGAAAGGGGGGGATATGTGGGGAGGGCAACCAAGGCTGGAAAGAAAAAGGGGGCACTATAGATTTAAACCACTTTAAGCAGCCATGGGAAATAATCATGGGAAGTGCATTGTTTGTTGTGGGTGCTGAGAGACATTCAGAGACCTCGCCCCCCCCCCCCGAGCTGCAATTCCCATAGCTCCCTAGTTTTTAACCACCCCAAACAACTCTCAGCCTCCTTAGTGGTCTCTGTTTCCCCCAGTGGCTTCTCCTATCCATATCTAGAGTTCCCAGCGTGGTTTAACAACCAATCCCTCTTTGAAGGGAACTCTGGGGATTGTATGAGAGGAACCAGGGTCTCTCAGTAACTCTCTGCACCCTTAACAAATGTTGACCCCCCCCCCATGGCATCTCCAGGTGGGGCTGGAAATGTCCCCTTGCCTGAAGCCCTGGAGAGCTGCTGCCACACAGTGCAGACAGTACAGAGCTTGATGGGCCCAATGATCTCTGCCTTGGGGGAAAAGGCTGATTGCTATGTCCCTATGCAGAGTGAGGAAAGACATGACTCTTTACTTCTCAGGGTAGGTGAATCTATTTCACATTAATCTGAAGACATCTTAAGACGGCCCTGTTCAGGGAAGTTTTTAATGTGTGACATCTTAGTGTATTTTTGGTCTTTGTGGAAGCTGCCCAGAGTGGCTGGGGAAACCTAGCCAGATGGGCGGGCTACAAATAATAAATTGTTATTATTATTATATTTATTTAATCTGAGGAGCGGCACATGAAAATTCTATTTCAAAATGTATAAAATGAAAATTTGGTTTTAATCTTTTTTTCTCTCTCTCCTTTCTTTCTTTCTTTCTTTCTTTAGCTAAGGACTGTGTCGGATGACTATTTCAGAGGTGTGAGATCTGGTAGATAAGACATACCTTCTGATCAGCACATTTGTCCAGGAGGTAAGTATCAGGTCAGTTCACCTCCCGTTGCACAAATAATTCCTATCTATAGATCAGGCCTAATTCCCGCACTGTGGTCATGGCAGAACAGATTCACCTTTGCAAATAAAACACAGTGTGGATATTTTGGCCAGGGCTGCCCCCTAGTGGTGATGGTCGGTATCAATATTTTCAAATAATACACAGTACAGTATATAGCTTCAAATATATATGATTAATATAAGGTTTATACCTATGACAGTTTCTAGGTAGACTTATAAAATGGCATGGGTGGGCTTGCTAGATTTGTGATTCACCTCCCGCCTCCCCAGAATTGCTGAAGCTATAAAACACCCTGTAAAACCTGCAAAATTTGGGGGAATTTGCTCTAAAACGTCGGTGAATTTTTAGGAGTTTTTCTTATTAATTTGCAAATTGCTGCAGAAATGTCGAAGTGAAGTTTGGGGAAATGAGAAACCAAAATTGACGTAAGCGCTCATTCTTACTCATCAATGCCGCCACCCCCCCACTCCCTCCCTGATAACAAATGTAACACTTGGTCACTAGCTTAAACCATTATAAATTGTTTCCTTTGGCCTTCCACATTGCTGTCTCTGACATCAAAAAGTAGTATTGGGACTAAACTCAGTCAAGATTTGCTCTGTAGGTTTTGTTTGCTACTATGTACTTTTTGGTTGTCAATCAATCAACTTACGTATTTCAAAAAAAATATCTCTTGTTTTTGCTGGCACTCTAAACCACATGCTTAGTCTGCCTGTTGGGTGATCTGGAGTTCTCCAGAGTCAGGTGCCCTGTCAACTCATGCCTCCGGAATGGATTCAGAAGCAAGACCGCACCAGCATCCTTGCCCAGCCGAAAATTATCCACCAAACCATCTTCTGCAGGTAAAAACCTGGTTGCTAGACCTCTCAACCCCAGCAGGAGCAACCGCCGTTTTAGTTTTAACATAGCATTTCCAGGACTGCATCCAGCTAAATTGCACTGTGGCCTTATCTGCACTGTGCGTTTAGAGAACGTTAAGAGTCCTGCTGGATCGGCACCAACAAGAGCACTCTCACCACCTGTAAGGTACAGGTAAAGGGACCCCTGACCATTAGCTCCAGTCGTGACCGACTCTGGGGTTGCGGCGCTCATCTTGCTTTATTGGCCGAGGGAGCCGGCGTACAGCTTCCGGGTCATGTGGCCAGCAGGACTAAGCCGCTTCTGGCGAACCAGAGCAGCGCATGGAAACGCCGTTTACCTTCCCGCCAGAGAGGTACCTATTTATCTACTTGCACTTTGACATGCTTTCGAACTGCTATGTTGGCAGGAGCAGGGACCGAGCAATGGGAGCTCACCCCTCATTGCGGGGATTCGAACCGCCGACCTTCTGATCGGCAAGTCCTAGGCTCTGTGGTTTAACCCACAGCGCCACCCGCGTCCCCCATATGGTATAACTTATACAGTGGTGCCTCGCAAGATGAAATTAATCCGTTCCGCGAGAGTCTTCGTCTAGCGGTTTTTTCGTCTTGCGAAGCAACCCTATTAGCGGCTTAACGGATTAGCGCTATTAGCGGTTTAGCGGCTATTAAAGGCTTAAAGGCTTAGGGGATTAGCTGCTAAAAGGCTATTAAAGGCTATTAAAGGTTTAGCAGATTAGATAAAGGGGGGGGGAAGCGAAAAAAAAATCTCTAGACTCGCAAGACATTTTCGTCTTGCGAAGCAAGCCCATAGGGAAATTCGTCCTGCGAAGCAACTCAAAAACGGAAAACCCTTTCGTCTAGCGGGTTTTCCGTCTTGCGAGGCATTCGTCTTGCGGGGCACCACTGTACTATAAATTGTTCCTCTCGCCTCCTGTAGCTTCTGGCAAATGGTGTTCTGAAGCATCAATGCCTCTGACTTGTGGAGGCAGAGCGGAGCCATTGTGATAGCCTTGTGCCCCCCTGACTTGGTCCAATCTTCTTTCAAAGCCACCCTGTTGGTAGCCATCCCTGCCATCTGTAGGAGTGAGGTCCATAGTTGAACTATGAGTTGCATGAAGGTCTTCCACTCTGGAGAACCATGGCTCCCTTTCAGCGAAACCTTGGAGCAGTATAGTTCTTACGAGTGCTGAAAGTTGTCAGGAGATCCAAATTCTCCTTGTACAGCTGCAATTCCCAGTGTTCCCTGGGAAGAGAGACTGAAGGTTAGACCACTCCGAGGATCAAGGGTTTGTCATGCAAACTTCCCTTCCCAAGGCAGAATCAGGGGCAGGGCCAGATTTAGGTTTGACGAGGCCCTAAGCTACTGAAGGTAATGGGGCCCTTTCTATGTCCAGCTGCCCTTTGTCAACCACAAATTTCCGCTGTTTTTTGTGTTGAATATATGCTATATGGTCATTTATGGACCTCATAGGTATCTCAAGCCACTTGCGCATGTTGCCATGCAACCAGTCCATGCAGAATGTAGGCACCCTCTATATAGAAATGAGCAAACCAGTGATATTTTAGGGAGCAGGCTAGCAGGCGGGGCCCATGACTTACATCATAGGAGCCTACACAACACAAAATACTGTTGCTGTATCTAGGTTTTATTTTATGTGTTTTGTATCTTTTATTTTGGAAATGTACATCTGGGGTTTTTTCCCCCTTTACATTTTTTGGGGGGGGCGGGCGGGCCAAGAGTGGGACCCTCAGCTATAGCTTGTTTAGGTAAAGGTAAAGGGACCCCTGACCATTAGGCCCAGTCACGGACGACTCTGGGGTTGTGGCGCTCATCTCGCTTTATTGGCCGAGGGAGCCGGCGTACAGCTTCCGGGTCATGTGGTCAGCAGGACTAAGCCACTTCTGGCAAACCAGAGCAGTGCACGGAAACGCTGTTTACCTTCCCGCCAGAGCAGGGCATATTTATCTACTTTGACGTGCTTTTGAACTGCTAGGTTGGCAGGAGCAGTGACCGAGCAACGGGAGCTCACCCCGTCATGGGGACTTGAACCACCAACCTACTGATCGGCAAGTCCTAGGCTCTGTAGTTTAACCCACAGCGCCACCCGCGTCCCTATAGCTTGTTTAGCTTATAGGTAAATCCGGCACTGATCAGGGTCACACCTTAAGGTTCCTGATCATTCATTGGCTGCTGAACCTCTAACTGCCCAGCACCTGACAGCATGTATAATGGGAGGTGCCCACAGTTTTGATGAAATGGCATTGCCAGGCGAGATCTATGGGCTGGAGTCTGCCCATCCCTCCCTTACCAACACTTGCTTCATCAGAGCAGTTTACAACAATTACACATTAGACAGCAAAAACCACGCAGAAATGTTAAAATCAGATGGAACGATGCGTTCTTCACTGTCTGCACAAGCCTGGCAGAACAGGAAAGTTTCCAGCAGGCGTTTAAAAGGTTGAAAAGGAAGTTCCACAAGACTGGGTTGCTTGCTGATGTTGAATGAGCCTTGCCAATTCAGGGAATGACCGTCGATGCCGCCGCAGGTGATGTCGGTGATCTCCCCACCGGACCCACCCTCCTCGCACAATTTGCAGGAGGAGGAGGAGGAGCTTGAATATGTGAAAAGAAAAAGGATGCTCGTTTTTCTAGGGATGGGTGGCAACCCTACCCTGAGGTGCCCCCGGGCCTAAGTTGATCAGGGCTTTGTAAATTAATATTCATTAATACTAAAAGGGTGAGGGCAGATAAACACCAGAACAGAGGCTGAGCGGAAGTGGACTGGCCTGTTCTTGACACGAAGGGAGCAGCAGGATAGGTGTCACAATTGCAGGTGAGGGAGATATTCTGCCAACTCATCTCTAACCATCTCTCCCTCCTTTCTATCTCCGCAGGCCTTCTGTATACTGGGTAGATAAGATACCTAAGGCGCAGCCTAGAACAACAGTTCCAGGCAAGTAAAGAAAATAAAAGAATTGAACTGTTTTCTTTAACATGTGGTCTTGCGCATGCTTTATCCTAGCACATGAATTTTTCTTTTCTTTTTTTCTTTCCAAAAATTTTATTGGTTTTCACAATGTTATAAACAAACAAACACACAAGACAAACATAAAAAACATAAATCATAGCCTTATTGAAAATTACAGTTATTAACTTTGTTAAGTGACTTCCTCGCTTCCCCTTGGTTGAATTTCATTGCATGTCCTTTTAACGGTTTTCCAAATCCCAATTTTTATGAAATTTAACATAAACATTAACATACTTAAATCTTCACCTTATATAATTAAACATATTAATTCATCACTTAACATAAATAAAATCCTAAGCCCATTAAGTATCTGCAAGCTATTTCCAGTTCTAGCACATGAATTTTTCTGTATGCTTTTCTTGGTTGGGGAACTGCATTGCAAAATTCGCAAAAGTGCAAATTTTGGAAGGAGGGCTGTGTTTGCGTGTTGTTTTGGAAAAGGGGTGAATTAGAGAGGCTTGCCCTTAAATGAAAAAGGAATCAAATTTCTCTCCCACCCCCCTAATGTCAAGCTAGGGGAGAAGATGATGTTCTTGGCGCAGATGGGCTAATCTGATTGCATTCTGGCAAGGCTATATCAATGTTCACATCTATTTACCTTTCTTCCTCCACCTGTTCTTTTGCAGTCTTAACTCCCCGGCAGGAAGTCCTGTCTCGATCCAAAAAGGTCAATTTAGACTACAGCGGGGACAGGTAGGGAGAGAATGTAACCAGACCAAAAAATCACCCGAACAAAACACATACTGGGTGGGCGGGGTTTTTATTTTTTGGGGGGGGGGGAGAGAATAACAGCTGTAAACAGAAAATACATAGATGTATTTTGCCTGAAACTTTTTTTTTGCCCATTGCATCTCATTTACCTCTGGGTGATTTACAGGCCTGTTAAAATTCATGCCAATGTTTTGGACAATGAAATCAATTATAAGTAATAAAAAGGATAAACGGTAATACAGGTAAGTAACCCTCAAACCCAGCATAGACACAGCAGCTAAAATGCATTTGTAGAGCTTGGTGGAAGAATCAAGGAGCAACAGAAAAATATTCCCACTGTAAGAGATTATGGAGTGGACACCAGGCAAGCCTTTATGGGAAGGTTATTGCATAATCGGGGGGGCCACCATGAAGAAACACCTGCAGGTCACCAAGTTTTGGTTGTGACGACTTTGTTCTGTTCAGGGGACAAATTTAAGCCTGGTTTCTATGTAACAGAATCAGAGTTGGACTGTTAGGTTTTTCGCCTTAGTTCCCTCTGTAACAACAGCCACATTGAGGGGGCAAATCCTCTTCATAAAGTTAAGGTAAAGGGACCCCTGACCATTAGGTCCAGTCGTGGGCGACTCTGGGGTTGTGGCGCTCATCTCACTTTATTGGCCGAGGGAACCGGAGTACAGCTTCTGGGTCATGTGGCCAGCAGGACTAAAGCTGCTTCTGGCGAACCAGAGCAGCACATGAAAACACCGTTTACCTTCCTGCCGGAGCAGTACCTATTGATCTACTTGCACTTTGATGTGCTTTTGAACTGCTAGGTTGGCAGGAGCTGGGAGCTCAGCCCGTCACGGGGATTCGAATAGCCGACCTTCTGATCGGCAAGTCCTAGGCTCTGTGGTTTAACCCACAGCGCCACCCGCGTCCCTCTGAATACATAGGGCAAGGTAAACTAGTCCCTAGTTGGGGATTTGCCACAAAGTGCCACAAAGACTGCTTTAACTTGCCTTATGCTTCTTGACTTTTGCAGGTGCGGGCGGGCTTTTCTTCTTCTTCTTACTAGATTGCTAAATTCCTAATATATTCTCCCCCTAATCCAGACCCACTGCTGCATGGCCGGTAAAAGCTGCAGCCCTAAAGGTGAAGGCGACGTCAAGGCTGATAGAACTGGCACAGCCCCGGCCTTACCGGTCTGCCTGGGAAATAAACCGTCCCCTATATCCGTTGGTATGTATACCACTGGCCGGCCTGCTACCTTAACTGTGATTCTAGCATTGCAAGGGGGGGTTGGACTAGATGCTCCTTTGGGTCCCTTTCCAACTCTACAATTCTATTATTCCTGGCCATGGGGCAGCTGCTTCTGGCATACTTGCTCATGCTTTGGTTCAGTGGTACCGAAGCATTTATTTAGACAAACCACTTGAAAATTGGGGAGGCCTCCAAGGAGACCATTTAATAAAGCCCCTACCAACCTGGTCTTGGCGCTGTTGTATAATGAATTCTCCTTTCCTCCATATGGTATAAAAGTAAAGGTAAAGGGACCCCTGACCATTAGGTCCAGTCGTGACTGATTCTGGGGTTGCGGCACTCATCTCGCTTTACTGGCCGAGGGAGCCGGCGTACAGCTTCCGGGTCATGTGGCCAGCAGGACTAAGCTGCTTCTGGCGAACCAGAGCAGCGCACGGAAATACCGTTTACCTTCCCACCAGAGTGGTACCTATTTATCTACTTGCACTTTGTCGTGCTTTCAAACTGCTAGTTTGGCAGGAGCAGGGACTGAGCAACGGGAGCTCACCCCGTCGCGGGGATTCGAACCGCCGACCTTCTGATCGGCAAGCCCTAGGCTCTGTGGTTTAACCCACAGCGCCACCCGCGTCCCCCATATGGTATAACTTATACTATAAATTGTCATCTGAAGACCTTCTTCATGTGCCCTCACCATGGAAGGTGGCATCAAGAGAACAGTCTTTTTAAGTGGCGGCTCCCCACTTCTTTCATTTAAAAACCCCTCAAGAGTGGTTTACAAAAAGAATAAAATTTTTGGTAAATAATTCTTGGTATAGGGTGAATTCCCAAAAATTTTGGGTGGTCTCGTGCGCAGTCAGGGGTTGCTATGTTCCTGCGGCTGCCATGAAGAAGCTGCCAGAATCGCCAATCCACTTATCAACCAGAGCAGAGTTCTGCCAGACATTACAGGGTGACCACTGCTGATGCTTTAATATATTATGGGGGGTGCAGGGCGTTGGAGCCCCTGGGTAATCTCAAAAAAAGAGCTCAACAACTTGGGGCAGGCATAGGCAAACTCGGCACTCCAGATGTTTTGGGACTACAACCCATCATCCCTAGCTAACAGGACCAGTGGTCAGGGATGATGGGAGTTGGTAGTCCCAAAACATCTGGAGGGCAGAGTTTACCTATGCCTGACTTGGGGCAATCTTGGGGAGTTGCTATATCAAAGCCGTTCTGTTTGAGGTCTAAAAGGTTGGGTTCTTTATTTTGGGTTCAAAACAAATAGGGGGTGTCTTGTACATGGAGGGCGTCTTATACACAGAAAAATATGGTAAAGGGACCCCTGACCATTAGGTCCAGTCGTGGCCAACTCTGGGGTTGCGGCGCTCATCTCGCTTTATTGGCCGAGGGAGCCGGCGTACAGCTTCTGGGTCATGTGGCCAGCAGGACTAAGCCGCTTCTGGCGAACCAGAGCAGCGCACGGAAACGCCGTTTACCTTCCCGCCGGAGCGGTACCTATTTATGGTAGGTGGCTTTAAATGGGGATTTGGCAAGTTTATGGAGCTGAGTTGGCTCTGCCTTCACAGTTGAAATACCAGTTGCTAGAAACCGCAGGCTGGGCACAGTGATAACGGGACGCTGGAATTGATGGGTTATTGGCCTGATCCAGTCAGCTCTTCCTCTGTCCTCTGTCTCTCGTCTTCAGGTGAGCAAAGGAGCACTGGCCGCTGTTCCCACGCAAAGGATAATTGCTCTAGCCATACCACGGACTGTGCCCTCCGTTCCAAAGAGTAAGAGATACGTTTCCACCTTCCTGCTAATGACGATAGCTTAGTCTCCAGACAAGTCTAGCTGCGGCTCCTCTGGGATACGTAAGCGGGTGGGGAGGCTGTGCCACCCTGCCGCTCACTTAAACAATAAACCTTCCCATTTTTAGAAGATGAGGAACATGGGAATATTGCTGTACAAACACAGGTGCCTAAGTGCATTGGTAGCAGGGCTCCCACCGGCTTCCGAGATCCCCCTTCTGACAGCCTAGCGGTGCGGGAATGGCTACCTGCAACCCCCCTGCCCTGAGAGAAAAGCCGTCGGCAGTCGGATTGCAGATGCCAACTTGGAAGACTTTTGTTTCTGCTTGAGGGGGGGCACCTCCCACCTAACTTTTAAAACTACTTGCCTTGCATCTCACCCTCAGCTGTAAGGCACACACCTGAGTACAGTGGTACCTCGGGTTAAGTACTTAATTCGTTCCGGAGGTCCGTTCTTAACCTGAAACTGTTCTTAACCTGAGGCACCACTTTAGCTAATGGGGCCTCCTGCTGCCGCCATGCCGCCGAAGCACAATTTCTGTTCTCATCCTGAAGCAAAGTTCTTAACCTGAAGCACTATTTCTGGGTTAGCGGAGTCTGTAACCTGAAATGTATGTAACCCGAGGTACCACTGTACTGCCTTCTATTATTTTGCTGGGGGTTCAACTGCCTTCTTTGCCTCTGGGCCAGGAAGAAAAGCAACACCTGTCAACACCTGGCTGCTGAACAGATGTGCATCAGGCTAGGGGGCAAGACAAGTGTTTTTAACAGACCCAAAGGTGGTCTGAGAGCTTTCGTGGTGCATATCTTTTATGCGCTCAAACACGTTTTTGAAAAACTTGGGGGGAAATCTGAAAAATTTGATTACCCAGGGATGGAAGTGTTTTCCCACCTGCCCATGAGAGAGGCGCCATTGCCTCCACACACTCATTCTGTCACAAGTTTCTTCCTTTCCATATTAATTGCATGTATATGCCACCTTTATCTTCCAAGGATATCATTGATACGCCAACGATTTCTGAGGTATCCTGACATGAGACTTGTCGGCTAGTTTTGCCCTATAATGTGAATTCCCCAAGACAGTGGAATGCTCCCAAATTCAACGATTGTGAGCGATTTTGCATCGCCTCTAGGTTTTAGACCTTTGAATCTTTTGGGGAAAGGGCTGCTTGCGTCAAATTTAGCCATTTTTGCTTCTCTTTTGGTTCACTCCTACAGAGCCACATAGAAAACTAACCCACCATCCTGCTGGAGCGGCAAAGTACGATGAGCTCTCCAAACCCAAAATCTACACGTTCGACAAACGCGATCCACTCCAGGTTTCCAAGGCGGCTCTCCAATACGTTCCTTCTCCTCGCATTCTCGAAATTAGCCGCCCGGTGAGGATAAGAGGCAAAGTGGCTTGAGTTATGTAAATGCTACTCTTCCTTGATTTCAAATTAAAGGATCCCAGACCTCTCGGACCGGGAAAAGAAGCCATGATGTATTTCGTTTATTTGGTTGTGGGACTTTTCCTTTATTTGGCTTTGGCCTGCTGCATCTCTGGCCTGCAGGGAACAGGTTTCATCAAAGGATGAGCGGTCGTGGCTCTGAATTAATGCATCTTGGGACAGGAGAGCTGCCCCACTTGCCTTCCAATACCAGCTGTGAGATTTTATAGTGGCATATCATTTTGCCTCGTTTGCCCCAGGTTTCCATACTCCTCTTGTCATTTGGCACTTCTGTTGGTGTCTGGCCACGTCTGTTGGGACCAGGCAGTGGGATTCAGGACAAAGCCCTCCTCGCCTGCACATGTGTATACCTTGTGGTCAAGGTCATTGGGGAGCAAGCAGCAGTACAGCCCTTCTAGGCTCCACCACAGTTCCATCATTTAAGTACACTGAGCCTCTTGGGCTTGCTGATCAGGTCAGCGGTTTGAATCCCCGCGACGGGGTGAGCTCCCGTTGCTCTGTCCCAGCTCCTGCCAACCTAGCAGTTCGAAAGCACGCCAGCGCAAGTAGATAAATAGGTACTGCTACAGAGGGAAGCTAAATGGCATTTCCATGCACTCTGGTTTTTGTCACAGTGTCCTGTTATGCCAGAAGTGGTTTAGTCCTGCTGCCAACATGACCCAGAAAGCCGTCTGTGGACAAACGCCAGTTCCCTTGGCCTGAAAGCGATGAGTGCCGCAACCCCATAGTTGCCTTTCACTGAATTTAACTGTCCAGGGTCCTTTACCTTTTCCTTATATAATGACCTCGTCAGATCAGATCCTGGCTTTGATCTGTGCATCTCCCTAGATCTGCCTCCATGTCATAAGAACATGGGCAAGTATACGTGGGCAACTAAGAAAAATCTGAAGTGTGGCCCAGAACCTGTTTCAAAAGTGGCCACTGGACCTTGGAATCGAAATCCTTGCATGTTGCATTACCGATCAATTCTCGTCCTGCCCAAAGTGAATCAAGCAAACAGTTTCCACCCCATCCCCGTCCTATAAGATGTATTTTTCAGAATCTGGAAATCTGATTCACCCATTTCTCCTTGAGCCTCGTTTTCTCTAGGCTAAATGTATCTGGTTCTTTAAGGAACTCCCCTTGCTATGGTTTACTTCATACAGATGTTTTGCTGCTGTCCTCTCTCCTCTTGAGAGCCGCCTCTTGCTTGAGTCACAGCCAAATAGATTCCACTGCTAAGCACCGTGCTCGAGGTGTTGAGAAGTGATACACATCTATGTTTACTTATTATTTATTCTGTTTGCTTTGGGTTGTATCCAACTAAGTTATGCGCGGGGTAAACTCACTGAAAATAATGCAATCTTTTAGCGGGAGATAATACTAACTTGTGGGACATGGGTGGCACTGTGGGTTAAACCACAGAGCCTAAGACTTGCCGATCAGAAGGTCGGCGGTTCGAATCCCCGCGACGGGGTGAGCTCCCGTTGCTCGGTCCCTGCTCCTGCCAACCTAGCAGTTTGAAAGCACATCAAAGTGCAAGTAGATAAATAGGTACTGCTCTGGCGGGAAGGTAAACAGCTTTTCCATGCGCTGCTCTGGTTCGCCAGAAGCGGCTTAGTCATGCTGGCCACATGACCTGGAAGCTGTACGCTGGCTCCCTCAGCCAATAAAGCGAGATGAGCGCCGCAACCCCAGAGTCGGCCACAACTGGACCTAATGGTCAGGGGTCCATTTACCTTTTTTTCTTTCCAAGCTGTCAATATGCTTCCTGAATGATGGGGCTCAATGCCAAACGCAAGGGTGTCTTGCAGACAAGGTACAGATATGAAGTGCTTCTGAGCATGTGTAAAGTACCATCTTCTCACTCACAAAAACGACCGTATCGGTTTCCAAATGACTTGGATTAGACAGAAGAGGTCTGAACTCCCGTCTTTTGTTTTAATGAAATGAGAACTGCCTATCACTGCCCCGGACACCTCTCTTATTTCTGTTTCCACATTATTTGGCTTCGCCTCTCACCTTTTACTTTCCCCTCATCTCTTAGAATTCTAGCTTTTCATCATAATGGGTTCTATTCCAGGTTATCCATCCATTTCAAAGGGTCTGCTCTGCATAGGACTAGCATTTGATAAAACTCAATGTTTCAGGGCATAGACTGAAGGCACCTTAGGAAATTTTGCTGAAGCTAAACAGGACTGGAGTCTAGCAAGTCTACACAAGAGACCGATTACCTGCCCTCAGTTCCACGATGGAAGAATCTGCCATTCTTCTCTGGTAGGAACTTTGTCTTTCCATCTCTGGGCCAGTAACATCCGCACAGCCATGGTCGCATCCATAGTCTTTTCTGCTCCCTCGGGATTTCGGCACCTGAGTTCTGCATCATGTAAAGAAGTATTTTTTTATCTCTCAACCCCTTCGAAAAGCCACGCCTGTGGTCCAATCCATTGATCAATCAATCAGTCTTTATTACGGTCCAGAGACCCAACAAATTGTTACAAAGCAATGCACGATTCATACAGCCTACCTCCAGGTTAAACAAGCATTTTGCTCAAAAGATAGGGATCAGTGGTTCTTGCAACCACTGATAAAAACTTTGCCATTGAAAGAGCCAGCTGTATTTAGAAGGCCATCATGGCATCATGTGGCAGAGAGTCCCACAGGTGTATCAGTAAGAGCTGCACCTGTCGGCTTCTCTCAGTTTAATGGGTTAATCAGCAAGAGTCCAAATTGGACAGATTAGTTGCCAGTTTGAAACCAGAAACCTAATACTACTACTACTACTACTACTACTACTACTACTACTACTACTAATAATAATAATAGATTATTTATACCCTGACCATCTGGCTGGGTTTCCCCAGCCACTCTGGGCGGCTTCCAACAAACCACTAAAATACAATAACCTATTAAACATTAAAAGCTTCCCTAAACAGGGCTGCCTTCAGGTGTCTTCTAAAAGTTTGGTAGTTATTTTTTTCTTTGACATCTGGAGGGAGGGTGTTCCATAGGGTGGGTGCCACCACCGAGAAGGCCCTCTGCCTGGTTCCCTGTAACCTCACTTCTCGCAGGGAGGGAACCACCAGAAGACCCTCAGAGCCGGACCTCAGTGTCTGGGCAAAACAATGGGGGTGGAGATGCTCCTTCAGGTCTACTGGGCCGAGGCTGTTTAGGGCTTTCAAGGTCAGCACCAACACTTTGAATTGTGCTCGGAAACGTACTGGGAGCCAATGTAGGTCTTTCAAGACTGGTATTATGTGGTCTCGGCGGCCGCTCCCAGTCCCCAGTCTAGATGCCGCATTCTGGATTAATTGTAGTTTCCGGGTCACCTTCAAAGGCAGCCCCACGGAGAGCGCATTGCAGTAGTCCAAGCGGGAGATAACCAGAGCATGCACCACTCTGGCGAGACAGTCTGCGGGCAGGGAGGGTCTCATCCTGCGTACCAGGTGGAGCTGCCCTGGACACAGAATTGACCTGCGCCTCCATGGACAGCTGTGAGTCCAGAATGACCCCCAGGCTGTGCACCTGGTCCTTCAGGGGCACAGTTTCCCCATTCAGGACCAGGGAGTCCCCCACACCAGCCCGCTTAGTCCTGGTTCGAGTCTGTTCATTTTTTAGTCTGCTTTGGAGTGAGCAAGAGGCTGTCTCTGCCCTAGACATTGAAAGCAGCAACATTTCCCCTTTCGCCCCACCTCGCATTTTACCTCAGCCTCCCCACTTTTCTCACATTCTCACTCTCCCCCTCCCACCCTACATTTTACCTCAGTTCTCCCCATATTTACCCCTTCATTTCCCCTTTCACCTCCCCTTGCATTTCACCTCAGCCTCCCCACTTACCCCCCTATCCTGCCCCCGTTTTACCTCAGTCCTCCCCACATCCACCCCCTTCGCTTCCCCTTTTACCCCACCTCGCATTTCCCCTCAGCCTCCCCACTTTCCCCTCACATTCCCATTTCTCCCCCCTCCCATTTTACCTCAGTCTCCCCACTTTTCCCTCTCATCCCCACTTTCCCCCCTCTCTCCCACCCCACGTTTTACCTCAGTTCTCCCCACATCCACCCCTTCGCTTCCCCTTTCACCCCACCTCGCATTTCACTTCAGCCTCCCCACTTTTCCTTCACATTCCCCCCCCCCCGTTCCCTCCCATTTTACCTCAGTTCTCCCCATATTTACCCCTTTCTCCCCATATTTACCCCTTCATTTCCCCTTTCACCCCACCTCGCATTTCACCTCAGCCTCCCCACTTTCCCCCGCTCCCCCCCACGTTTTACCTCAGTTCTCCCCATATTTACCCCTTTCTCCCCATATTTACCCCTTCATTTCCCCTTTCACCCTCCCTCGCATTTCACCTCAGCCTCCCCACTTTTCCTTCATTCCCCCCCCGTTCCCTCCCATTTTACCTCAGTTCTCCCCATTTTTACCCCTTCGCTTCTCCTTCCACCCTTCCTCTATTTTACCTCAGTTCTCCCCCTATTTACCCCTTCATTTCCCCTTTCTCCCCTCCCTCCCATTTCACCTCAGTCTCCCCACTTTTGCCCCCTCCCCACATTTTACCTCAGTTCTCCCCACATCCACCCCTTCGCTTCCCCTTTCACCTCAGCCTCCCCACTTTCCCCCGCTCCCCCCCACGTTTTACCTCAGTTCTCCCCCTATTTACCCCTTCATTTCTCCTTTCTCCCCTCCCTCGCATTTCACCTCAGTCTCCCCACTTTTGCCCCCTCCCCCCATTTTACCTCAGTCCCCCCACATCCACCCCTTCGCCTCCCCTTCCACCCCCCCTCCCTTCCCCTCACCCGCTCCTCACCTGCCTTCTCCCTCACCTGCCTCGCACCTTCCCCTCCCGCCCCCCTCTCTCTCCCCCCCACCCCAGAATCTACCCCCCTCCTCCCTTCCCTCTTGCCTCCTCCCCCTCCCCCTTCCATCTCCTGCGCGTAGGAGCCAATCAGCGGGCGGCTCCACATCCGGGGCTCTCCCCCCCCCCCTCGGCCGTTCGCACTCTCGGCTATGGCGGAGGTGAGTGTGTGTTTGAGTGTCAAGAGCGGGGGGGGGGGGAGAGAAAAGTCGGGTCTCTCCTCCATCCCCCTCCCCACCCCCAAAAGGGAGAGGGGGGCACCGAGGTGGGGGTGGGGTTTGCATTTGTTTTGGGGGGGCTGCTTGAGGGAGAAGTGGTGGGGTGTGTGTTTTGGGGGGGGGTCTTCCAGGTAGGCAGGTGAAGACGTGCCTCTTATTTTTGGGGGGGTCGACTTTTGAGGGGGGCTTAATGGGGTGCAGGGGCGAGGATGGAGCAGTTGTGACTTTTCTGGGGCTGGCCGAGGATTTGGCAGCTGGAGTTTTTTTTGGGGGGGTGGGGGGTCGGGTGGGGGTTCAACCCACACTTTTAGGTGGCCCAACCTACACTTAGGGGGCCCAGGAGTGTCGACGTGACAAGTTTGGGGCTCCCAGGGGGTGTTCCTGGGGCGCTGCAACGATTTGGGGGTGCAGCCCCCGGCTATGAAGAATCAGGAATGTGCTGTTGGGGGGGGGGGAGGTCTCAGTAAAAACTTTGGGGTGCAGGAATGGGGGGCTTTTCTTGGGGGGCAACAAAAACTTCGGGGTTCTGCTAGTTGTGAAGTGGCTGGACCTTTTGGTGGGGGTTCGGTTTTGGGGTGCTGTTGGGCCGGGGGTATTTTATGGGGGGCAGCGATGGCTTAGGGGGCAGCTGATGGCCATGGAGACAATTCTGGGTCTCTCAAGAAGCCTAGCAAAGATTTAGGGGTTCGGAGAAGTGTGTTTTTATGAGTGGTGCCTGCAGAACTTTGCATTGGATTTTTTGGGGGGGGGTTAAGTAGTGACTGTGCAGCAGCAGCTGGAATTTTGTGGGGTGCATGTAGCTTATACCTGCAAGGACTTGGTTTTGCAGAGGTTTTTTGGGGGGGCAGTCTGCTAGGCCACAGGGGAAGTTGCTGGTGGAGACGGTGCAATTTTGTGGGTTGCGTAGAGCAAGCTTTTGGGGTTGCACAGGAGAGCAACGAAAACAGCTGGAGCTCTGGAGGGAACAAATTTGGGGTGTTTTGGGGCCAGCTGAGACTTCGAGGGTCGCACTGCATCACTTGTGGATTCAACCTGGTGGAGCGAAGTTCTTGCGACTTGAGAGGAGTTTCAAGGGGTGTGGCTGGACCGAGGTTGTGAGTTCGAATTGCCATGCTTTTTTGGGGGGGGGTGAGGAACTTACGGGAACGACCCTGTAAAAAGGCATACATGGGGGAGTGGGAATTAAGAGTCCAGGTGGCAGTGGATTCTGGAAGAGGCACGATTGACTTTTTATAGAAAAGGGCAAATTTGGGAGTGTCGGTGGTGGAGAATATTTTGCTGCTTTGGGGGCTGGAGGGTGGTGCAACATAGGCTGGAATTGGGGGGCAGAAAGCGATCGGTGTGGGAAGTGGTAGAGGCATACCTGAGGCTAAGGAGGCAACAGGCAACATCCCAAGAGTGATTTAAAAAATAAAGGGACCCCTGACCATTCGGTCCAGTCGTGGCCGACTCTCGGGTTGCGGCGCTCATCTCGCTTTATTGGCCGAGGGAGCCGGCGTACAACTTCTGGGTCATGTGGCCACTAGGACTAAGCCGCATCTGGCGAACCAGAGCAGCGCACGGAAACGCCGTTTGCCTTCCCGCCAGAACGGTACCTATTTATCTACCTGCACTTTGACGTGCTTTCAAACTGCTAGGTTGGCAGGAGCAGGGACCGAGCAACGGGAGCGCACCCCGTCGCGGGGATTCGAACCGCCGACCTTCTGATCAGCAAGTCCTAGGCTCTGTGGTTTAACCCACAGCGCTACCCGCGTCCCTCAAGAGTGATTTAAGGCCCGTTAAATGTGCATCTATATCACTTCCCACCCAAAAAACCCCCCAAACACCCCAGAGTGACTTATTGAGCAAGGTGCAAGAGATGTTGTGATGGCTGGTGACACTTGGGGGCTGAACCCTAATGCAACTAGGTCTGTGAAGAATTAAGGGGGGTTTTAAATTGCAGGTGCTTTCGAAGGTCAAGCCAACTTTGTTTGGGACCCTTGGTGGAGGCTGCTGCTGGTGGGTCATGTTTTGGGGGCCTGCCTTGAGGGTTGCAGGGGTTTGGGAGGGGTACAGATGGAGGCCAAGATCGTATGGGAATGACTGAGAAGCGATGATTAGAAAATGGTAGAGGAATTCCTTTTTTTGTTTGGTAAGGGTCTCACCGTTTAAACGGTGTTTCCGTTCGCTGCTCTGGTTCGCCAGAAGCGGCTTAGTCATGCTGGCCACATGACCCGGAAGCTGTACGCCGGCTCCCTCGGCCAGTAAAGCGAGATGAGCGCTGCAAACCCAGAGTCAGTCACGACTGGACCTAATGGTCAGGTGTCCCTTTACCTTTTTAAGGGTCTCACAAGAAACAGAAAATAGGTGATAATAGAGGAAGTCAGATGGATAGCATGTTGTTGTTATTATTATTATGTCGTACAACAACGTTGGATTGTGAGTGTTTCACTTAAAAGCTGCCATTGTTGGCTTCCGTGCCCTATACATTTGCTCTCTCTGATAAGTTTTTTTTGGGGGGGGGTGCAGAACGCAGATGTAAACAAAGGGGTCATGTCGGTTCTTGAAAATGGACTCTGCCCATGCTTCTGATCTGGGTGCCGAATCGCACCACTGGTGCCATGGGCTTCCCCTGGGAAATACACACACACACACACGTGTTTGGTCCTCTAAGGCAGGGGCAGCCAATGCAATACCTTCCGGAAGTTGTGGGGACTACAGATCTCATCGTCCTCTGTTAGTGCGGCAGTGGACCGGGATGATGGGAGTTGTAGTCCAAAAAAAAATGTGGAAGGCACCATATCGACACCCCTGCTGTAAGGTCTCCTGAAGTGGGACACTGATTTCCAGTGAGAGGGTGTTGCGGCTGAGGTTGGGCCAACTTTGTAGGTTTTGGAGAACATCTCTGGTGGAACCTTGATGTCCATGAGAATGCTGACATTGTGTGGCATCAAGGGCCCATCATCACCCTCTTTGTCCCGTGCTGGTTGTTGCTGTGAAAGTGCTTCAAGAGGTCCGTGGAAACAGAGTGGGGTGAAATGGTTGTCGTTTCTGGATCCTACTCCTTCGGGAATCAGGATTGAACCATGATGGAAATGGTAAAACACATTCTTTTAATTGAGAGCTGCTCCTCGTCCTCCCAAGAACAGATTGGAGCCTTAAGATCACACTTAAAGCTGAGGGCTCGATGGCTTACTGGGATTTCGCTGGGATATAACTGAGTTCATTCTCTCCAGATGTTGTTGTTGTTGTTGTTTAGTCGTGTCCGACTCTTTGTGACCCCCCTGAACCAGAGCACGCCAGGCACTCCTGTCTTCCACTGCCTCCCGCAGTTTGGTCAAACTCATGCTGGTCTCTTCGAGAACACTGTCCAGCCATCTCGTCCTCTGTCGTCCCCTTCTCCTTGCGCCCTCCATCTTTCCCAACATCAGGGTCTTTTCCAGGGAGTCTTCTCTTCTCCTGAGGTGGCCAAAGTCTTGGAGCCTCAGCTTCAGGATCTGTCCTCCCAGTGAGCACTCAGGGCTGATTTCCTTCAGAATGGAGAGGTTTGATCTTCTTGCAGTCCATGGGACTCTCAAGAGTCTCCTCCAGCACCAGAATTCAAAAGCATCAATTCTTCGGCGATTAGCCTTCTTTATGGTCCAGCTCTCACTTCCATACATCACTACTGGGAAAACCATAGCTTTAACTATACGGACCATTGTTGGCAAGGTGATGTCTCTACTTTTTAAGATGCTGTCTAGGTTTGTTGCTGGACTCCAACTCCCATCATCCCCGACCGTTAGCCATGCTGACCGGGGCTGATGGGAATCGGAGTCCCACAGCATCTGGAGGTTCCCTACCAGAACAGTAGCGGAAATTGCTCTGTTGTTTTCAAATGAAGACAGAAGCACGGGTGCTGCTTTCAGGCGATCCAATGGTTTGGAACATCGAAGCAAGCAAATGCAAGAGTGAGGATATGGTTTAATACGCCCCACTTGCCTTGTGCTCTCATAAGAACATAAGAAGAGCCTACTGGATCAGGCTAGTGGTCCATTTGCTCCACCATCCTTTCTCCTCACAAGGGCCAAGCAGATGTCTACAGGACCCAAATGCAACTCTCCTCCTTTCTGTGGTTTTGCACTTGGCTATTGGCCACTTGCGACCAGGTGAAGATGCCCAGGTGCCAAGATGGCTGGCAGCCTGACATCTCCACCACCTGGAGGTGCGTGCCTGGGGGATCCTTGGTTCTGGACCGTTTCCACACAATCGTACCCCACCCTGTAGAATTTCTGCCCATTATATTTCACCTGTATGAGCAGAATGAATTTCGGGAGCAAAATGGAAAAAGACAACTTTTGCCCAGCCCCACAAATGGCAACTAGGCATTCCGTTTTGTAACCCTGGTTTAAGGGACGCAGGTGGCGCTGTGGGTTAAACCACAGAGCCCTAGGACTTGCCGATCAGAAGGTGGGCAGTTCAAATCCCTGCGACGGGGTGAGCTCCCGTTGCTTGGTCCCTGCTCCTGCCCACCTAGCAGTTCGAAAGCACGCCAGTGCAAGTAGATAAATAGGTACCGCTCCAGCGGGAAGGTAAACGGCGTTTCCGTGCGCTGCTCTGGTTCGCCAGAAGCGGCTTAGTCCTGCTGGCCACATGACCCGGAAGCTGTACGCTGGCTCCCTCGGCCAGTAAAGCGAGATGAGCGCTGCAACCCCAGAGTCGGTCACGACTGGACCTAATGGTCAGGGGTCCCTTTACCTTTAACTCTGGTTTAGGGAGCCATTTGGTGCCTAGCTTATATATGAGTTTCTACCACTGCTTTTAACCGTAAAGTTCGGCTCGCTCGGGAAGGGAGCCTCAGCTCAGCGTATCTGACTCAAGACTCCTCTGAAATCTGCCCCCACCGCTGACGAGCACTGAATGATCACAAAGTTAAGACTTTGTCCTCAGAACCTTCTCATCATTTTGGTTGTCTGAATCATGGTTCGTTATTTTTAATCACAATTTAAAATCTTAAGTTCCCAGGGTGGGTTATAGCCATTTAAACACTATATTAGTATTGAAAGAGCAATATTAAGAACTGCTCCAGCAGCTCAGAAGTTACAGAAATAAGATGTGCCCTAAAAAAAATGTGTGTGCACAGTGTCCTAAGCCAGGGTATTAATTATTAGTCGCTTTCCCTCCCTCATAAATTTACGAAGAAAGGAACATGGGCTGTAACTGGTCGCATTTTGGTGGGATCTTCCCCCTAGGTGATGATTCTGCAATGGAACCCCTGGAATCTCGACTTCCGTTGAAAAAAAGGAAGCAGGGATATATTAGTAACGGATCACTGGAAAATATCGCACGTTAGCCTGCAGATACTAAATGGGCTAAGGATTTTATTTATGTTAAGTGATGAATTACCGTATTTTTTGCTCTATAAGGCTCACTTTTTCCCTCCTAAAAAGTAAGGGGAAATGTGTGTGCGTCTTATGGAGCAAATGCAGGCTGCGCAGCTATCCCAGAAGCCAGAACAGAAAGAGGGATTGCTGCTTTCACTGTGCAGCGATCCCTCTTGCTGTTCTGGCTTCCGAGCTTCAGAATATTTTTTTTTCTTGTTTTCCTCCTCCAAAAACTAGGTGCGTCTTGTGGTCTGGTGCGTCTTATAGAGCAAAAAAATACGGTAATATGTTTAATTCCATAAGGTGAAGATCTAAGGATGTTAATGTTTAAGTTAAATTTCATAAAAATTGGTATTTGGAAAACCATTAAAAGGACATGCAATGAAATTCAACTAAGGGGAAGCGAGGAAGTCACTTAACAAAGTTAATAACTGTAATTTTCAATAAGGCTATGATTTATGTTTGTCTGTTTTATGTGTGTGTTTGTTTATAATATTGTGAAAACTAATAAAAAAAATGGGGAGGGAGAAGGAAAATATCGCACATTTTAGGAAACCTTCTGCAATGAAGAGTTTTTACAGGATTTCCAGTATTCAGATTTGGTGCACGTTCTAGTTTGGAGCCGCCACCAGCACTTTCCAAATAAAAGTGGGGGGGGGGGAGGATAATGTCAATAAATAAAATAGCTGCAAAGAAGCCCCTGCTCTGAGAGGAGGAGGAGGAGAGCCTCTCATGGAAACTCTCAGGTCGAAACTTTTGTTCCGACTCCCATTCCTGGCATCCATTGGATTCTTTCCGCAAGCAGACAGGGTGGTCTCTGGTGAGAATACACCGCCGGCTACTAATGAGACACCAGGGACTAGCGCATTGCAGCACACATTGAGTGCCTGCCTTTAAGTTGGGAGGCAGCCTCCTTTGCAAAGTTTTCCTGGTAGGCAGGGAGCTCTTATTCCCATGGTTGCCTTGTAAAATCCGGCGCTCCGTCTCTGCAGAAGCTCTCTCTTCTTAAGAGGGCAAGGTGCGCCCTGCGACATGCTCACTCTGGGCTGGGCAGCTTTCAATGTCGATCCCCTTCTGCAGCAAGGTGACTGTTTCCTTCGTGCGCTTCTTAAAACCGCTCGGGCCCATTGACTACAGTGGTACCTCAGGTTACATACGCTTCAGGTTACAGACTCCGCTAACCCAGAAATAGTACCTCGGGTTAAGAACTTTGCTTCAGGATGAGAACAGAAATCGTGCGGCGGCGGCAGCGGGAGGCCCCATTAGCTAAAGTGGTGCTTCAGGTTAAGAACAGTTTAAGGTTAAGAACGGACCTCCGGAACGAATTAAGTACTTAAACCGAGGTACCAGCAGAGGCTTGACAACCATATGTCAGGAGTGCTCTGATGGTGTTTCCTGATTGGCAGGGGGTTGGACTCGATGGCCCTTGTGGTCTCTTCCAACTCTATGATTCTATGATTCTACCACTGTATCGTGAAGGAATGGTGGAGAATTAAGACTAGGGCAGGGAAGGTGGCTGCCAACTGCTGCCAACCTAGCAGTTCGAAAGCATATCAAAGTGCAAGTAGATAAATAGGTACCGCTCCGGCGGGAAGGTAAACGGCGTTTCTGTGTGCTGCTCTGGTTCGCCAGAAGCGGCTTAGTCATGCTGGCCACATGACCCGGAAGCTGTCTGCGGACAGACGCCGGCTCCCTCGGCCTATAGAGCGAGATGAGCGCGCAACCCCAGAGTTGGTCACGACTGGACCTAATGGTCAGGGGTCCCTTTACCTTTACTAGGGAAGGTGGCGGAGAACCGGGTGGTTGGAGGGAGGGGGGCAAAAGGAAGGAGAAAATGAGGAAGGGTCACAACCCCATGGGCTGTTTTCTTATGGCACGGCCGGACGCAGCGAGCGCCTCTCAGTGTCAGCCACTGGGAATCGAAAGTTGCTGTGCCACCTTTTTCCAGTGTGTTTTCCTGTTGCCTTCCTTACCACGAAAGGCTGATATTCTTTGGGCGTGTGGTGTTAAAGTGGCTTTAATTTCATCCCATCAATTTTATTTATTTATATACAGCTTTTCTCCCAGTACGGGACCCCGGGCAGCTCATGGCATAAATTGAAACAGCTGAAAACACAGCAGTTGATAGGAACATGACACACACACACACACAGAAAGTTTGCGAGGAGGGAACGCGGTCCTTGAACTTAGAATAGTTCCCTACTCCTGGTTTCATAGAAAAAGCAGGGTCTTGAATCCTATAAGGTAAAGGTAAAGGGACCCCTGACCATTAGGTCCAGTCGTGACCAACTGGGGTTGCGGTGCTCATCTCGCTTTACTGGCCGAGGGAGCCGGCATACAGCTTCCAGGTCATGTGGCCAGCATGACTAAGCCGCTTCTGGCGAACCAGAGCAGCACACGGAAACGCCGTCAGATTGGCAAGTCCTAGGCTCTGTGGTTTAACCCACAGCGCCACCCGCATCCCTTTGAATCCTAGAAAGGCATAGATAAATACTAACTATGTGTCCTGCTTTTCTTTTTTAAAGGCCTCAGTTGGGAGGCAGAGTCCAAGGGTTGTGTCCTACCCTGCGCGGAACTTATGTCCTGGGAGACCCAGCCTTCATACCACGGCAGGTACGGAGATCTTGAATCTACCTAGTGCCAGGTACTGCAGGACTTCTGCCTTTCCCCCCTCCTCCGTCACCTGGCTCTCACCTCTGCGGGAAGGTGGGTCGCTGAGCATCCGCTCTGTATTCATCCACCTTGTCCCTGGTTTCCATTGGCTCTGAACCAGGGTGAGGACCTTGTCAGGCTCCCGACCTCCTGTCTGTTCAGAAAAGGCTTTCCCCTTTCCTGAAATGGAGGAATGCAAGAGATGGAAGAATGTCTCTAATAATAATAATAATAATAATAATAATTTATTATTTATACCCCGCCCATCTGGCTGGGTTTCCCCAGCCACTCTGGGCAGCTTCCAACAGAATATTAAAATACAATAACCTATTAAACATTAAAAGCTTCCCTAAACAGGGCTGCCTTCAGATGTCTTCTAAAAGTTTGGTAGTTGTTGTTCTCTTTGACATCTGGTGGGAGGGCGTTCCACAGGGCGGGCACCACAACTGAGAAGGCCCTCTGTCTGGTTCCCTGTAAGCTCACTTCTCGCAATGAAGGAACTGCCAGAAGGCCCTCGGAGCTGGACCTCAGTGTCCAGGCAGAACGATGGGGGTGGAGATGCTCCTTCAGGTATACTGGACCGAGGCCGTTTAGGGCTTTCAAGGTCAGCACCAACACTTTGAATTGTGCTCGGAAACGTACTGGGAGCCAATGCAGGTCTTTCAGGACCGGTGTTATATGGTCTCGGCGGCCGCTCCCAATCACCAGTCTAGCTGGCGCATTCTGGATTAGTTGTAGTTTCCGGGTCACCTTCAAAGGTAGCCCGTTTACAATTCCTCCCGAGACAGGGGGAATTCCTCTTCTCAGATTAGGGACATTAGCCAGGTGCGTTCTGCGACTGACACGGGTCCAACTGCAAACACGTGGAGATGTCTGGGTGCCGGGTTGGCAACTGATGTCTCCGTCTGGCTTAGCCCTTCCAGTGTTCTTAAGCAGAACAGCAGAAGAATGTATTTATTGCATTTATCTCCCTCCCTTTTCTCCAAGGAGTACATGGCTCACTCCCCCCTCCTCAGTTAATCCCTACAACAACCCTGTGAAGTAGGTTAGGAGGCTGTGATCTGACTCCAAGGTCACCCAGTGAGCTCCATGATGGAGTTCAGATTTGAACCCAGATCTCCCAGGTACTAGTCTGACACTCTAACCACCATACTCCACAGGCTTCCTAGAGTCCTTCTGCTAGGGGGCACTTCTATAAATTACCGTATTTTTCGCTCTATAGGATGCACTGGACCATAGGACGCACCTTGTTTTAGAGGGGAAGAACAAGAAAAAAAATTTCTCCCCCTCTCTGCTCAGTGCCCCTTCAGCGAAGCGGCAGGAGATACGGAGCCCCTTCCATTTCTCCTCCCGCTTGGCTGAAGGGGCACTGCGCAGCTCTCCCTCTCCTGAAGCCGGGAGAGTCTTGCTGTCCTGGCTTCAGCGAAAGAACCTGAAGCCTGTGGAGTGCAGCGGGAACTCGTGGCGGCTATCCCTGAAGCCTGGAGAGCGAGAGGGGTCGGTGCGCACTGACTCCTCTCGCTCTCCAGGCTTCAGCGAAAGCAACGCGAAGCCTCCGGAGTGCGGAGGGAGCGCTCCCTCTGCGCTTCGGAGGCTTTGCGTTGCTATCACTGAAGCCAAGGAGCCTGCATTCGCTCCATAGGACGCACACACATTTCCCCTTCATTTTTGGAGGGGGAAAAGTGCGTCCTATAGAGCGAAAAATACGGTAAGTAGGTGAACAAGTATGAGCAAAGCAAAATGTCGCTTAGAGAAGGATCTGAAATATCTTCCTTGAAGACTGAATTTGTTTTATTTTGAGTTTTATTTAAAGTTGTGTTGCAAGCTGCTTTAAGGATTTCCCCCCCTCTAAATAAAAAGCCTTCATTTCATATAAATGAAATGAAGAAGAAGAGATTTCATTTTTGGGGGGAGACGCCTAGACATTTCATTGTGGCAAACATAAAAGTTCAAGGTGGCATTTGACAATTAGCTTATATTATCTGAGTTTCTAACACAGCCCTTTGGTAAGAGATGGATTGGTACCCTAGCGGTGGTGAGCCTTTTCTGTGGTGGCTCCACGCCTTGCAGAATCACCTCCCCTAAGAAAGGTGCCCAACACCAGACTGTTGTTTTGATCTATGTTTAGATTGACTCGACTAACTCCCTCCTTTTAAGATTTTTTTTCAACCTTTGCTATATTTTGCTGCATATTTCAACCATTGCTATACAGTCGCACCTTGGAAGTCGAATGGAATCCATTCCGGAAGTCGATCCAACTTCTAAAACATTTGGAAACCAAAGCGCGGCTTCTGATTGGCTGCTCCTGCAGCCAATTGGAAGCCGCACCGAACAGCTAATTGGAAGCCGCACCGAACATTTGGCTTCTGAAAACCGGAACACTCACTTCCGGGTTTCGTTCGTTGGGGAGCCGATTTGTTCAGGAGCCAAGGCGTTTGAGATCCAGGGCACGACTGTATTTTGCTGCAAATTTCCCTTGCCATGGCGGCATACCCCGAAGGGCCGTTTTGCAAAAGCAACACCCCCCTTTTTAATCACTGAAACAGCCAGGCAGGAGATTTCCTCCCAGCCCTGGTGCTATGTCGCTGCTCGTGTGAGGAGTGTTCTTCGAAATGAACCTGCTTAATTGTTCCAAACGTCGTTCCATGCAGTGGTGTCTATGGGCTCAGGTGACCACCGCTTCAACCTGGCTGAGATCCTTTCCCAGAACTACGGTGTGCGGGAAGAGACTGAGGAAGATCAGCGGCAGGAACACTCACAGGGGAAAGCGAAGCCTTTGGAGGAGCTAGAGAAGAGCTTCAATGCCTCCCAGGTAAGGCACTTTGTGTGTTTTTTCTCCTCTCTCTTTTGAATAGATTTTATTAAAGTTTGGAAAAAGAAACACAGTGGTACCTCTGGTTGCGAACAGGATAAAGCGAGATGAACGCGCACCCCCAGAGTCGTTCACGACTGGACCTAATGGTCAGGGGTCCCCTTTACCTTTTATGATATGTAAAATGAACCATGGAAAGAGAAGAAGGGAAGTCATCAATATCTTAAGGATGTAAATTTAAGAAAAAATTTACAGTGGTACCTCGGGTTACCTACGCTTCATGTTACATACGCTTCAGGTTACACACTCCGCTAACCCAGAAATAGTGCTTCAGGTTAAGAACTTTGCTTCAGGATAAGTACAGAAATCGGGCTCCGGCGGCAGCGGGAGACCCCGTTAGCTAAAGTGGTGCTTCAGGTTAAGAACAGTTTCAGGTTAAGAACAGACCTCCGGAACGAATTAAGTATTTAACCCGAGGTACCACTGTATATGACACAGCTGGGTGGGTCCAGCGGCCTCACTGCGTCAAGGCAGCTTCCTATCTCCCTATAGTTTCCCATGACATGCATGCTGGTTCAGCTGCCAAATCTGCCCCCTTGATGCTCTGCCCGGCCGGCGTAGCTCCGGGGGTAGGGAGCCCCTTCCCTTCCTGACAAAGTTCTCCTGCCGTTCAGAACTCTGAAATGCCGTTTGAGGAATTGCTTGCGCTCTACGGCTACGAGGCCTCTGACCCCATCTCTGAGCAGGACAGCGAGAGCAACGATGCCTCCCCCAACCTTCCAGACATGACCCTAGATAAGGTAAGTCCCGTTTCCCCTGCCAGCCGCCTTTCCCTGCTTCCTTTTTTTAAAAAAAATGATATTTATTAAAGTTTCAAAGAAAAGATTACATAGATAAAAAGAAAAGAGAAAGAAAAAGAAATCAAAAAGAAAAAATACAAAATACAGAAAAAAGATTAAAAAAAACACTTTAAAAAAAACCACATCGATCTTTCCATAACTTACATTTCATTACTTTACTTCCCTGACTTCCTCACACCTCCCTTTTTTGTATTCCCGTTCTATTAGTTAATTCAGCAATTCCTTTCCCTCTTTGTTTTTGTCTTAATCCTTTAACTTAATATATTATAACTTTGAATTCTCATCTGTTAACAATCCATTTTTACATACACCTTTATAACATTGCTGCTAAGACCACTTAATTTCATTCTGACATCATTCTAACAGTCATTAATTTTGTAGTATTTCTGTAAATAATCTTTAAATTTCTTCCAATCTTCTTCCACCGACTCTTCTCCCTGGCCTCGGATTCTGCCAGTCATTTCCGCCAGTTCCATATAGTCCATCACCTTCATCTGCCATTCTTCCAGAGTGGGTAAATCTTGTGTCTTCCAATACTTTGCAATAAGTATTCTTGCTGCTGTTGTAGCATACACGCCTTTCCCTGCTTCCAGTCCTCATGGGGGTCACCTTTAAGGGGAGAAGCACAGCGACAGAAACCGAGATATGAAAATGGCACCTTAAACCCAAGTTGTGGGCGCAACAAGGTGCGCTTTTTTAATAACAAGAATTTGAACCTCCGTTTGTGTACAGCCTTTGCTTATGCCTCCTGCTGCTTGGACACGAAGGGAAGCAGACATGTTTGTCCTGATGCTGAATAAAATCCCTGTAAATACGCTTTACACAGCCTCTCTCTGCCCTTCCATTCACCCGGCTGCCAGCCGGTGGGCTGGAGCCAGCTGGGGGCCTGTCAATTGCCCCCCTTTCCTTGGACACGTCCCAACAGCGCCACCCGCATCCCCAAGCTAGAAGTTCGAAAGCACACCAGTGCAAGTAGATAAATAGGTACCGCTGAAGCGGGACATCACGCTGCAGTTTGTGTGGCTGCTGACAGGTGGCGCCGTTTACCAGGCCAGGATGCAAATTAACATCATTTAAATAGAGGCCTGTGGTTTTAACAGCCGCCCATTATTTCAAGCCGACGTCCTCGCTCTCGTTTGGCACAGCCTTCGCCAACCTAACGCCCCCTGGTCATTGTTGGACTATGACTCCCATCAGTGCCAGCCCAGGAGTTGTAGTTCGACAACATTGTGATGTTGTGCCAGGTTGCCAAATGCTGTTGTTGTTTAGTCGTGTCCAACTCTTTGTGACCCCCTGGACCAGAGCACGCCAGGCACTCCTGTCTTCCACTGCCTCCCGCAGTTTGGTCAAACTCATGCTGGTCTCTTCGAGAACACTGTCCCACCATCTCGTCCTCCGTTGTCCCCTTCTCCTTGTGCCCTCCATCTTTCCCAACATCAGGGTCTTTTCCAGGGAGTCTTCTCTTCTCATACAAAGCTGAAAATGAACGAACTGCAGCTAAAATATTGTGTTCGTTTTTTTCACACGGTCTAGTCCTTCCCCTGCCCACCCCCCTAATATTCTTAAGAGGGTCTCTTCTCCGGTCTTCAGAGAGTAGAAGTGAGGAGGCAGAAAAAGTCCTCCTTTCCTTCCACTCAGCTGTTTTAATCTGAAATCTTAGGCCCACAGCTCAGAAACGGCTTGCGCTAATGAAATTCCCTGTTGCAAAATTTGTCTAGAACAGTGGGAGTTTTGAACACTGGAGAAGCACGGGGACCCACAAGCCCTTTGAGGTGCCCCCTCCCCTTTTCAGAAAGGGTGTGGGGTGAATCCCCAATGAGGAAAGTGTGCGGTGTTTTGGACTTTTTTAGCTTAGGGAAAAGGCAAGTTAAGAGGTGGCACGGTATTTATTACAGTGGACCCGTGGATTATGTTACCTTCAGGTAACGTAACTTTCGGGTTGCCAACGCGGCAAGCCCGGAAGTATATACTTCCAGGTTTCGCTGCATGCGCAGAAGTGGCGCCTCATGTTGCAGACTTTTCGGGGTACGCAAGGGACGCGGGTGGCGCTGTGGGTTAAACCACAGAGCCTAGGACTTGCCGATCAGAAGGTCGGCGGTTCAAATCCCCGCAATGACGGGGTGAGCTCCCGTTGCTCAGTCCCTGCTCCTGCCCACCTAGCAGTTCGAAAGCACGTCAAAGTGCAAGTAGATAAATAGGTACCGCTCCGGCGGGAATACGCAGGAGAAATGATTTGGAGGAGATGTGGAAGGTGTTTGTAGAGTTTGTACTTTTAAAACGGAAAGGGGTCAAACCATCGGAAGAGGTGTTGACATTTTGGGAGGTTGGATAGTTACAATGGAATGGTTTTGGTGGTGGGGTGCACATTTTTATTTTATTAATATTACTTTGTCAAAATAAAATAATTTAAAAAACAACAACACCCTTCCTTCCTTCCTTCCTTCCTTCCTTCCTTCCTTCCTTCTGGTCAGGAGCAGATAGCAAAGGACCTGCTTTCTGGGGAAGAGGAAGAGGAGACGCAGTCTTCGGCCGACGACCTGACCCCTTCCGTCACCTCCCACGACGCCTCGGACCTTTTCCCCAACCAGATGGGATGTAAGTTTTCTCTGAAGTGTGTAGATGCCTCGAGAAAAAGGGAGCAAAGGCATAGTCGTATTTAACACACACGCAAAGGAAAGGCCAGCTGGGACCCTTCCCCTGCTTTTGCTTCTCTCGGCTGGATGCTGAGGTCCAGCACCGAGGGCCTTCTGGCGGTTCCCTCCCTGCGAGAAGTGAGGTTGCAGGGAACCAGGCAGAGGGCCTTCTCGGTGGTGGCGCCCTCCCTCTGGAATGCCCTCCCATCAGATGTCAAGGGAAAAACCAACTATCTTGACTTTTAGAAGACATCTGAAGGCAGCCCTGTTTAAGGAAGTTTTTAATGTTTGATGCTGTATTGTTTTTAATATTCAGTTGGAAGCTGCCTAGAGTGGCTTATTATTATTTTAATTGGTGGCTCTTTCCTAACGGGTTTTGTTTCTATTTCTTTGTATTTTACAACAATGCTTTGAAACTCTGGGGGAGCCGCCTCAAATCCTAACTTGGGAGAAAGGCAGAATATAAACACGAGAAGAAGTAGTAGTAGTAGTAGTAATAATAATAATAATAATAATAATAATAATAATAATATAAACACATGCAATGACAGCAGCCGCATCAAGAGTAGCAGCTAGCCATCAAGCTGAGTGGAAATACCACATTTAGGGCAGTCTGCACCCAAATTCCTTCCTTCCTTTATCCGTTCGTTTATATCCCACCTTTTTACCTCCCAAGGAACTCAAGGGGGCAGACGTGCTTCTCCCCCTCCTCACTTAATCCCCACAACAGCCCTGTGAGGTAGGCTTAGGCTGAGAGGCAGGGACCAGCCCATCGTCGCTCACCCAGTGAGCTTCATGTGGCTGGGAGGGGATTTGAGCCCCTGTCTCTCCCAGGTACTCTTCTCTGTTTAAACCCCACAATGACTCTGCAAGGCAGACTAGGCTGAGAGAGCCCCCCCCCCGGGTCCCCAAGTGAGCTTCATGTGTCCGAGTGCAGTGGATTTGAACCCTAGTCTCTGTCAGGCCCAGTTCACCTCGCCAGCTCTCTGCCTGCGGGCTTCTAGTAGACCCCTATGGCAAAGAGGACAGCGGAATTGACAGGCCTGCTCCGGACACAGGGCCCCTCTCTCTCGCTCCTTACGCCTTCCAGGCATTGAGGTTGTCTCTTCACCTTCCTCCCTTTCCGGAAAAAAAAGCAAACTTCCTGGCTGATGGAGGCAAAGGCCGCTGTTCCTCCCCGTGTGCTTCCTTCTCGGCCGAGGACTCGGAAGAAGACGCCATCCCCGCCAACGAATGCAAGAAGGTACGTCTTTGGGTCCGGTGGCGGGTGCTTGCCGTCCCCTGCCAAGGCACATGGGAAACAGGGAGGGGGCCCTGGCTAAGAGGAATTCTAAGAGAAGCTTCTTTCACCTGTTAAAGTATTTGGCCAGTATTGAAACATTCAGGAGTGCTGTTAGCCAATTGCCCGTTGTTGTTGTTGTTTAGTCGTGTCTGCCTCTTTGTGACCCCATGGACCAGAGCCTGCCAGGCCCTCCTGTCTTCCACTGCCTCCCGCAGTTTGGTCAAACTCATGCTGGTAGCTTCGAGAACACTGTCCCACCATCTCGTCCTCTGTCGTCCCCTTCTCCTTGTGCCCTCCATCTTTCCCAACATCAGGGTCTTTTCCAGGGAGTCTTCTCTTCTCATGAGGTGGCCAAAGTCCTGGAGCCTCAGCTTCAGGATCCGTCCTTCCAGTGAGCGCTCAGGGCTGATCTCCTTCAGAATGGAGAGGTTTGATCTTCTTGCAGCCCATGGGACTCTCAAGAGTCTCCTCCAGCAGCAGAATTCAAAAGCGTCCATTCTCCAGCAATCAGCCTTCTTTATGGTCCAGTTCTCACTTCCATACATCACTACTGGGAAAACCAGAGCTTTAACTATACGGACCTTTGTTGGCATGGTGATGTCTCTGCTTTTTAAGATGCTGTCTAGGTTTGTCATTGCTTTTCTCCCAAGAAAATGCCCATTAGGCTCTGTCTGTTTTTCGGGCAGACGTTTTCACAGCTCTGTTACGTTTTGCAGATCTGCTGAATCTTAATCGATATGGGAGCTGCCCCTTCTCCCATCTTCAGCCGACGTTTCCACCAGGCAGCTTGGAGGCCGAAAGGATCTAGTTGATCTCAGTAGGACTAGGTTTTTCAGGGCAGGTCTTTGATCCCTTGCTGGCTTACAATCGTACTTAAAACACTTCCTGGAAACCTTGCCCATCCTGGTTTTCCCAAGGTTTGTGGTGGGACCTCTCTTGTGGCATTCACCGTTTTCTTCCGTTCCTTCAGGAAGGGATAAATAAGCAGTCAGGAAAATGGTTGGGGGATCACTTCTGTTCCGGGCGAGGAACGGAAGAGTTGTGTCGCCTATTGCCCTCTATTGCTCCCAGGACGTTTCCGAGCACAATTCAAACTGTTGGTGCTGAACTTTCAAGCCTTAAATGGACAGGTGTGGAAGACTCCCTGGTCCTGAATGGGGTCACTGTGCCCCTGAAGGACCAAGTGTGCAGCCTGGGGCTCATTTTGGACTCCCAGATGTCCATGGAGGCGCAGGCCAATTCTGGGTCTAGGGCAGCTGCCTACCAGCTCCATCTGGTACGCAGGATGAGACCCTCCCTGCCCGCAGACTGTCTCGCCAGAGTGGTGCATGCTCTGGTTATCTCCCGGTTGGACTACTGCAACGCGCTCTACGTGGGGCTACCTTTGAAGGTGACCCGGAAACAACAACTAATCCAGAATGCGGCAGCTAAACTGATGACTGGGGGTGGCCGCCGAGACCACATAACACCAGTCCTGAAAGACCTATATTGGCCCCAGTACGTTTCCGAGCACAATTCGAAGTGTTGGTGCTGACCTTGAAAGCCCTAAATGGCCTCGATCCAGTATCCCTGAAGAACATCTCCACCCCCATCGTCCAGCCCAGACACAGAGGTCCATCTCCGAGGGCCTTCTGGTGGTTCCCTCCCTGCGAGAAGTGAGGTTACAGGGAACCAGGCAGAGGGCCTTCTTGGTAGTGGCGCCCTCCCATCAGATATCAAGTAAATAAACAACTACCGTATCTGACTTTAAGAAGACAGCTGAAGGCAGCCCCATTTAGGGGAGTTTTTAATGTTTGATATTTTATTGTGTTTTTAATATTCTGTTGGGAGACGCCCAGGGTGGCTGGGGAAATCCAGCCAGATGGGCAGGGTATAAATAATAAAATATTGTTGTTGTTGTCTATATCTAGATAGATAGATACAGGACGCAGGTGGCGCTATGGGTTAAACCACAGAGCCTAGGACTTGCTGATCAGAAGGTCGGCGGTTCAAATCCCCGCGATGGGGTGAGCTCCCGTTCCTCAGTCCCTGCTCCTGCCAACCTAGCAGTTCGAAAGCACATCAAATGCAAGTAGATAAATAGGTACCGCTCCGGCGGGAAGGTAAACAGCGTTTCCGTGCGCTGCTCTGGTTCGCCAGAAGCGGCTTAGTCCTGCTGGCCACATGACCCAGAAGCTGTTCGCCGGCTCCCTCGGCCAGTAAAGCGAGATGAGCGCCGCAACCCCAGAGTCGGCTACGACTGGACCTAATGGTCAGGGGTCCCTTTACCTTTACCTAGATAGATAGATAGATAGATAGATAGATAGATATGGAAGAGGTACTCCCCTCCCAGCTTACCTCCAAGAAGCAGGAGAGGCGAGGAAAGATTGGTACACAACTACTGCCAATTGAATGATCCTGCTGATGTTATTTGTTATTATTTCGCTCACAGGAGATCATGGTTGGTCCTCAATACCAGGCGGCTGTTCCCCTCCTCCACCTGAACAGGCATGGCGAAAAAGGTAGGCAAACCTTGGGCACTGACATGCTCTGGACTTCATCCCAGCCAGAGTTTTGTGTGTGTGTGTGTGTGTGTGTGTGTGTGTGCATCTGCGTGTGTTCCAAGAGAACCAGGGGAGAGTAGAATTTGGCTCCTGGGGAAAAGCCAGCATCCTCTTTCTAAGAGAAGGAGCTTTTATATTTAAAAAAGCATCCTTCGCATTTGATTCCTTGGCTGGTCGCCACAGGCGAGCAGGAATTCCATGCGGGCGAGCGGGCTCAGTGAAGGAGGCATGCGCCTTTCCGTTCCTCCTGTTGCCACAACCCACTTGGTTCTGGGGAGGCTTCGGAGGGGAAGGTGTCCGCCCCACAGTCTGTGTCACTCAGCCGCCAGCCGGTTTAGGTAAAGGTAAAGGGACCCCTGACCATTAGGTCCAGTCGTGGCCGACTCTGGGGTTGCAGCGCTCATCTTGCTTTATTGTACAGCTTCCGGGTCATGTGGCCAGCATGACTAAGCCGCTTCTGGCAAACCAGAGCAGCGCACGGAAACGCCGTTTACCTTCCCGCCAGAGTGGTACCTATTTATCTACTTGCACTTTGACGTGCTTTCGAACTGCTTAGGTGGGCAGGAGCAGGGACCGAGCAACGGGAGCTCACCCCATCGCAGGGATTCGAACCGCCGACCTTCTGATTGCCAATCCCTAGGCTCTGTGGTTTAACCCACAGCGCCACCCGCATCCCACACCAGCCGGTTTAGTGGAAGGCAAAGTATTTGCTTGGGGCCCTTGATCTCAGACCCGCCCTCCGATGTTTCCTCTCTCCCAGTCTACGAAAACGACGACCAGCTTCTTTGGGACCCAAACATCCTCCCCGAGAGGGAAGTGGAAGAGTTCCTTTACCGAGCCATAAAGAGAAGGTGGGACGAAGTCTCGAACGCCAGCCTTGCAGAGGGGGACACGGTCAAGGACAATGAGCAAGTGAGTTCAGTGTTCATTCCCAAACAGCGTGTGAGATGGCAGTGTGCCATGAGATACAAATCCATCTTGAAAGCTCCTGTGAGCCCCAGCCCCTGCCGTCGCAGAAGAGTCTACCTGCAGCCTCTCTGCCTGAGTCTACTCCATTCTTTCCTCTTCTTAGGCCCCATCTGCACTCTATATGTTTAAAGCCGTTTCATGCCACTTTAAACAGTCACGTCTTTCCCCAAAGTATCCTGTAAAGCAGCGTTTCTCGAACTTGGGCCCCCAGCTGTTGTTGGACAATTAATTAACAATAATAATGGTTTTATTATTTATAGCAATTAAAGGTAAAGGGACCCCTGACCATTAGGTCCAGTCGTGGCTGACTCTGGGGTTGCGGTGCGCATCTCTCTTTATTGGCCGAGGGAGCCGGCGTACAGCTTCCTGGTCATGTGGCCAGCAGGACTAAGCCGCTTCTGGCGAAACCAGAGCAGCACACAGAAACGCCGTTTACCTTCCCGCCAGAGTGGTACCTATTTATCTACTTGCACTTTGACGTGCTTTCGAACTGCTAGGTTGGCAGGAGCAGGGACTGAGCAACGGGAGCTCACCCCGTCATTGCGGGGATTCGAACCGCCGACCACCTGATTGGCAAGTCCTAGGCTCTGTGGTTTAACCCACAGCGCCACCCGTGTCCCTTTTATAGCAATTATAGCAATACAAACACAAAACCATACCCTAAAACCATTAACAAGTTAGCAACAGGTTATCTATTAACTGTTTGGAAGGATGTAATCTTAATTGCCTGCATAGGCCTGGTGGAACAGAAACGTTTTCGGCAAGCGTTTAGAAATTGTCACAGAAGGTTCCTGCTGGAACTCTAGTGGCAGGGCGTTCCACAGGACCGGACCGACGACGCTGAAGTTCCCCGCTTCTCTTAGACGTGCTTCCCTTTGCTCCACAGGCGCTGTACGAACTGGTAAAGTGCAACTTCAACGCCGAAGAGGCGCTGCGGAGACTCCGGTTCAACGTGAAGGTCATTCGAGGTGAGAGATTCCTGGGGGTAGGGAATAATTCCCCCTCCCCAGCCCTGCTGGCTTTCCCAAGTGAGACAGTATCAACACATCCTTCTCTCCAAGGAGCTTGGTGGAGGTGGGGGCGGGGAGAACTCCATAGCTGTCAACTTACAGATTTGAAAATAAGGGACCAGCAGCCTCGAAAATAAGGGATCAGCAGCCAAAATAAGGGATTTTCCTAGCACAGGTATGTTCAACTTCTGAGCCCCCTGAGCCAAAGGCAGAAAGCCCAGCCAGCAGCCAAACAAAGCCTCAAGCGGTGGTTCCAACAGCGCAGCAACCCGGCAAAGGGGATGCAGCAAGGAAAACCACCATTACCTCTCCGCTGGGAAGCGCTGAGCAAAGGCGAGTCCCCAGGCAACGCGGCCGATTTGATCGGCACAAGGCATGCAAGCTCCACCCCCCAGTCGTTCTTAGGCTCCTTATTGGGTGAGCAACGCAGCCAAGCAACACAGTTGGAGCCTCCCTCCTCCCTGGCCGGCAGGGAGGGAGGGAGAGGAGCTGCTTCCTTTGAAACCCGGGAAATTTAAGGGACATCATCAGTAAGGGGCAGCAGCGGGACACGGCGCTGGGATAAGGGACTTTCCCACCAAATAAGGGGCGGTTGACAGCTATGGAGAACTCTTCAGTCACACAGAGAAACATCTATTGGAGAAGTTCTGCAAACTTTCAGCAGGTGTCTCTCACAAATAACTCCCCCCGTTGCCTCCGCTACAGATGAGCTCTGTGCCTGGAGCGAAGAGGAATGCAGGAATTTCGAACACGGGTTCCGCGTCCACGGAAAGAACTTCCACCTTATCCAAGCAAACAAGGTAGTTGGCCGTCGTGTGTATGTCGCCCAGGACAGCGGGTCTCCCTGCAATCACGAGTGAAGCCCGGGAATAGAGGAATAACCCTTTAAAATGCCCATAGAGCTGTAGGAGGAGATCTGGGAGACTGTTTGCAAGTTCTGCTTCTAGCTCGATGTGCTTTTCAAGGCTCGGAGCAATTGTACTGGCTCTCGCACCCAGATCCCTTGGAAAATAAAGTGTTCATGTATGCATGTACTGTCATACCTCAGAAGTTGAATGAAATCCATTCTGGAAGTCCGTTCGACTTCCAAAACGTTCGGAAACCAAAGCGCAGCTTCTGATTGGCTGCAGGAAGCTCCTGCAGCCAATCGGAATCTGCGGAGCACCCGTCGGACATTTGGGTTCCAAAAAACGTTCGCAAACCGGAACACTCACTTCTGGGTTTTGATGGTTTGGGAGCCAAAACATCCATTCGGGATCCAAGGTATTACTGTATGAGCTTTCTCTATTTCTGTCTCTAGGAGAGGGGAGGGGGTGGGTGGGGTCGGTCTCAAGACCTCCAGGGCTGACCCGAAGTTTTCCTTCAGGTGGGCAGGAATGTCTTAATTCTTTTGCATTTTTGCTTAGTTAAGAAGACTGCGTGCAGCTTGCAAGGTTCAGCCCAGCGGGAACTTGGGTCTCAAGTTTGGTCCCTGAAATCTCGGACTGGGATGTTCCTGAACTGGCAACCCTATGGGTGGCTTCTGTGACACACACACACACCCCAAAGTCAGGTGGGCCCATGGGCCTAAAAATATTGGTAACCTGTGTGCTACAGAAATGTGAAGTATTGCACTGGTCAACAACAAATTTGTTTGCGTTTTTTCAGTTGATTTAGGACGAATCTGATGCGCTGAATCCAAAAATCACATTGGTTTTGCTCAGTCAGGTCAAGTTTTTGAGCTATGGCCACATGTCGTTTTTTTACGTTTTTGTTCACATGTACGCTTGTGTGAAGCATTTTAGAAGAAGTTGGTGGCGGTAAAATGCCATGTCGAATAATTGTTTTGATTGGAAACGATTATTTTAATGACAAGAAGTATTCAGGTCCGATAGTTCTGGGTGATTCAATGAACGAAGTGGAACTGGAAGCGTGGAAGGCATTTGTTCTGGTAGTGAAGATCTTTCTTGGCAACAATAAGGCCAGAACTATGCAGAACTTGTCGACAACATGCTGACTGCTTTCAGAAACCTGGGCTGCAACATGAGCATCAAGATGCACTACCTATTTTCACATATGGACCGGTTTCCTGAGAACCTGGGTTCAGTGAATGACGAGCAGGGGGAGAGATTCCATCAGGACATGAAAGAGATAGAGACCAGGTATCAGGGTCGCTGGGACGCAGTCATGATGGCTGGCTACTGTTGGACTCTGAAGAGAGACCTCCCTGCCGCTGAGCATTCCAGGAGTTCCAAGAAACGGAAGTTCAAGCCCTGAAGTTTGAAAAATGGTGAAGCAACATGCAATTTACGTGTACTTACCTTTATCAATGCCCACCATTCAGTTTACAGTAATCGATGTTTCTATCAAGTAATCAATATATGTTGTTGGAAAAACATTTTCCCCCTTAAAAACATATTTAGGATGATATGTGTTGACAAAAATCAGCTGATAATGCCACAAAAATGTAATCGATTTTGTCACAAGATCTGATTTTTTTTCAAATCGACATAGCACAAAAACCTGACCTGATGGAGAGAAACGGATGCCATTTCCTGATTCAGCAGTGCAAAAATACCCTAAATCAATTGTAGAAATCTAGACAACATTCAAAAAGTAAAAAATTGTTGCCCAGTGTTATTCTTTTGTGTTGGAGAGAACCCTTTGCAAACTGATTAGTAATCTCTCAGGCATCCTACCCCTTCCTTCCCCCCACCCCAGAAAAAAATGTTATGTAAGCCTAGTGCTTCCCAGAGGATTCTGGGATGTGTGTTCTGTTCACATAAGCGTGGGGTTGCCATATTTCAAAAAGTAAAAAAAAAAAACAGGACATCCCCAAAGTTGGTGAGCTTTTTTTTTTTCCACCCCAAAAAATCCGCGATTTCTCGGTTTACTTGCCGAAGATCCAGAACAAACCGCCACCTTGCGGGAATCGCCCCTGGACGTCACTTCCGCCTTCGAAATCCCGGACGTATGGCAGTCCCGACACAAGTCTCGCTCCTGAGAGGTGTTCCAGAAGCCGTGGCCTGTCCTAACCTTTTCCCTCTCCTCCCTTTTCCCCCGCAGGTCCGCACCCGGTCGGTAGGCGAATGTGTGGAGTACTATTACATGTGGAAGAAATCGGAGCGCTACGATTACTTCACCCAGCAGACGCGGTTTGGAAGGAAGAAGTATGTTCCCCTACTGCCACCCTGGAGCATTGTGGGAGCTGGGTCGAGTGTTGGGGCCCGTGTCTACAGCACCGGGTGAATCGCAGGCCCAGGGGCTTGAGTTGGAGAAGGAGCTGGAAGAAAGAAGCAAGGAGGGAGCTGAAGGCCAGGAAACAGAAGAGAGGGAAAGACAGGGGGAGAGGAACACTAGGAAGTGGAAGGGAGGGAAAGGAAGTAAGAGGGAGAGGGAGATTTGGAAGTAGGAGAGGAAAACTGGCAGGTGCCCACATTTAATCTGGAAGCATTTAAGCTTTAGCAGGAGGAGCGACACACACACCCTGGACAACTGGGACGCAGGTGGTTCTGTGGTCTAAACCACTGAGCCTCTTGGGCTTGCTGATCGGAAGGTCGGCGGTTCGAATCCCTGCGACGGGGTGAGCTCCCGTTGCTCTGTCCCAGCTCCTGCCAACCTAGCAGTTCGAAAGCACGCCAGTGCAAGTAGATAAAGAGGTATTGCTGTGGCGGGAAGCGGCGTTTCCGTGTGCTCTGGAGTTGATCCCGGTGAGGGTTTGCCAAGCATGCCCTCCTCTTAGCACATTTCTCCTTTTTGTTCTGAGCTCGAGCGTTTTCAAAGCCCATGACATCTTCGGTAAAGGCTGTTGTCCAATTGGAGTGCTCACAGTCCAGTGTTTCCCAGTTGTCGGTGGTTATACCACGTTTTTAAAGATTTGCCTTGAGAGAGTCTTTTGTTGACCACCAGCATTACGCTTTCCATTTTTGAGTTTGGAGTAGAGTAGTTGCTTTGGAAGACGATAGTCAGGCATCCACACAACATGACCAGTCCGACGAAGTTGATGTTGAAGAATCATCGCTTCGACACTGGTGATCTTTGCTTCTTCCTGTGCCACACATGCTGCACGGTCACAGGCTGCTCCCCACTCTGCAGGAGGGACCCCCCGCCCAATATTCCCCTTTCTTTCTTTTTTTTAAAACAAGGACCTGGATTTGTAGAACCTGATATAGAATGCAAAACATGCAGGCACTATTCTCAGAGTGCGTTTGTTTGTCTGTCTGTCTGTCTGTTTGTTTGTTCGTTTGTTTGTTTGTCACCGCTTGTAATTCCAAATGCGTAGGCCTGAAAATGTGGGGCTTGGATGCCCCCACCCCATAATTGGTTAAAGCAGAGGGGGACACAGCGTCATAATCTGCAAATGCGTTTTGTTTTGCTTCCCCCCAACCTGTAGGGATTACGTGGATAATTTTTTGGATGGTGGCGAAGTAGAAAGTGCCAGTCGTTCGCGAAGTTCCCCACCCATCCCTTCGTCCACTGGATGCCTTGACTCTCGTTTCAACCCAGATCACCTGGCAATCGAAAGCACAGGTAGGCTGGTCGGAATTACCCTTGTTCGGTTTTCAAAACTCCTGAGTCCTGTAAAAGCACGTTTATTTGTCATTTACTACAACTTACGTTGCTGCTTAATTACAGTAGTCTAAGCAGTGTACAGGGACGCAGGTGGTGCTGTGGGTTAAACCACAGAGCCTAGGGCTTGCCAATCAGAAGGTCGGCGGTTCGAATCCCCGCAACGGGGTGAGCTCCCGTTCCTCAGTCCCTGCTCCTGCCAACCTAGCAGTTCGAAAGCACGTCAAAGTGCAAGCAGATAAATAGGTACCGCTCCGGCGGGAAGTTAACGGCGTTTCCGTGCGCTGCTCTGGCTCGCCAGAAGCGGCTTAGTCCTGCTGGCCACATGACCCGGAAGCTGTACACCGGCTCCCTCGGCCAATAAAGCGAGATGAGCGCTGCAACCCCAGAGTCGGTCAGGGTCAGGGGTCCCTTTAACCTTTACCTTTAAGCAATGTACAAGTAACTTAAAAGTACCCGCAAAAATGACAAATCACTGTCTCGTTATATCAAGTAAGCTTGCTATACAGTGGTACCTTGTCTAGCGTCCGCCTTGTTGAGCGCCCGTTCCTTCAAACGTCCGTGGCAAACCCGGAAGTACCGGAACGGGTTACTTCCGTGTCGCCCCATGCACAGAAGCACAAACCGATCCATGCATGTGCGCAGATGCGGTGCTTTGTCCAGCGTCCTTTTCAGCCAGCGACTGGGGCTCCGGAACAGAACCCGGTCGCAAAATGAGGTACTACTGTTTTGTGAAACTGTAACGCTGTCATCACCCTACAGTAGGACATGTTGGATTTTTCAGCTTTCAGATTCCAAAAATGAAGGGGGCGAAAATGTTCTAACATGACTTTGGGAATTCAAAGGATATTTTGGTTCAATTAATATAAATCGGTTTTCTCCCGAAATAGCAACCTTGCTAGGGGGGAGGGCATTCCCCAGCTTGGGCACCGCCACCGAAAAGGCCCTGTCTTGGTGACTCCCATTTTTAGAGTGTGCAGTAGTTGAAATCAAGTACCTGTGATGTGTGAACCAGGCTTTTGTGTGTCTCCCCCCCGCACAGAACCTTTGAGCATCGAGAGCGCAGCGTGCAGTTTGGGCAGCACGAGTGAGTCGGGCCACGGCTACGAGTACAGCACCCCTTCGGACACAAACTGTTCCTTTGACCCCGCCGAGGAAGCCGCCGCCGGCAGCGGGGCGCCCACTTTCCTGCAGCGCCCGCCAAACCCGCCCGAAGCCGGCTTCTACCAGGTGGCCGCAGCCGGCAAACAGGAGCCACTGCGGTGCTCGGGGAACGCCCTTGCCGTGGACTTCACCCTCCCCGGGAACGTCGCGGAGGGGCTGCCTTTAATTTCCGGCCACGTGGGACTGGACAGGGATCCAGAGACGTTGGTGGCCCCCTCTCAAGTGTCCTTATCGGTCCCGGATTTCAGCCTCCTTGGCATTGGAGATGTAAATAGCTTCCTGGCCACTCAGCAGGCCTGCCCAGCTCCCAGGGGTCACTCGGAGTCCTTGTCTCAGTGACTGCAGCCTCTGCGTAGGGGTCCGCTGACGGACGAAAGCTGACTCTGGCAGGACTGGACGGAATTGCCCTTTGGGAGGGGGCACGGAGACGGGTCAGCCTATCGTCACCCTTCCTTCCCCCGCACTCTCCCCCGGGGCCACAAGCGCCGGTCAAGAGCTGTCCGGTCCTTGCCTTTCCAAATCGCGGGGGGCGGAAGGGGCGCCCGCTGCTCTTCCTGCCCCTGTGCTCGACGTCCCTCTGGCGAAACCAAACGCCTCCGTCGTACTCTCTCGCACAGCTTTGCAAAAGAGAGAGAGAGAAAGCCGATGGAGGGGAACCCGTGACCCCCATGGGGCCGTTGTAGATGGGGGGCAAAGCCATGCAGGGGGCAGACGAAGTCTTCCTCCCCAACAACCCCGCCCTGGGCAAGCTGGATTTCCAGCATCGCCAGCCGAGAAAAACCCCCGGCGCAATGCGGGAGGCCGCAGAGATAGAGAGGGTCGCCAGGAGCACTTTTAGAGAAGGAGATGTATCGGTGGGGCGGAATACTTTCACACACGGCGCGAGCGGACGTGGAACACAACTGGTCCCGAAGGTGCAAAGCAAGCTGAGTTGGGCACTTTCCTTCAGTTGTGGTGGCACCTCTGTTTAGTTTCGTTTTCAGAAGCGGCGGGGGACATTCCTTTTTGCCAAACCTTGCGGTCACATCCTGGTTTGCCATGGGGTGGGTGGAATCGCCACCCTGCTCCCGCTTTCGTCCCTACACAAGCACACCGCCCCAGGCCTTTTTTTAAGGCACCCTCTTATCGGGACCCGCCTTCTGGGCAGAGGGAGAAACTTCATCCCCTCCAACAGCACCCTGCATTGCGAAGACGGTAATCCGCACGTCGCAGCCTTCTGAAGATGCATCGGCTTCCGGGGATGGTGATGGGTTGGGGAGGACGTGGAGGGGCAGAACGGAAGAAGGCTCCCTGGCCCTGTTGCCAGAACTCCACAGCTCTCAGGCGGGTTGTGGGGCGGGGCGCTCCAGGGGTTGACGTTCGCCGTGGCGGGTCTCGAGACCAGGCTTCCGAAAGCCAGCAAGAATCTGCGTGTTTGCTTTTGCCAGAAGAGAGGCAGCCGGGTGGCGGCAGGAGCACAGGGCCGCCGGTTGGAGTGCCAAACTGAGACTCCGGGGAGGGAGGTATACGTGCGTTCTGTGCGTGAGAGAGAGCATGAAACGCGGGTGTCCCGTCCTGTCCCCCCAACCTTGCCCGGTTCGGCCAGCTGGCAAAATACTACGAGGACGGACTCCGTGCCATTCAAACCTCCTTGTCTCCCTCTTCTTCCATTTTTCTCAACCTCAGCCATGGGGAAGCTTTTTTCCTTGTTGCTGGTAATACGGTATATCCCTTTCCCCCCCATCATTTTCATTTTGTGGTGCAGGGCGATGGTGGTTCGTGGCAGCATACATACCCTTAACCTAATTCCGCCGGCCCCTCAAGCATCGGTCGTCCACCTGGCCATTCACTCCTTTCTTGGTCATGCAACTAGGGGCTTTTCTTCCAAACTGCGGGAGCTGATAAGGTGTGGAGACAACTTCCTACACCTCTCTCCTGTGTCCGTCTCCCTGCATAAACCTTGGTACACCACCCTGCAGTTTCCAGGTGGCAGTTGGCAGCCGTGGATTGCATCCTCTAATAATCGCTTTGTTGGCCTCCGTTGATACTAGCGGCAGCAATCGTGGTTAGCGCACGAGCCTCCTGTTGCACGGTTCACACCCGCCATGCAAAAGGCAGGGGAGAGTCTTGCACAAGTGTCGTGCCGGCTCTGATCAGGGAGTCGGGCGGCAGATTAAGAGAGCTAGAGAGGGCTCATTTAATGTGGGGCTTGTGGTCACGGACCCAGCAAAACAGAGCACGTTGCGTTGTGGCACCATCTCAAGTGAGACTCAAATGTGCATCCGTGCCCACTTTGAAGATTCACAGCACTTGGCTGCCAGAAAACTCCTATAAGTGAGTTGTGCAATGGGTATCTAATACCACCCTTGCACTTGCAAGTCATCCCGGGTCGCCGCTATTCCATCGGCTGCCCCTGTGGCCATCTTGACTATGAGGCGTCAATGAGGACTGATGGCTTTTCAGTTTTCCTTTGGTGTAGCGTTTTGCAGCTGAAGTAGGGCCACACATTCCGTCGGGCCTTAAGTCTTCTGCTTCCTCCTCTCTCTCTCTGCCCACCTACCCCCACTTTTGCTTCCTTTAGTTCACGCCCGTCCAATCTTGACCTTCCCCCAGACAAGCCCGTTCACAGCTCTCAGGGGTGCAGTTTTCTTTCTATGAGTGCTCTGGATACAAGCCAGAGGTGCTGCTGTAGGGTTGCCTAATTTCCTTTGCACTCAAATCTCCCCCACTCAAATCTCTTGGCATTCCCGTATAGACCGTAGAGGAGACCTTAGGAAAACGGTCACGTCTCCATCCCTGCGGTAAATAACGCAGTGGTACCTGGCCTATTTCCTCAGATCACCCAGGTGTGAGCTGTGCATCCTTTCCCCAGCCAGCTGCCTCTAAAAGTCCCAGAACTTATGGCTATTCCATTGACTACAGTGGTAGTCAGACGAAACAGCAACAGAGAGATCTCCGGTTCATGGAACTTTTAAGAAATCGGTTTGCGTGTGCCCACTGCATTGCACCCAAATAAATGCCTCTGAATTTACACCGGGATATGTTTTCCCACTCCACCCCCCATCTACCCGAGCAGCCTCTGTAAAAAGGGGGGGAAGTGAAATTCGGCCCACTTAGCTGCCCATGAAGCACCCTCACCCGTTCATAATATCCCTTTTTTATTATTTATTTACGGGATCCTTTCTTGCAACATTTAGGAGACTTTCTCTCCACTGACTCTCTTGCCATCTTGTTACCTATCTCCTATTTCATTTCTCTCCCTTCTCGCCCCCCCCCAATTTCATATTTTAATATGTCTAATTTATAAATATATTCTTTCCCACCCACCCCTCTCCCCGCAGAAAAAATGTTTGTTTACAGGTTGTGGGGAAGCGGGATATATATATATAGATATATATGTATGCCGCGGAAACTTATGTGTGTCTTGGGGCAACGGGGTATTCCACGAAAGGGGGAGGCAGACCAACAGCTTTCCTCTCCTGTTTCCCTTCCTTCCGCCTCTCAGGGAGGGGAAGGGATGTCGTGAACGTGATTCCGATACACCGCACCCCGGGCGCGCCACTGACACGTTCTGGTGAGAAGCGCGAAGGGTCTCTCCACTGTGAAGTGAAAACTGCCTTGAATTACCCTTCATTTATTTATTTAATTATAAAGCCTACGTTGGAGGAAACGACAACGGGGGGAAAAACAGACGAAAGAGTCGAGTTTTTATTTACTTATTTCTCCTCCCGCAGATAATGCCAGCAGCTGTTGCTTTCGCTCTGGAATTCTAACAGCAAAAAACCTCTGCGGTTTTGAGAGGTTCGGTCAGCCCCCTTGATTCAAAAACGGCGTCCAAAACGCAGGTGAGCTCCTGCTCCTCCATCCCAGGAACTGCCATGCAAAGTTTGGCCAGGATATTGGAAAGGGGCCATTGGGAAAATTTTGGTTATGTTTGGTGCAGTCTGGAAAGGCTCCCATCTGCCATCTTGATTCAAAATGGTAGCTGGCTGTATCCAAACGTAGGTGGAAACCTTTTAAACCTTCAGCACCACCGTGTAAACTTGGGTTACGGTGTCTTAGTGGCTGAATGTGGCCCTCCAAAACTCTCTGGCCCCTGGTACTCTCCTGGTGCCACTCTCCTTTTGCCAGGCCACGCCCCTTTCCACAGACCACGCCCCTCACCTGCCCTGCCCCCTCCTCAAGTGTTTTTTGTGTCTCACTGGAAATATGACTCCAAACTCTGATCACGCTTCCTCCTCGCCTGGGCGGAGGATGTTTATTTGTAGAACGTGGCCTTCTGTGCAAAGGTAAAATTTGCATCGCTCTGCTCTCCATTGGCGTTTGGCCCTCGGAAAGTTGCCCAGAAAGTGAATCCATCCCTCAACTCCAGAAAAACTTCGCACCCGCTACATAAGATGGTGCTCTGTCCGTAAACTTATTCATTGCTCCAAAGAGTAAGCGGCAATGGTCGCATCCCAACCTGCCTATACAGTGGTACCTCAGGTTACAGACTCCGCTAACCCAGAAATAGTGCTTCAGGTTAAGAACTTTGCTTCAGGACGAGAACAGAAATCGTGCGCCGGCGGTGTGGCCGCAGCAGGAGGCCCCATTAGCTAAAGTGGTGCTTCAGGTTAAGAACAGTTTCAGGTTAAGTACGGACCTCCGGAACAAATTAAGTACTTAACCCGAGGTACCACTGTATCATAATTGTAGGAATGTGAAAAGATGCTAGGAAAGGAACTCTTTATTAGGTATCATCCTTCCTCACATTTGTGAGTTCAGCAGAGTGCCATTCCTTTGCAGCTTAAAAAGGGAAGCTTGGATAAGCCTTTTGGTTTAAATAATCCGGGACGCTTTAAGGCAGACTGAATTCACCTGGTATTTCCCCCTTTCTCCCTCTTTAAACAACAACAACAATCTATTATTTATACCCCGCCCATCTGGCTGGGTTTCCCCCGCCACTCTGGGTGGCTCCCAACAGAACACTAAAAACACAATAAAAGATCAAACATTAAAGACTTCCCTAAACAGGGCTACTTTCAGATGTCTTCTGAAAGTCAGATAGTTGTTTATTTCCTTGACATCTGGTGGGAGGGCGTTCCACAGGGCGGGCGCCACCACCGAGAAGGCCCTCTGCCTGGTTTCCTGTAACTTCACTTCTCGCAATGAGGGAACTGCCAGAAGGCCCTCAGAGCTGGACCTCGGTGGGGGTGGAGATGCTCCTTCAGGTATACTGGGCCGAAGCTGTTTAGGGCTCTCAAGATCAGCACCAGCACTTTGAATTGTGCTTGGAAATGTACTGGGAGCCAAGGTCTTTTAAGACCGGTGTTATGTGGTCTCAGTGGCTGCTCCCAGTCCCCAGTCTGGCTGCCGCTTTCTGGATTAGTTGTAGTTTCTGGGTCACCTTCAAAGGCAGCCCCACGTAGAGCGCATTGCAGTAGCCCAAGCGGGATATAACGAGAGCATGGACCGTGTCACCACACAAACCGTCTCATGAAAGGTGAAAATAACAAGTTACTCACTCGGAGTACTTGTTGGAAGAGTAACACACAACAGGCAACTTTGTTCAGGCAGGCTTAAAACGGTAATTTGGTTACAAAGTTGTGCTTAAAGGTAAAGGTACCCCTGACCATTAGGTCCAGTCGTGGCCGACTCTGGAGTTGCAGCGCCCATCTCGCTTTATTGGCCGAGGGAGCCGGCGTACAGCTTCTGGGTCATGTGGCCAGAAGGACTAAGCCACTTCTGGTGAACCAGAGCAGCGCACGGAAACGCCGTTTACCTTCCCGCCGGAGCGGTACCTATTTATCTCCTTGTCCTTTGACGTGCTCTTGAACTGCTAGGTTGGCAGGAGCAGGGACCGAGCAACGGGAGCTCACCCTATGGCGGGGATTCGAACCACCGACCTTCTGATCGGCAAGCCCTAGGCTCTGTGGCTTAACCCACAGCGCCACCCGTGTGCTTAAGTCTGGCTTAATATGGAGTTTGAGCTGTAGCTCAGACTTAGCAGTTGTTCTCACATTTCTGGTTTGGCGATGAGATGAGAGCAAAGAGAGGCAAAAGAGAGTGTGCAGGAGAGAGAGAGAGAGAGAGAGAGAGAGATGAAAGACTATGGCCTCCCCCTGCCAGGACACAGTGGGATTGTCTTTTAAAGTGCTCTCTAGCAAGCTTATGGGAAAACTTGGTGAGCTCCAGCTCCTGCCTAGCAAACAATGAATCGTTGCTTTGACTGCCCTTTGAATATCCCACGATAATGCCATTATACAAGGGAGGGACTTTTTTCTCCCTCTCTCGTAACCCCATAACTTAGGGCCTTCCAATGAAGGGAGTCTTCCACACTGTGCATGGTTAAACTCGAACTTGCTCCTTCACAGCAGGCAGTGGCAGCCACCAACTTCAAAAGAATATTAGAAAAATTCATGGAGCAGAGGGCTATTGATGGCCGTGCTCTGCCTGCACACTTCAAGGCAGCAACGCTTCTGATTACCAGTTGATGGAAACCCACACTCTTGCCCGAATCCTGCTTTTCCGTTTGAGACATCTGGTTGTCCACTCTTGAGAACAGGATGCTGGACCAGGTGGTCCGTTGGCGTGATCCAGCAGCTTCTTCCTATATTCTTAGGTTAGCTCGGTTTCCCTACCACCCTGGCCCCCTTCCAGCTCCTCGTGCAACACCCTGGTGGTCGTAGGTAAAGGCATCCCTGACCATTAGGTCCAGTCGTGACCGACTCTGGGGTCGTGGCGCTCATCTTGCTTTATTGGTCGAGGGAGCCGGCGTACAGCCAGCAGGACTAAGCCGCTTCTGGCGAACCAGAGCAGAGCACGGAAACGCTGTTTACCTTCCCGCCGGAGCGGTACCTATTTATCTACTTGCACTTTGACGTGCTTTCGAACTGCTAGGTTGGCAGGAGCAGGGACCGAGCAACGGGAGCTCACCCCGTTTGGGGATTCGAACCACCAACCTTCTGATTGGCAAGTCCTAGGCTCTGTGGTTTAACCCACAGCGCCACCCGCGTCCCTTCCTGGCGGTCGTAGAGTTATGCAAATGCAAATAAGTTCTCATTTGCATAGAATTATGCTTTGCTGCTTCTCCAAACTCTCGAGGGGGACCTCGTGGGCATCCTTTTGGCACCCAATCTGAGCAGGCCTCTTTCTGGAGCCATAAGGGGTTTCTCTGGAAGGGAAAATGGGGAGGGGAGCAGGGCATCATCATTTTCCGTGCGTATTTTGACACCGGCAAACCCCTCCAAGCTGTTCCTCTGTTGCATTATTTGAACGCTGTCGTCACCGGGAACAGGGAGATCTCAAGTCTGTCACACGTACGAGTCTTCCCCTCTGTCTCCCAACCCCTCAGTTATTTTCTACCCTAATCCCGCTAAATTCTGGGGGGGCCTCCTATGCCCTCGGAAGCTCCTGAAGGAGAGCAGAAGACCCCAAGACCACCTGGAAATAAATAAGCCAAACATGGCATCTTGCAGTAACGAAACAGGAGAAATTTCCCACTGGTACGTATTTAATAATAATAATAATAATAATAATAATAATAATAATAATTTATTATTTATACCCTGCCCATCTGGCTGGGCTTCCCCAGCCACTCTGGGCGGCTTCCCAAAAAATATTAAAATACTGTAATACATCAAACATTAAAAGCTTCCCTAAACAGGGCTGCCTTCAGATGTCTTCTAAAAGTCTGGTAGTTGTTGTTCTCTTTGACATCTGGTGGGAGGGCGTTCTACAGGGAGGGCGCCACTACCAAGAAGGCCCTCTGCCTGGTTCCCTGTAACTTGGCTTCTCGCAGGGAGGGAACCGCCAGAAGGCCCTCGGCGCTGGATCTCAGTGTCCGGGCTGAACGATGGGGGTGGAGACGCTCCTTCAGGTATACTGGACCAAGGCCATTTAGGGCTTTAAAGGTCAGCACCAACACTTTGAATTGTGCTTGGAAACGTATTGGGAGCCAATGTGGGTCTTTTAAGACCGGTGTTATGTGGTCCCAGCGGCCGCTCCCAGTCACCAGTCTAGCTGCCGCATTCTGGATTAGTTTCTGGGTCACCTTCAAAGGTAGCCCCACGTAGAGCGCATTGAAGGAGGCCCCAAGACCACCTGAAAATAAATAAGCCAAACCAGGCATCTCCCAGTAATGAAACAGAAGAAATTTCCCACTGGTACGTATTTATTACAATTATATCCTGCCTTCCCTCTGAGGAACTCTAGATGTGGTTCTCTCTTGTACAACCCCCTCTGCCTCATTTTCTGTTTCACTCAGAGACATAGCCTTCTTCCCAACCGCCCCAGCCTAGACCATTTATGAAGCAGCAGAAAATCCGCCCTTGAAATTCTGAAAAAAATCTACCAAACTGGCCAGCAGAGCGGTTCGTAAATGACTCCGGTCAAAAAGGCCAACAAGGAATGTTCACAAATATTCACAGGTGAGGGACGCTGAAGTTGAGCGAGACGTTCAGGGGGGCGGAGTTCAGAAACCCTCGCTGATCTGCTTCACCCAGAGACATTAGCTTCTCCCCACACACCTGTCAAAGATGGAATTGGCAAAAACATGATCTCCACAGACTTGCTTGCTTGCTTACTCCAAGGCCACCTCAGCTCCTGGCACCCAGTTCCCCCCGGCCAGCCCCAGAGGCGCCATTCGCACGGGGAGCTTGCAGCCGGGGCTGCTGCAACAAACAGCTGTGCAAGCCTTTGAGAGGCAGAGACACCAGAGGGCATCAGAGGAAGGAAAGAGGGACAGAGGCCAGTGTTGCCTGCAGCACCCCTGACCGTCATTCCAGGCACCCTAGGATGCTACGGCACACTGGTTAAAAACCATGGTCCAAAGGAAAAGTGGGACATTTCAGGATCAAATCAGAAAATGGGATGGCTTCTCTAAATCAGGGACGCCCCTGGAAGATAGGAACAGTTGCAGGGTCTGTAAAGCTGGTACAAGTTTTAAATTAATGGCACCTGGGTCATCCTCTTGACTCTCCCACCCCAAGATGTGCAAGTGCTTGCTTAAACGCTTTTTAAAGGTAAAGGGACCCCTGACCATTAGGTCCAGTCGTGGCCGACTCTGGGGTTGTGGCGCTCTTCTCGCTTTACTGGCCGAGGGAGCCGGCGTACAGCTTCCGGGTCGTCGTCATCATCATCATCATAATTTATTATTTATACCCCGCCCATCTGGCTGGGTTTCCTCAGCCACTCTGGGCGGCTTCCACAGGGTCCAAAAATACACTAAAATGTCACATATTAAAAGCTTCCCTGAACAGGGCTGCCTTAAGTTGTCTTCTGAATGTCAGGAAGTTGTTTATCGCTTTGACATCTGATGGGAGGGCGTTCCACAGGGCGGGCGCCACCACCGAGAAGGCCCTCTGCCTGGTTCCCTGTAGCTTTGCTTCTCGCAATGAGGGAACTGCCAGAAGGCCCTCGGCGCTGGACCTCAGTGTCTGGGCTAGATGATGGGGGTGGAGACGCTCCTTCAGGTATACTGGGCCGAGGTATCATGTGGCCAGCATGACTAAGCCACTTCTGGCGACCCAGCGCAGCGCACGGAAACGCCGTTTACCTTCCCGCCGGAGTGGTACCTATTTATCTACTTGCTTTCAAACTGCTAGGTGGGCAGGAGCTTGGACCGAGCAACAGGAGCTCACCCCATTGCAGGGATTCGAACCGCCGACCTTCTGATCAGCAAGTCCTAGGCCCTGTGGTTTAACCCACAGCGCCACCCACGTCCCTAAACGCTTTTTAAAACCACTCAAATCTAAGCTGTGCCTCTCAATGGAAGGTGCGTAGGGGGGAAATCTCTGCCCTCACACTGTTGGAGAGAGCTGCTAAGGTTAAGTACATTGTAGGATTCCACTTTGAGTCACTATAAGTCCATCCAGGTCTGCGTTGCCAGTGAATCATTTGCAGATATAATTAAGGCAACAGAAACAAAAAAACATCTGCGCAGAAAGGGAAGAAAAGCACCCCTCTCTCAGGTAAAGTTCTGGCTACTGTAAGTCAGCACTAAGTGGAAAATACAGTGGTACCTCAGGTTACAGACGCTTCAGGTTACAGACTCTGCTAACCCAGAAATGGTACCTCGGATTAAGAACTTTGCTTCAGGATGAGAACAGAAATCGCACAGCGGCAGCGGGAGGCCCCATTAGCTAAAGTGGTACCTCAGGTTAAGAACAGTTTCAGGTTAAGAACGGACCTCCGGAATGAATTAAGTTCTTAACCTGAGGTACCACTGTATATCCTGCTTTCTTCAGTACCCTGAACAGATTCCTGAAAGGTCCTGTCTGAGCTGTACATTTCAAGTCATATCAAGCCACTTTAAGGTAAAAAGGTAAAGGACCCCTGGATGGTTAAGTCCAGTCAAAGGCGACTATGGGGTTGTGGTGCTCATCTCGCTTTCAGGCCGAGGGAGCCGGCGTTTGCCCACAGACAGCTTTCTGGTCATGTGGCCAGCAGGACTAAACCGCTTCTGGTGCAACAGGACACTTTGATAAAAACCAGAGCACATGGAAACGCTGTTTACCTTCCCAATGCAGCGGTATCTATTTATCCACTTGCAGTGGCGTGCTTTCGAACTGCTAGGTTGGCAGGAGCAGGGACTGAGCAACGGGAGCTCACCCTGTCGCGGGGATTCGAACCGCTGACCTTCTGATCGGCAGGTCCTAGGCTCTGTGGTTTAACCCACAGCGCCACCCGCGTCCCTTTATAGCAGCAAAACACACTATTAAAAACAATTTAAAAGAACTTGCACCAGCTTGCAGACTTAACTTATAGAATAAGAGAACAAAAAGAACACAACGTTTAGAGAACATTGGGAAATGTTTACTGAATACATGGGGGGAAATTGTGTACACTTGAAAACGTTGGCAGCGTTCAACAATGTGGATAAGTTTTGATGGATGTGATAATGGAATACGGAATGGTTTCGTTTTTGTAAAATGTGCAGGGATTTATGATATGTAAAATGAACCCTGGAAAGAGAAGGGAAGTAAAGGATATTTTAAGGATGTTGGAAAATGGAATGTAATTCATATCACAAGCAAAGGTTGCGTCTCCCCCAAATTAAATCAGCGGTGTGTATTTGTATAGAGAGATGGGAAGATGGAGAATCAGGCACGGTCTCTTCTGTTTTGTGACAACCGCTCCCCAAATAACTTTGCACGCAAATAGCGCAGTGGGTTAAACCACGGAGCCTAGGACTTGCTGATCAGAAGGTCGGCGGTTCGAATCCCCGCAACAGGGTGAGCTCCCGTTGCTCGGTCCCTGCTCCTGCCAACCTAGCAGTTCGAAAGCACATAAAAAGTGCAAGTAGAGAAATAGGTACCGCTCCGGCGGGAAGGTAAACGGCGTTTCTGTGCGCTGCTCTGGTTCGCCAGAAGCGGCTTAGTCATGCTGGCCACATGACCTGGAAGCTGTATGCCGGCTCCCTTGGCCAATAAAGCGAGATGAGAACTGCAACCCCAGAGTCGGCCACGACTGGACCTAATGGTCAGGGGTCCCTTTACCTTTTAATTATTAGGAGGCATCTATGATTCTGTGCAGAGACATCACCTTGCCAACAAAGGTCCGTATAGTTCAAGCTATGGTTTTCCCAGTAGTGATGTATGGAACTGAGAGCTGGACCATAAAGAAGGCTGGTCGCCGAAGAATGGATGCTTTTGAATTCTGGTGCTGGAGGAGACTCTTGAGAGTCCCGTGGACTGCAAGAAGATCAGACCTCTCCATTCTGAAGGAAATCAGCCCTGAGTGCTCATTGGAAGGACAGATCCTGAAGCTGAGGCTCCAATACTTTGGCCACATCGTGAGAAGAGAAGACTCCCTGGAAAAGACCCTGATGTGGGGAAAGATGGAGGGCACAAGGAGAAGGGGACGACAGAGGACGAGATGGTGGGACAGTGTTCCCGAAGCTACCAGCATGAGTTTGACCAAACTGCGGGAGGCAGTTGAAGACAAGAGTGCCTGGCGTGCTCTGGTCCAGGGGGTCGTGAAGAGGCGGACGCGACAAAACGACTCAGCAGCAACAACAAATGATTCTATGATTTTACATAGTAAGGAAGAGAGGAACTTTGGGGGGGGGGCTCCTCCTCCTTCTCCCCTCTGATTGGCCCGGATCCGCAGGCCACGCCCCTTCAGCATGCATCTTACAAAAACACCTTTCTGAATGCGATCCATTCACCTGTCGCCTTCATCCCGGGATGCGATGCTGCGGGAGGAGGGCGAAAAGGACAAGAAAAGAAAACCACCGAAAACCCTAAACCTCAGTGAGAGAGAGGGAGCTGGGTTTCCTTTAACCCAGGACCACTTTTAGATGCTTAGAAAAGGAGTCACAGGTGCAGAATTTATCCCCACCGCCCCGGGGTCGCTGAATTCTTTGCAGAGATACTCTCTTGCCGTGGCACCGAGGGTTTTTAGGGTCCTCCTTTGACCCGGGAACTAAGCGCGATCTGTTCATTTGTTTCGCGGGGAGGGCGATTTCTCCTGCGGGAGGGCTCGCGGCTCACAGGTAACAGCTTTCCCCCCCGGAAAGTCTCGTCACTTGGAAGAAAAAGAGGAGCCAACAGCCCAACGCAAAAGGCTGGAAGTTGAAAGCGGCGCAAGAGCGCACTGGCGGCTGTGCCAAAGAGAATACGAAGGGTGAGCTGTTCTGTGCGTAAAGTTGGTTTCTTAGTGATGCTTATTTTGCAATGTGTGACGATTATCTGGGGCGGGCGATGGTTCTGAACCTGATTTCCAGCGCAGTTGTTAAGAGGTAGTCCTCCACGCAGCGTGTGGTTAGCCTACGGAACTCCCTCCCACAGGGCCACCGCCTTGGATGGCATTAAAAGAGGATTGGGCCGATTTGTGGATCAAATCTATGCTTGCAGGTGCCATAAGAAAGCTGCAGGGATAGTGCAGGATAGTGCGCACCCCGGCAATGATCTCTTTCAGCTTCTGCCTTCTGGAAAGAAGGTCCAGGGTTATAAAGACTAGGACTAGCCGCCTGAGAAACATCATTTTGGTAGCTCAATTCTGCACACCTTCCAGTTTGTCAATGTCCTTCTTAAATTGGGGTGCCCAGAACTGGACACAGTATTCCAGATGTGGTCTGACCCAAGGTAGAATAGATCAGGATTGCGACTTCCCTAGGCTGGGACACTGTACTTCTATGGATGCAGCCTAGAATAGCATTAGCCTTTTTTGCTGCTGCATTACACTGTTGACTCGCGCCAAGCTTGCGGTCTTTAAAGTGGTGGGAGCCGGGATGGATCGAATCACTCAAAAGGAGACCGTGGCTGATTGGCTCCAATAATAAACCTCTCATAAATATAGGTTGTTTATGTATTCCACTACTGCGTTTGGTGGTGCTGTGGGTTAAACCGCAGAGCCTAGGGCTTGCCGATCAGAAGGTCGGCGGTTCAGATCCCTGCGACGGGGTGAGATCCCATTGCTCGGTCCCTGCTCCTACCCACCTAGCAGTTCGAAAGCACGTCAAAGTGCAAGTAGATAAATAGGTACCACTCCGGCGGGAAGGTAAACGGCATTTCCGTGCGCTGCTCTGGTTCACCAGAAGCGGCTTAGTCCTGCTGGCCACATGACCCGGAAGCTGTACGCCGGCTCCCTCGGCCAGTAAAGCGAGATGAGCGCCGCAACCCCAGAGTCGGCCACGACTGGACCTAATGGTCGAGAGTCCCTTTACCTTTACCTTTACCTTTACCTTTACCTTTACCTTTACTGTGTTTGGTTAACCCCAAAATAGGAAACGAGCGAGGTCCCAACCAAAGAAGAGTCGCAACTTAAGTTGACGGAATATGTGTAGCTTGCAGACTTAACGTATAGAATAAGGGAACAAGAAGAAAATGTGTTTAGAGAAGATTGGAAAATGTTTAATTAATATATGGGAAATGACTGTGTACAGCTGAAAATGCTGTTAAGATAAATTAAATGCAGTGGTACCTCCGGTTAAGTACTTAATTCGTTCCGGAGGTTCGTTCTTAACCTGAAACTGTTCTTAACCTGAAGCACCACTTTAGCTAATGGGGCCTCCTGCTGCTGTCGCACCGCCGGAACACGATTTCTGTTCTCATCCTGAAGCAAAGTTCTTAACCCAAGGTACTATTTCTGGGTTAGTGGAGTCTGTAACCTGAAGCGTATGTAACCCGAGGTACCACTGTAGTGTAAATGAGCTTTGATGGATGTAATAATGGAATACTGAATGGTATACTTTCTGTAAAATACGCAGGGATTTATGATATGGAAAAATGAACCATGGAAAACGAAGAAGGGAAGTCATTGGTATCTAAAGGATGTAAAAATGAGTACAGTGGACGCTCGGGTTGTCAACGTGATTGTGGGATGCACGTTCGCAACCCACAGCTGTGCATCTGTGCACACGCAGGTTGCAATCTGGCGCTTCTGTGCATGCGCAAAGTGCGTTTTAGCGCTTCTGCACATGCGCGGCCACCAAAACCCAAAAGTAACCCGTTCCGGTTACTTCCATTCCATAACCCGTAAAAGGGACGTGGGTGGCGCTGTGGGTTAAACCACAGAGCCTAGGACTTGCCGATCGGAAGGTCGGCAGTTCGAATCCCTGTGACGCGGTGAGCTCCCATTGCTCGGTCCCTGCTCCTGCCCACCTAGCAGTTCGAAAGCACATCAAAGTGCAAGTAGATAAATAGGTACCACTCCAGCGGGAAGGTAAATGGCGTTTGCGTGCGCTGCTCTGGTTCGCCAGAAGCGGCTTAGTCCTGCTGGCCACATGACCCGGAAGCTGTACGCCGGCTCCCTCGGCCAATAAAGCCAGATGAGCGCCGCAACCCCAGAGTCGGCCACGACTGGACCTAATGGTCAGGGGTGCCTTTACCTTTACCTTTAACCCAAAAAAACGCAACCTGAAGCGTCTGTAACCAGAGGTGTGACTGTACTTTAAATTGTGAAACAGAAAAATTCAATAAAAATTATTTGGAGACAATAATAAACCTCTCCCATGCTTCCACTTTTCCATTTCGAAGTAACTTTAGCCTGTGCCAACAGGGAACAACAACAAAAGTGCAGCTGAGACACATAGGTCCCTACATTTCAGGGGGTTGGGCTAAATGACCTTTGGGGGACCCTTCCATCTCTCTATGATTCTACAAGATGCTCTTGCTAATCCATCCATTACCATCTCTCCAAAGCTGGTGGGACCTTCAGGATGCAGCTGACTCTGGGATGTGTACTGATTTTCCTCACCTCCGTATCCTGCTCAGGTAAGAACAGAGCTGCAGAAGCAGTTTTGTGTTTGTCTGTTTTTAATTTAGAGCATTTACGAACCGGATGATATTTAAAAAGGAAAAGCGCCGAGAGCTGTCCATGGTGAAAACAACAAGGCAATGCGATGGAAACAAAAGCAGAACGGAAAGCTCTAGTACTGGGGTCAGCAATTTTTTTCAGCAGGGGGCCAGTCCACTTTCCCTCAGACCTTGTGGGGGGCCGGACTATATTTTTTGGGGGGGAAATGAATGAATTGCTATGCCCCACAAATAATCTCGAGACCCTCCCTGCCCGCAGACTGTCTCGCCAGAGTGGTGCATGCTCTGGTTATCTCCCGCTTGGACTACTGTCATGCGCTCTACGTGGGGCTACCTTTGAAGGTGACCCGGAAACGACAACTAATCCAGAATGCGGCAGCCAGACTAGTGACTGGGAGCGGCCGCTGAAACCATATAACACCAGTTCTGAAAGACATCCATTGGCTCCCAGGATGTTTCCGAGCACAATTCAAAGTGTTGGTGCTGACCTTTAAAGCCCTAAACGGCCTCGGTCCAGTATACCTGAAGGAGCATCTCCACCCACATCATTCTGCCTGGACACTGAGGTCCAGCTCCAAGGGCCTTCTGGCAGTTCCTTCATTGCGAGAAGTGAGGTTACAGGGAACCAGGCAGAGGGCCTTCTCGGTGGTGGCGCCCTCCCTGTGGAACGCCCTCCCACCAGATGTCAAAGAGAAAAATAACTACCAAACTTTTAGAAGACATCTGAAGGCAGCCCTGTTTAGGGAAGCTTTTAATGTTTAATAGGTTATTGTATTTTAGTGTTCTGTTGGAAGCTGCCCAGAGTGGCTGGGGAAACCCAACCAGATAGGTGGGGTATAAATAATAAATATTATTATTATTATTTTAAATAAAAGGACACAAGCTACTCATGTAAAAACACGCTGATTCCCGGACCATCCGTGGGCCGGATTGAGAAGGCGATTGGGCCGGATTCGGCCCCCGGGCCTTAGTTTGCCTACCCATGCTCTAGTATAAACGTGTTGGAAACTGGGATTCTGGGATGCAGGATAAAATAGGGTCTGGTTTTATGGGTCAAGGAAAGCTTGGGCAAAGGACATGGCTTTACAAGAGATTTGAAGCAACTGAGAATCATAGAATTGCCCGAGTTCAGAGGGACCCAAGGGTCATCTAGTCCAACCCGCTGCAATGTAGGAATCTCAGCTAAAGCATCCATGATAGGTGGCCATCCAACGTCTGCTTAAAAACCTCCAACGAAGGGAGTCTGTTCCACGGCCAAACGGCTCTTACCGGTCACATAGTTTAGTCAGAAATTCCTTTCAGATCCATTGGTTCAGGTGCCGTCCTCGGGAGCAGCAGCAGAAAGCAAGCTTGCTCCATCTTCCATGAAGACAACGCAACTGTATGCTTGCACCTTCCTATAAAAGGTAAAGGAGCCCTGGACGGTTAAGTCCTGTCAAAGGCAACTAGGGGGTTGCGGTGCTCATCTCGCTTTCAGGCCGAGGGAGCTGGCGTTTGCCCGCAGACAGCTTTCCGGGTCATGTGGCCAGCAGGACTAAACCGCTTCTGGTGCAACAGGACACCGTGACAGAAACCAGAGCGCACGGAAACGCCGTTTACCTTCCCGATGCAGCGGTACCTATTTATCTACTTGCACTGGCATGCTTTCGAACTGCTAACGGAACGGGAGCTCACTCCATCGCAGGGATTCAAACCACCAATCTTCTGATTGGCAAGCCCAAGAGGCTCAGTGGTTTAGACCACAGCGCCTGTTCGGATATTGATGTTCCGTTCCACCTTAAAAGGAACAGACAAGATTGCTGAATGTCACATGCCTGTTTACTCTCCAGCACAGCTTGCTGGGAACCTCCGTTTGTGTATAGCCTTTGCTTATGCTTCCTGCTGCTTGGACGCGAAGGGGAGCAGAAATGTTTGTCCTGATGCGGAATACAATGCCTGTTAAGGGACACGGGTGGCGCTGTGGTCTAAACCACAGAGCCTAGGGCTTGCCGATCAGAAGGTCGGTGGTTCGAATCCCCGTGACGGGGTGAGCTCCCGTTGCTCGGTCCCTGCTTCTGCCAACCTAGCAGTTCGAAAGCACGTCAAAGTGCAAGTAGATAAATAGGTACCACTCCAGCGGGAAGGTAAACAGCGTTTCTGTGCGCTGCTCTGGTTCAAGCCATGGACTCCCTACTTTTGAAAACCATGATATATCTATGGTAGTTTTAGTTATGTGAATGGTGCCACAAACCCCCTTGGGGTCCGCAGACCACCAGGCAACTGTTCTAGATGAGGTTGCCTGAGTTGGCAAAGCTCATTTGACTGCAGCAAGAAACAGCATTTAGCACCATCAGTCCCGTATTGTGGAACGTTCTGCCAAATTAGCAGGTGTTTCAACTTTTCAATGCCTGGTGAACACTTCTCAGGGGTTGCAATCCCTCTAAAGGAGCAAATGTGTCAAAAAGCAGAGACACCACCTTGCCAACAAAGGTCCGTATAGTTAAAGCTATGGTTTACCCAGTAATGATGCATGGAAGTGAGAGCTGGACCATCAAGAAGGCTGATGGCCGAAGAATGGATGCTTTTGAATTCTGGTGCTGGAGGAGACTCTGGAGAGTCCCATGGACTGCAAGAAGATCAGACCCCTCCATTCTGAAGGAAACCAGCCCTGAGTGTTCACTGGAAGGACAGATCCTGAAGCTGAGGCTCCTGCAGCCAATCAGAAGCCATGCTTTGGCTTTTGAACGTTTTGGAAGTCGAAAGGACTTCCGGAATGGATTCCGTTCAACTTCGAAGGTACGTCTGTAAATGCGATTGTTATTATCAATAATAATTATACGTCAGGGAAGTGCAGATTTCAAAGGAAAGCTGTGTTTCCGGTTCAGGAACTGGAGGGCCGAGTTTGGTCCAGTTAAAAGCTGCAAACCGAACCAAATTCTCCCCTGTACCTGCCCTGGGGGAGCGTTGTACCAACTGAGCGAAAGTTTTGATCCAATCTGTTTACTTTGCATTGAATTGCAGGCCTTTGCAACCCCCATTGCGGCAGGTTTTGCCACGGATTAATCTCTACACACAAACACCTGCTTGCTCCCGGAAAATCACTCAGAAAGCCCCTTTCCTCTCTGGAGATGGGGTCTGACGGAGGCCTGTTCTCCCCAAAGATCTGGAGAGATTGCTGGCTGCTCTCCACCAATTTGCAACCATGGACACAATGTTCCCCCAGCTTTCAGGAAGCAAAACAGAGATGTACGCAACACGGAACGAGCGTGCCTTGGACACGGACGGGGTCTGGAGAGCGGAGGCAGTGGGGGCTGCCCCCCCCCCAGCAGCCCCACATCTGCGCCCGACTAAGTGGGGAAAAGCATATTGTTTTACATGGCCCGAGCAAAAAATAACCTTTCCAAAGCTGTCAACAAAGGCTGGGGGGGAAGGAGACAGGTCTGAGGTGATGCCACAACTGTGAAGGCTCTTTTCTGGAGACCTGTTTGCGCCTCCCCTGCCGTGCGGGACATAGGCTTCCGGCTGAAAGCAATTTTCACCCTCCAGGCTCTGAGTTGGGGGGGACGGACACTGGCTTTCTCAGCCATCGGGGCTGCTTTGGGGGGGGGAACATGGTCCCAAAGGAAGCAGAGGTGAGATGGATGGCACATGTGGGGGTTTTTTTGTAATCACCCCGGGAAAATTTAATCAAGGCAAAACTCAATTTCCCCTCCTCCCGCAGTTTCGCTTGCAAAATGAGCAGGAAGATTTGCAATGCAGACTTTTGTAAGCGAGAGCTGGACCGTAAAGAAGGCTGATCGCCGAAGAATGGATGCTTTTGAATTCTGGTGCTGGAGGAGACTCTGGAGAGTCCCATGGACTGCAAGAAGATCAGACCTCTCCATTCTGGAGGAAATCAGCCCTGAGTGTTCACTGGAAGGACAGATCCTGAAGCTGAGGCTCCAATACTTTGGCCACCTCATCAGAAGAGAAGACTCCCTGGAAAAGACCCTGATGTTGGGAAAGATGGAGGGCACAAGGAGAAGGGGACGACGGAGGACAAGATGGTAGGACAGTGTTCTCGAAGCTACCAGCATGAGTTTGACCAAACTGCAGGAGGCAGTGGAAGGCAGGAGTGCCTGGCGTGCTCTGGTCCATGGGGCCACAAAGTGCCGGACACAACTAAACAACAACAGCCTTTGCCAACCTGTTGGCAATGTTGTAGAACTACAACTCCCGGGCTGGCACTGATGGGAGTCATAGTCCAACAACAACCGGAGGGCGCCAGTTGGCGAAGGCTGTGCTGAACGAGGGTGAGGACCTCGGCTTGAAATAATGGGCGGCTGTTAAAACCACAGGCCTCTATTTAAATGATGTTAATTTGCATCCTGGCCTGGTAAACATCGCCACCTGTCAGCAGCTGCACAAACTGCAGCGTGATGTTCCGCTGCAGTGGTACCTATTTATCTACTTGCACTGGTGTGCTTTCGAACTGCTAGCTTGGGGATGCGGGTGGCGCTGTTGGGACGTGTCCAAGGAAAGGGGGGCAATTGACAGGCCGCCAGCTGGCTCCAGCCCACCGGCTGGCAGCCGGGTGAACGGAAGGGCAGAGAGAGGCTGTGTAAAGCGTATTTAAAGGTAAAAGTAAAGGGACCCTTGACCATTAGGTCCAGTCGTGCCCAACCCACGTGGCTTGGCTTTTGAAACACAGGGAGGGGGTTGGACTGGATGTGGTCTTGCATATGCCCTTAGGGGAGGCGGGTGGCACTGTGGGTTAAACCACAGAGCCTAGGACTTGCTGATCAGAAGGTTGGCGGTTTGAATCCCCGTGACGGGATGAGCTCCCGTTGCTCGGTCCCTGCTCCTGCCAACCTAGCATTTCGAAAGCACGTCAAAGTGCAAGTAGATAAATAGGTACCGCTCCGGCGGGAAGGTAAACTGCGTTTCAGTGCGCTGCTCTGCTTCGCCAGAAGCGGCTTAGTCCTGCTGGCCACATGACCCGGAAGCTGTACGCCGGCTCCCTCGGCCAGTAAAGCGAGATGAGCGCCGCAACCCCAGAGTCGGCCACGACTGGACCTAATGGTCAGGGGTCCCTTCACCTTTACCTATATGCCCTTGGCAGAATCAGAGCTCCCCACACAAATACCCTTTAAAGTGCTCGCGAAGGGCCTCACTCGCAGATCCAGCTTTCACCCTGGCGACGGCTCGTTCTCCAGACGCAAGCACTTTGCGGCATGAAATTGTTTGGCAGCAAGCAGATCAGGCTTCCCAGCCTGTTGCTCACGCTCCTACCTCCGGAAGCAGCGGCCTTTGACGCTCCAACTTCCATCGCTGGGTGCTCTTGAGTCTTCCCCCCTCCCAGCCCCAGCACCCCCCTGCTAATCCTCCCATCTGTTCCCTATGCCGACACACAACACAGAATCACCTCCAAGCCCTCTCCAGTTTATTATTAATCACCGCTACGGCACCGTTTCTGGAAGAAAAACACTCCCAGGTTAATTTGCGGTCATTATCCCATTAATCGGGACGGCTAGCTAGGGAGCGAGGCAATTGTGATGCCTAGGATCACCTTGCCAACAAAGGTCCATATAGTTAAAGCGATGGTTTTCCCAGTAGTGATGTATGGAAGTGAGAGCTGGACCATAAAGAAGGCTGATGGCCGAAGAATGGATGCTTTTGAATTCTGGTGCTGGAGGAGACTCTTGAGAGCCCCATGGACTGCAAGAAGATCAAACCTCTCCATTCTGAAGGAAATCAGCCCTGAGTGCTCACTGGAAGGACAGATCCTGAAGCTGAGGCTCCAAGACTTTGGCCACCTCATGAGAAGAGAAGACTCCCTGGAAAAGACCCTGATTTTGGGAAAGATGGAGGGCGCAAGGAGAAGGGGACGATGGAGGACGAGATGGTGGAACAGTGTTCTCGAAGAGACCAGCATGAGTTTGACCAAACTGCGGGAGGCAGTGGAAGACAGGAGGGCCTGGCGTGCTCTGGTCCAGGGGGGCACGAAGAGTCGGACACGACTAAACGACTAAACAACAACAATTAAATATTAAAAGCTTCCCTAAACAGGGCTGCCTTCAGATGTCTTCTAAAAGTCTGGTAGTTGTTGTTCTCTTCGACATCTGGAGGGAGGGCGTTCCACAGGGCGGGCGCCACCACCGAGAAGGCCCTCTGCCTGGTTCCCTGTAACTTGGCTTCTCGCAGGGAGGGAACCGCCAGAAGGCCCTCGGCGCTGGACTTCAGTGTCCGGGTAGAACGATGGGGGTTGAGACGCTCCTTCAGGTATACTGGACCGAGGCCATTTAGGGTTTTAAATGTCAGCACCAACACTCTGAATTGAATGATTTGGATGCTACCAGGTGTGTGGGGGGGGGGGCAAAGTATAAGTTTCTATATTTCGTTTCTCTCCTTGTATTTCTCAGGACTGGCTCCAAGGAGCCTGAAGCTTGAATACTGTGTCAGCTTCTGGGCTAAAAAGATCACATGCTACTGGAACCCTTTGCTGGATATGGGTCCTGAAACTACATACAGGCTCCACATCACAGAGTAAGTCTCCTGCCTGCCTCTGGGATGGCAGAGATATAGGGCCACACAGTGTCGTACAACCAGCATGCTGGAATATTATTCTTATCATTGCTTGAGGTGGTTGACAATTTTGTTTACCTGGATTCCAGTGTAACCAGCAATTGCTCCTTCAGTGCTGAACTAGACAAGCAGGTGGAGGTGTGGTCTAAACCACTGAGCCTCCTGGGCTTGCCAATCAGAAGGTCGGCGGTTCGAATCCCCATAACGGGGTGAGCTCCCGTTGCTCTGTCCCAGCTCCTGCCAACCTAGCAGTTCGAAAGCACACCGGCGTGAGTAGATAAATAGGTACCACTGCAGTGGGAAGGTAAACGGCGTTTCCGTGTGCTCTGGTTTCCGTTATGTGCCAAAAGTGGTTTAGTCCTGCTGGCCACATGACCCAGAAAGCTGTCTGTGGATGAAGGCCGGCTCCCTTGGCCTGAAAGTAAGATGAGCGCCGTAACCCCATAGTCGCCTATGGCTGAACTAAAGCATCCAGGGGTCTTTTACCTTGACCTTGGCAAGGCAACTGCAGCAATGTTGACATCAAAACACCTTGAGAGACAATGGCTTGCGCCTCTGAGCGTGAAGTCAGAACACTGCATGATCAGCCCCAAAGTGACCTCCCTGCGGTGCAAACCTGGGCAGTGTGTCTGGAGACTGAAGGTACATGCATCCACATGTGGTGGAACTGTCAAAAGATTAGACAATTTTGGGAAACGATTTACAATGAATTCAACAACATTTTCAAATGTTCCTTCCCTAAAAAACCCCGAAGCCTTCCTGCTAGGAATTATGGGTAATGAAATCACAAAAAAGTTTAGGGACATCTTCATGTAGCCGCCAGAATTTTCATCAAAAGGTTGGAAGGGAGATACCATACCACCCAAAGCAGACTGAAAGTAAAATTAAGTGCATATTTAAGGACTCGGAACACAATGGGAAGATTGGAGGTGATGTTAAATTGAATTTCAGAATGGTGTACAAAACAAGTATCAACCAAGGAACGAACGAATGTTTATTTTTATTTTGATAACAACTTTTATCAAACCTTTCTGTTGTACAGTTTTCAAAACTAATAAAACAAAATGTTCTGGGGCCTCCATTTTTCATCAGCTCCAACCAGCTTCGATAGGGGATGGTGTTCCTGTTTCTGTAGTCCAGCAGAACATCTGGCAAGTTGCAGGATTCCCCGTGCCGGGTGTAAGAGTTTTCTTACCCTAGACTCTACCTACTGAGCAGCTTGGAGCCACCATTTTTAAATTTCCCACAATCCCCTGTAGCAACGCTGCGGATAGGGCATTCTGGGAAATTTCTAAAGGAGGGCTCTGAGGCTCACCGATTCTCCACTCCTGCCCCTTGAACCCGCAGCTGCTAAGGAGCGCTCCCTTCTGTTTATTTTTTCCAGAGAAGCTGGGCGCTGTCAAATGGATTTTGGCCACACGAGAAGCTGTGCTGCCACCCAGGGAGGCAGTGCGTGCAGCGTCCCAGTGGAGAACCTCTTTGCTTTCTACAAAATAAACCTAACTGCCGAGAGTCGAGGCATCCAAGTGAGCGCTCCGGAAATGTGCATCCATGGAATGAGCATAGGTAAGCAAGGAAACTCGGGGAAGTCTCCTCGCCCTCTGCTGCTACAACAACCCTGCTGTAGCCTTCTTAGAGGTTGATTCAGAGAAAGAGTTTATTCTGCTCTCCGGATAGCAGAAGGCACTTGCGTGGTCAGTTCACAGCAAGTCCAAAGAAATGAGAGATTCCATGAAGTATATATATCCTCCAGGCACCCTCTCCCCCCTTCCCCAGGAATCCAGCCACGTAAGCTCATACACGCAAGTTGACATCCATGACCATAAACAGATATTCCTGTTCCGGTACTCTTGACCATAAAAGGGTGTTCCTGTTCCTGTATTCCTTATCTTGGGGTAAGAAGGTCATCAACTCTAAGAGTACTCCTGGCGCCGTTCCCGGGTGGCTGACAAGGTCTGTGCGTCAGTGTGGTCAGGATGTAAGATAAGACCCAGATGTGTCATCCCTGCTCCACTTTGGAACTGACAAGGCCATTCATTAGGCGTCACGGACTGATAAAGGAGAGAGCTTTGTTTATACAGCTGAGTTCCTGTTATACATTTGCTCAAGAGCTCAAGTTAATTGTTTTTAGCTAATGCACCCTTGGAGAAGGGAGAATAGGATTTTGGGGCCCGTTTCAGACTGACTGCACAGTCAGATTTTAGATTTGGGAAACCCATTCCTTCACTGCGAGGTAGGCTAGGCTGAAAAAGAGAGAAAGGGTGTGTCCCCGGTGTCTTCCATCACCCACTGAGCTTCATGGCTGTGTAGGATATTCAAACCCGGATCTGCCCAGTCATTGCCTGACTGATACACCCTACTGCTTTGAGCAGAACAAGTTGGCTAGATGGCAAAACAAGTGGATCCCTCTCCTTTGATCCACTGGCTGTTCAGGGTTGCAGGGCAGGGTGTGGAAGACCCCTTTGCTAATTCTGCAACCGGGTTCTAGCAGGGAGTCTGCCTCCATTGCCTGAGAGCCACCCAATCAGCATGAAACGGGAGCTTTTCAGCCACTGAGAAGACTTGTCTTCTCGCCTTTCATGCTGACTGGAGCCAATCAGAGTGGAAGGAGGTGGGTCAGTTTCTAAAGTTTATAGTCTTAAGGTCCAGGCCATTTGATTGATTTATTTTAAGTCCTCACAAACCCTCATCAGCATTGTAATAATAATAATAATAATAATAATAATAATAATAATAATAATAATTTTTATTTATACCCCACCCTCCCCAGCCAAGGCCGGCCTCAGGGCAGCCAACAAGCAATAATAAAAACAAGTTGAATGAATACAACTTAAAAACAAGATTAAAATACAACAATTAAAATATTGAAACATTAAAATATTAAAATGCAGCCTCATCACAGGAGGAGAAAGGAAAAAGAAAAAAGAAAGAGAGGGAGGGAATCAAATTGGCTCCAAGCCAAAGGCCAGGTGGAACAACTCTGTCTTACAGGCCCTGCGGAAAGAGATCAGATCCTGCAGGGCCCTGGTCTCATGAGGAAGAGCGTTCCACCAGGCCGGAGCCAGTGTTGAAAAGGCCCTGGCTCTGTTTGAGGCTAATCTAACTTCCTTAGGGTCCAGGACCTCTAGGGTGTTGCTATTTATGGACCTTGAGGCTCTCTGTGAGGCATACCGGGAGAGGCGGTCCCGTAGGTACGAGGGTCCTAGGCCGTGCTAATTTCTCCTGACAAATCTCTGGGAGCTATTTGCCCTAATGTTCACAGTTTGGCTATGCAATTTCACATGATATAATGCATTTTGCATGCCATTTTCAAGAATGCATGCACTGATAGGGACACTTTACCCTGTCAAATGCTTTTTTTGTCTGTATGCATTACTTTGTTGGAGGGCCGCATTGCAAAATTCAGACATGTACCAATTTCAGAGAATGGCTGTGATTTGGCAAATTAGGTAGATCAGCTTAGTTTATGAACAACATGTAAATAGAACACTTCAAACCTGGAAGTAGGTGTTCTGGTTTGTGAACTTTGCCTTGGAAGCAGAACATGTTCCGCTTCCTGTTGAGTGTGTTCTGTTTGTAAATTGAGTCCCCTGCTGCTAATCAGCTGTTGAGTCTGTCAGCTGTTGAGTCCTGAGGACCCACACGACACAGAGGTGATATTTGGAGCTTTTGTTTTCGCTATTTTTTTGCGGTTTTTATGTGTGGCTTTTCCGGTTTTTTTGACTGTGACTTGTTCTTCGTTTTATGGGACTGACTTGTGACTGCAGCTTGTGACTTCTTCGTTTTTGTGACTGTGGCTTGTAACTTGGTTTTTGTGACTGGTTTTTGTGACTGAGTGGAACCCAGTTCAGCTACTGATTGATTGATTGATTGATTGATTGTGTAACTGCAGAAATGGATAAAAACCCCCCATCCAAACAATGACTATCATCAGTGCACGTAAGAGAGAGAAAAATAATTTTAATTTTAACCTCTACAATACTGTCTTATTTATTTTATAGGACAGTACATTGTTCATTGCTTTCATTTTATGGATCAATGGTCTTGTTAGGTAGTAAAAATTCATGTTCAATTGCTGTTTTGGGGGTTGCTTTTAAAAGTCTGGAACGGATTATTCCGTTTTGCATTGCTTTTTATGGGAAAGCGTGCCTTGGTTTTAGAACGCTTTGGTTTTGAAACGGACTTCCGGAACGGATTACGTTTTGGAAGCAAGGTACCACTGTATTATTATTATTATTGCACAACTATGATATCATTGTAGAATCCAAGAAGGTTGTATACTCTTCAAAGGGGGTGTTGCTGCGACTATCAGGATGGGACCCCTGCCCTTCTGGGTTTGACACTGCGCCGTTGGATACAGATACAAACTTTCTTTTCCCACCCCACATCTAGTGAAACTGAGCGCACCTGAAGTTAGCATCGCCGAAGCAAACAAGTCGCGGTGCTTCTATCTGGAATGGAACATCCCTGGCGATGAGGTACTATCTGTGTTAGAAACCGAGTATGAGATCCAGTTCCGCGATGTGGCAGAGACGTCTTGGATGCAGGTGAGCAGGCAGGATCCTTTGCCCGGTGGCTTCTGTGGCGCAGATCTGTTGCAACGTATTTGTGTAGTGCCCTGTGTCTTGACGTTTGATTGAAAGACAGGTCTCTGCCCCAAGGGGGCTTGCAAATTGTACTTTTGAGAGTGTATTAACTTATGGTCTGTGTGCGTGGTTTGGGAGCTGCACCGCCAGGGAAAAAACAATGCTGTCCAGGGTTGTAACAACTGTGGAGACAATAATTGGGTGCACTCTTCCCACCTTGGATCAAATCTATGTTTCCAGGTACCATAAGAAAGCTGCAGAGATAGCACAGGATAGTGCGCACCCTGGAAATTATCTCTTTCAGCTTCTGCCTTCTGGAAGAAGGTACAGGGTTATAAAGACTAGGACTAGCCACCTGAGAAACAGTTCCTATTCAAATGTGATTTTGGTTTTAAACGCAGGGTAAGGTAGTCTCTGGGACGCGGGTGGCGCTGTGGGTTAAGCCACTGAGCCTAGGACTTGCTGATCATAAGGTCGGTGGTTCAAATCCCTGCAACAGGGTGAGCTCCCGTTGCTCGGTCCCAGCTCCTGCCAACCTAGCAGTTCGAAAGCACATCAAAGTGCAAGTAGATAAATAGGTACCGCTCCAGTGGGAAGGTAAACGGCGTTTCTGTGCCCTGCTCTGGTTCACCAGAAGCGGTTTAGTCATGCTGGCCACATGACCCAGCCAGTAAAGCGAGATGAGCGCCACAACCCCAGAGTCGGTCACAACTGGACCTAATGGTCAGGGGTCCCTTTACCTTTTTAAGGTAGTCTCTATGGGAGTATATTTAATGATGGGGTATCAGAGTTTTAAGGGGGCTAACCAGGCTGGGATAGCTGGGATAGCTAGACTGGGGACTGGGAGCAGCCACTGAGACCATATAACACCGGTCCCGAGTCTTAAGTTCCAGTCTTTTTTCTTTTTTTAAAGTCCTCATTAAACCTCATCAGTATTGTAGTGCTAATTTCTCCTGACAAATCTTTGGAAGCCATTTGCCCTAATATTCACATTTTGGCTACGCAATTTCACATAATATAATGCATTTTGCATGCCATTTTCACGAATGCATGCATTTATGGGCACACTTTACCTTATCGAATGCTTTTTTTTGTACGCATTACTTTGTTGGAGGGCCTCGTTGCAAAATCCAGACATGTACCAATTTCAAAGGATGGCTGTGATTTGGCAAATTATGTAGATCTGCCTTTACTTACCAACCGAATAAGAGTACCATATTTTTCGCTCTATAAGACGCACCAGACCACAAGACACACCTAGTTTTTGGAGGAGGAAAACAAGAAAAAAAATATTCTGAATCTCAGAAGCCAGAACAGCAAGAGGGATTGCTGCGCAGCGAAAGCAGCAATCCCTCTTGCTGTTCTGGCTTCTGAGATAGCTGCGCAGCCTGCATTCGCTCCATAAGACGCACACACATTGCCCCTTACTTTTTAGGAGGGAAAAAGTGAGTCTTATAGAGCAAAAAATACAGTAGATCTGCCTTTACTTACCAACTGAATAAGAGTATTTCACCCGCCTCAATTTGCAGTGGCAGCTCAGCTTTAAAAACACGCGAAGCGCTAAACCGTGCTCCCCCCTCCCCAATATTTCTCCTCCCACAAAGGTCAATCTTACATTGTCTGAAAATGCCCCCGGCTTCGCAAACATCTGCCACGTCGCCCCCTTCACCAACTACTCTGTCCGAGTGAGGGCAAAATACCTCCATGAAGTTTCCTTCGCCATCAGTGGCGGGCGTCCTCCCTGGAGTGACTGGAGCGGTGAGAGATTTGTGAGAACCCTGCCTGAAGGTAAGGTGACCTCTGCTATGCTTGGAGGCGACACTGGATTGCAGGGGGTTGGTCTAGATGGCCCTGGGATACCCTCCCAGCTCTACTGTTAAGGTTCCAAGGGGTTGCTCGAGAGCAAGCAGGCAAATAATATAATAATAATAAAAATAACTTATTATTTATACCCCGCCCATCTAGCTGAGTTTCCCCAGCCACTCTGGGCGGCTCCCAATCAAGTGTTATAAACAATACAGCGTTAAATATTAAAAACTTCCCTGAACAGGGCTGCCTTCAGATGTCTTTTAAAGATAAGATAGCTGCTTATTTCCTTCACATCTGAAGGGAGGGCGTTCCACAGGGCGGGCGCCACCACCGAGAAGGCCCTGTGTCTGGTTCCCTGTAACCTCACTTCTCGCAATGAGGGAACCGCCAGAAGGCCCTCGGAGCTGGACCTCAGTGTCCGGGCAGAACGATGGGGGTGGAGACTATCCTTCAGGTATAAGGATCGAGGCCGTTTAGGGCTTTAATGCCTCCCTGCTCGGCTGTGAAGCCTTGCTTTTGATGCCAAAATAAACTTTATCGGTCCAGAGCACCACTCTCCCGTGGCTGGCTCATTCACTGGCAGAATCTATGAGTCGGCTATCCTTAAACCTTCCCCAGCAGAGTAGTTTCTTGACGCCCAATCTGCGCCTCCCCTCTCTGCGTGGAAGCCTACTGCGCAAGGAGAGCGTGGGTAACGGAGGACCTCTCTCCTCCCCGCTTGCCCAAGCCAGGTGTCCTGGCGCCGCCTCGCCTCCTGCGAGCCCTGCAGCTCCTCTCCACTGGCGGCGTGGTTCCTCTCCTCCGCTGAGGAGGAGCTGCTTCCCACGATCTTTGGGGGGCTCTCTGTAATCCAGCCAGCTTTTCCCTCTCCCCCTGAGCCCATGGCAGTTCCTGACATCTACAGTTCTATGAATCTACGACAGAGGGGCTCAGATGCTTGCATGAATGGGAGGGCCAATTGTGCCTCTAGTTCAGGCATAGGCAAACTCGGCCCTCCAGATGTTTTGGGACTACAACTCCCATCATCCCTGACCACTGGTCCTGTTAGCTAGGGGTGATGGGAGTTGTAGTCATCTGGAGGGCCGAGTTTGCCTGTGCCTGCTCCAATTTCATAATGTCGTGTATCTCTTGTATCTCTTTTTGCCTTCTGCCTTCTCTTGACATGAGAAGAGTTTGCAGGATTTGGCCAACGGCCCCTGTAGTCCAGCATCCTGTTCTGGGAAACCCGCAATCAGGATTCGAACACAACTCTCCCATCCTGTGGCTCCCAGCGACTGGTATTTGGAAGAATTGTTGACTCCAACTTGGGAGACAGAGCCTCTGGCCTTTTCCTCCGTGAATTTGTCTAATCTTCTTTCAAAGCCATCCCAGTTTGGTGGTCAACATCATGGCCTCCCAGGGGTGGCGGTGGAGCGAATTCTGTAATAATAATAATAATTATTATTATTATTTATTATTTATACCCCGCCCATCTGGCTGAGTTTCCCCAGCCACTCCGGGCGGCTCCCAATCAAGTGTTAAAAACAGTACAGCGTTAAATATTAAAAACTTCCCTAAACAGGGCTGCCTTCAGACGTCTTTTAAAGATAGGATAGCTGCTTATTTCCTTCACATCTGAAGGGAGGGTGTTCCACAGGGCAGGCGCCACCACCGAGAAGGCCCTCTGTACTTTGCGCTGGGTGAATAAAGTGCTTTCTCTGATCTAATAATAATAAATTTTTATTTATATCCCACCCTCCCCAGCCGAAGCCGGGCTCAGAGTGGCTAACAACAGTAAAATAATACAGCATTCTAAAATTCATTATAAAATCAGTTCAAATCAAATTAATGGCAACCATGGAGCTAGAGTTCTGTGAGGATTACCAAAGGAGGGGGTCAGGCTGTGCCCTGGCCAAAGGCCTGGTGGAACAGCTCCGTCTTGCAGGCCCTGCGGAAAGATGTCAAGTCCCACAGGGCCCTGGTCTCTTGTGGCAGAGCGTTCCACCAGATCGGAGCCACAGCCGAAAAGGCCCTGGCTCTGGTTGAGGCCAGCCTAACCTCCCTGTGGCCCGGGACCCACAATATGTTTTTGTTTGAAGACCATAAGGTCCTCCGTGGGACATACCAGGAGAGGCGGCTCCGTAGGTACGAGGGTCCTAGGCCTGTATTGAACCTCAACGTTTTGCTTCCGCTGCAGTTCCGTCGACAGGGCCAGCACTTTGGAGGAAATTAGGACACTCCGATGGCTATGGAAACAGAGTGGTCGTCCTCATGTGGAAGGTAAGGACGGATATCCAATGCACCAACACCGTGGAGTAAAAGGGTTCTGCAATGTGCCAAGAGTCGCAGGCGACATGGTGCCAACATCATTGTCTGAGCGCAAGCCTGTTGCTGGACGGGTGAAAGATTTGCTGCAGACAGACAGCATCTCGAGGTCCCGAGGGCCACATTTGTTGTATATGATGTAAAGTAAAGGTAAAGGGACCCCTGACCATTAGGTCCAGTCGTGGCCGACTCTGGGGTTGCGGCGCTCATCTCGCTTTACTGGCCGAGGGAGCCGGTGTACAGCTTCCAGGTCATGTGGCCAGCAGGACTAAGCCGCTTCTGGCGAACCAGAGCAGCGCACGGAAACGCTGTTTACCTTCCTGCCAGAGTGGTACCTATTTATCTACTTGCACTTTGACGTGCTTTCGAACTGTTAGGTTGGCAGGAGCAGGGACCGAGCAACGGGAGCTCACCCCGTCATTGCGGGGATTCGAACCACTGACCTTCTGATTGGCAAGTCCTATGCTCAGTGGTTTAACCCACAGCACCACCCGCGTCCATGTATATGATGTAGGGACACGCATGTGATGTTTGGTGTCCAGTGGTACCCCCAGCTGCGGACAGGATCCATTCCAGAGCACTGGTCAGATCCCGAGGTTTCTGCTGCCGGAGGGACCGCTTCTGTGCATGCGCACGTAGCAAAAGCCCGGAAATATTACTGTATTTTTCTGTCTATAAGACACCCCCATGTACAGTATAAGCCGCCCCCTATTTTTTGGGACTCTGATTTAAGAAAATAGGGGGAGATAGCCCCCATGTATAAGACACCCCCAAATACTGGACATTATTTTTTAGGGGGGAAATCTAGTCCTATACACAGAAAAATACGGTACTTCTGGGTTTGCCACTAACGTATCCCAAAGTTTACGTAACCAGAGGGATACGTAAGCAGAGGTATGACTGTATATGATGTTTGGTGTAGGGACAGGGGTGGCGCTGCGGTCTAAACCACTGAGTCTCTTGGGCTTGCCCATCGGAAGGTCAGCCGGTCGAATCCCGCGACGGGGTGAGCTCTTGTTGCTCTTACCCAGCTCCTGCCAACCTAGCAGTTCGAAAGCATGCCAGGGTGAGTAGATAAATAGGTGCTGCTGTGACGGAAAGGTAAATGGCGTTTCCGTGTGCTCTGGTTTCTGTCACGGTGTCTCGTTGCTCCAGAAGCGGTTTAGTTCTGCCGGCCACACGACCCGGAAAGAAGAAGAGAAGAAGAGTTTGGATTTGATATCCCGCCTTTCACTCCCTTTAAGGAGTCTCAAAGAGGCTAACATTCTCCTTTCCCTTCCTCCCCCACAGCAAACACTCTGTGAGGTGAGTGGGGCTGAGAGACTTCAGAGAAGTGTGAGTAGCCCAAGGTCACCCAGCAGCTGCATGTGGAGGAGCGGAGATGCGAACCCGGTTCACCAGATTACTAGACTACCGCTCTTAACCACTACACCACACTGGCTCTCGGACAAAGCTGTCTGCGGACAAACGCCAGCTCCCTGGACCTGAAAGATGAGCACCACAACCCCATAGTCACCTTTGACTGGACATAACTGTCCAGGGGTCCTTTACCTTTTTTACCTATATGAGATATCCTCCTTTCTTTCGCGATCCTCGTTGCTGAGTAAGATTGTCTTCCATAAACACAATTCTATCAATGAATCCGTAAGTGACTGTGGAAGCCAATAGTGTCTGAAATAGTACAGGAGAGGAATCCTGAAGCCGTTTTGACTCTCCCAAATTGACCTCAAATATTTCTCTGCAAGGAGGAAGGAAATGGGGAAAGCTTTTCAGTTGTCTTTGGACTGTAGGGGCTTACACCTCCCTTTGCAAATACAGCCTGAGGAGTATCTGCTAAGCTGAGCATACTCTCAACATGCCTAAGAGATTCAGGAACTAAGTATTTACCATCTCCAAGGAATGGCCAGGCTACCCAGAAAAGGCAATCAGATAAGGCATTGTCAGGTATCCTGGCAGACAGGAGAGAAGCAACACACTCCAATTTCTGCTGGGGACCACCTCTTTCTGTGATGTATGCATGATGTTTTGGGGGGTGGTCTTGGGCTACGGGGTGGGCAATTCAAAAGTCTCTATAAGAGCTTGCACACCAATTTCTGGGTTCCTCTCCTCCCTCCCTGCGTGGGGTGAGCTGGGGACCCTGTTGCAATAATAAAGATCAGACTTACTAGCTGCTTTGCTTCTCAATATTCTCTGGTTGGCCTCTGTTATTTTCTCATACCAATAGAGAACCTACATAAGGACTCAATAATAAGAATAAGAATAAGAATAAGAATAAGAATAAGAATAAGAATAATTTATTATTTGTACCCCGCCCCTCTGGCTGGGCTTCCCAGCCACTCTGGGTGGCTTAAACAACATATTAAAATACAGTAATGCATCAAACATTAAAAGCTTCCCTAAACAGGTCTGCCTTCAGATGTCTTCTAAAAGTCTGGTAGTTGTTGTTCTCTTTGACATCTGGTGGGAGGGCGTTCCACAGGGCGGGTGCCACCACCGAGAAGGCCCTCTGCCTGGTTCCCTGTAACTTGGCTTCTCGCAGCAAGGGAACCGCCAGAAGGCCCTCGGTGCTGGACCTCAGTGTCCGGGATGAATGATGGGGGTGGAGATGCTCCTTCAGGTATACTGGACCGAGGCCGTTTAAGGCTTTCAAGGTCAGCACCAACATTTTGAATTGTGCTTGGAAACATACTGGGAGCCAATGTAGGTCTTTCTTGGATATCACAAAAGGGGGAAAGGAGCAGTTTTTTCTTATAGCAGTTGCAAACTTTTCCTTTTGCTTCCTCCCTTCAGCCCCTGACGCCAAAGGAGGCAAACGGCGAGATTCTGGGATACAGCCTTCACTCACAAAAGAGAGGGGAGCCCGCGATGTTGCAATGCTTCACTCCAAACCTGCAGTGTAGCCTTCTCCTCCCGGCCAGAGAGGAATTTACGTTCTTTGTGGTGGCCACTAACATGGTGGGCATGTCTCCTCCGACCAAACTCGTAGTCCCGCCATCCGGCGGTCAAGAAGGTGAAGTAGGAGGGTGGGGAACAGCAAATGCCATTTTTAGGTAAAGGGACCCCTGACCATTAGGTCCACTCGTGACCAACTCTGGGGTTGCGGCGCTCATCTCGCTTTACTGGCCAAGGGAGCTGGCGTACAGCTTCCGGGTCAAGTGGCCAGCAGGACTAAGCCACTTCTGGCGAACCAGAGCAGCGCACGGAAACACTGTTTACCTTCCCGCCGGAGCGGTACCTATTTATCTACTTGCACTTTGACGTGCTTTCGAACTGCTAGGTTGGCAGGAAATGCCATTTTTACCTTTGTGCAATAGGCTGGATTCTACCCACATTCGCACAGCAAGAGCTTTTGTCAAGCAAGCAAGACTTCACGGACACATTCCTTAGGCCCAGGCTATCCGAAGGACCGCATCCTCCCATAGGGGAGCGGGTGGCGCTGTGGTCTAAACTACCCATCCTCCTGGGTTTGCCGATCAGAAGGTCAGCAGTTCGAATCCCCACAACAGAGTGAGCTCCTATTGCTCCGTCCCAGCTCCTGCCAACCTAGCAGTTCGAAAGCACGCCTGCACAAGTAGATAAATAGGTTCCACTGCAGCAGGAAGCTAAACGGCGTTTCCGTGCACTCTGTTTCCGTCACATGTCCCGTTGCACCAGAAGCGGTTTAGTCCTGCCGGCAACACAACCCGGAAAGCTGTCTGCGGACAAACGCTGGCTCCCTCGCCCCAAAAGCAAGATGAGCACCGCAACCCCATAGTCGCCTTTAACCGGACTTAACCGTCCAGGGGTCCTTTGCCTTATCCTCTTGTACGAACCTGCCCTGAGACTTTTTGGGGAAGCTCTGCTCTATGGCACGCTTGGGGGTGGGGAATGAGGGAGAAGGCCTTCTCGGCTGTTGCTCCTAATCTTCGGGTCTTCTGACCAAACTGGCATTTTGGAATGTTGGTGAGCATTCCGTGACGTTCTTTTTTTTTTGCTCCTAGCTCTCCTGTCCCCGCTGCCCATCCTGGTGTCTCCAGCAGGGGACCACAGCCTCCTCTTACGCTGGCCCCTCCCAAGCAACCCAGTGACAGTCTACATTTTCGAATGGGGTCAACTACCCGCAAAAGAGGGCAGAGATATATCCTGGCATTATCAGCCAGCGAGCGTTGGCCATGCGCTCATCACAGGTGAGTCAACCGTGTGACGCAGCAGCAAAAGAAGCTAATGCGATTATTGGCTGCATCAGCAGAATTCCGGTGATGGGGGGGGGCAGGGAAACCCAAACGTTTTGGGCTAATTTCCCTCTTGTGGAATCTTTTTATTCCTTTCCAGAAGCAATCAAGCCAGGAAAGCTCTATGAACTGAAAGTTTTCACCCTCGTAGATGGCAAAATCTGGGCTTCGGGTTCGACCAGTGCTTACTCCAAACAGATTGGTAGGTGGGACCAGAAAGTATTCCATTATTCCATCCATCGAAACTTATTTGTTGTTGTTGTTCATTCGTGTCCGCCTCTTCGTGACCCCCTGGACCAGAGCACGCCAGGCGCTCCTGTCTTCCACTGCCTCCCACAGTTTGGTCAAACTCATGCTGGTAGCTTCGAGAACACTGTCCAACCATCTCGTCCTCCGTCATCCCCTTCTCCTCGTGCCCTCCATCTTTCCCAACATCAGGGTCTTTTCCAGGGAGTCTTCTCATGATGTGGCCAAAGTCTGGATAGTCTTCTCAAAGGTACCAGCATGAGTCTGACCAAACTGTGGGAGGCAGTGGAAGACAGGAGCGCCTGGCGTGCTCTGGTCCAGGGGGTCACGAAGAGGCGGACACGACTAAACGACTAAACAACAACAACAATATAATAAACACCTAACTACAAGTTCCTGGTTCCTGCTTTGTCCATCCTGTCTGCAGCCAAGTTGCCAATTGCATCGCAAACTCTGCATTTACTCTGCTAGGTCTGGCTAAGGTCCTGCAACAAGTCAGAAAGTTGCGAAACACCAATAGGTTTTGCCAATAGGAGACAGGAATACTAAAGCAAGCAATGAGGAGAGAAACTAGCCATCAAATCACATATCATGTCTGTGGCCACAGCATGAACCACAAAAATCATACATCCACTGTTTCATTCAGAATATTTTTTTCTTGTTTTCCTCCTCTAAAAACTAGGTGCATCTTATGGGGCGACAAATACGGTAACTGCAGAGTTTGATTTGTGTGTCTGTGGCACTGTGCGTTAAACCACAGAGCCTAGGGCTTGCCGATCAGAACGTCGGCGGTTCGAATCCCCACAATGCGGTGAGCTCCCGTTGCTCGGTCCCAGCTCCTGCCAACCTAGCAGTTCGAAAGCACGTTAAAGTGCAAGTAGATAAATAGGTACCACTCCGGCAGGAAGGTAAACGCCGTTTCCATGCGCTTATCTGGTTCGCCAGAAGAGGTTTAGTCCTGCTGGCCACATGACCCGGAAGCTGTACGCCGGCTCCCTCGGCCAATAAAGCGAGATGAGCGCCGCAACCCCAGAGTTGGTCACGACTGGACCTAATGGTCAGGGGTCCCTTTACCTTTACCTTTAAACGGATACTCATCTTTCGCCCTCTCCTCTCCTCCCCCCCTTTCCTTCCTCCTTCCCTCTTTCTCCAGCTCCACTGCGTGCGCCGACATTATATCCCGTCCGAGTCTGGAAGTCCCGGGTCGAGTTGCAGTGGGAGATTCTCCCTTTGGAGGAACGCGGAGGCGTGATACGGAACTACACCGTCTTCTACAAAAAAGAGGGTGACAACGAGCATAGTAAGGGTGTGATTCGTTCTGTTCTGACAGGGAACACGCCCCCCCCCCATCACCAAAAATGTGGCTGTGGTTGCTTTAACATTTTTTTAAAAGACACACCAAGTTTCTAGACCTCATGGCAAGGGTAGGCAAACTAAGGCCCGGAGGCCGGATCCGGCCCAATCGCCTTCTCAATCCGGCCCACGGACGGTCCAGGAATCAGTGTGTTTTTACACGAGTAGAATGTGTGCTTTTATTTAAAACCCATCTCTGGGTTATTTGTGGGGCATAGGAATTCGTTCATTATTATTTTTTTCAAAATATAGTCTGGCCCCCCACAAGGTCTGAGGGACAGTGGACCGGCCCCCTGCTGAAAAAGTTTGCTGACCCCTGCCTTAAGGAGGTGAAAGGCATGTTTCATTGGGTTGAAGTAACTCACACAAAGATCTCAGGTGCTAGATGAGGGCCTAAGTTGCACCTGCAGAAACCTCAGCTCCTTGGGAAACTTTTTTTTATATTTTTAACACTGCCCCCCCACGCACAAGCAGAACAAAACCAAAGTGTTCCAAAACCAAGGTGCGCTTTCCCATAGAAAGCAATACAAAATGGATTAATCCGTTCCAGACTTTTAAAAACAACCCCTAAAACAGCGATTTAACATGAATTTTACTATCTAACGAGACTACCGATCCATAAAATGAAAGCAACAATCAGTGTACAGTGTTACCTCGGGTTACATACGCTTCAGGTTACAGACGCTTCTGGTTACAGACTCCCCTAACCCAGAAATATTACCTCGGGTTAAGAACTTTGCTTCAGGATGAGAACAGAAATCGCGCGGCAGCAGCAGGAGGTCCCATTAGCTAAAGTGGTGCTTCAGGTTAAGAACAGTTTCAGGTTAAGAACAGACCTCCGGAACGAATTAAGTACTTAACCCGAGGTACCACTGTACTGCACTATAAAATAAATAAGACAGTGTTGTAGATGACAAAAATTAAAATTAATTTTTTTTCCTTACCTGCACTGACGATAGTCATTGTTTGCATGGGGGGCTTTTATCCATTTCCACAGTCGCACAGTCAATCCATCAGTAGCTGAACTGGGTTCCACACAGTCACAAAAACCAATGAACCGACAAAGCCACAAAAACGCAAAATAAATAGCAAAAACAAAAGCGCCAAACTTAATCCGTTCCGGTTTGACTTCCGAAATGTTCGAAAACCAAGGCGCGGCTTCTGATTGGTGCAGGCGCCCCGGAAACAATAGCCTGTTGGGTTGAAATCACGACAGACGAATGGTGGGTGTCAAAGGAGAGACGTCTGCCCGGGGCAAGTCCCGGGAACTCTCTTTTATTGAATATTACAAACATTGCCACAGGTGTGCTTGTGGCTGATTGGCTGATACAAACACAAAGCATCTTGTTGCTGATTGGTTAACATAGGTACAAGGCGGGCATTACATATTACATTAATCAGTGATAGTTCAAAAGACTGGGAGCGGAGTTGGAACTAGACAGGCATGAATCCTCCTAATTAAATTGTAACTAAGATTAATATTGAGAGAACATAACATGAAGGAATACAACAATCACGTTCCGTAAATGTGGTCAGCAAAGCATTAAGAACAGGTCAGGGTACACTGTTTCATGAACTCAATGGGAACTGTTCAGAACATTCTCAGACTTATGTGCAGAGGCAAAAACTTCCCAGAATGTAAGAGAGAAAAGAAGCAATAGTTCTCATAGTGAGCATAGAAAGATTTCATAGTAAGACTTCCCATAATGCCACAGTTATGTGCAGTAAGAGAACTGCAGAAAGAGAACTTCACAGTGAGAGAACTGCAGAAAGAAAACTTCCCTTCAATAGCCGACAGCCGCAACGGACGCTCGGCTTCCGGAAAACGTTCGTAAACCGGAACACTTACTTCCGGGTTTGCGGCGTTTGGGAACCAAGGTGTTTGAGTCCCAAGGCGTTTGAGTCCCAAGGCGTTTGAGAACCAAGGTACCACTGTACTCACGGGGGCGAACCCAATGTCCTAATGGGAATCTGAAAAACAGGACCCAAGCACAACGCCACTCTACCCTCTTGGTGTTTCTTGCAACTGGTCTTCAAAAGTATCGCAGCCTCCTCTGACTATGGCTGGTAGCCATTTTGTAGCCTTCTTCTGGCCTCAGGAACAGCCCCTCTGTCTTGTTTTCCAGCGGCGGTTGTCCTGGACAGCTCCGTACACGGCTACCTCATTGAAGGCCTGGCTCCTAGCTCCGCCGTGACGGTCTTCATCACCGTCGCCAACGATGGAGGGAGCACAGACGGACCCGTTCTGACCATCCACACCAAGGACTCCGGTGAGGGAACATGGTGGGGTTTCCTGGGGTTGCATTTTCGCTCCGTCCCTGCGTCCGAAGTGTTGCCGCCTTTCCCATTCAGCCCCGTGCTTGCGCCTTTAATAATAGTTTATTATTTATACCCCGCCCATCAGGCTGAGTTTCCCCAGCCACTCTGGGCGGCTTCCAATCAAGTGTTAAAAACAATACAGCATTAAATATTAAAAACTTCCCTGAACAGGGCTGCCTTCAGATGTCTTTTAAAAAGAAGATAGCTGCTTATTTTCTTTACATGTGAAGGGAGGGCGTTCCACAGGGCGGGTGCCACCACCGAGATGGCCCTCTGCCTGGTTCCCTGTAACCTTACTTCTCGCAATGAGGGAACTGCCAGAAGGCCCTCGGCGCTGGATCTCAGTGTCCGGGCAGAACAATGGAGGTGGAGACGCTCCTTCAGGTATACTGGACCGAGGCCGTTTAGGGCTTTCAAGGTCAGCACCAACACTTTGAATTGTGCTCGGAGACTTACTGGGAGCCAATGCAGATCTCTCAGGACCAGTGTTATGTGGTCCCGGCGGCCACTCCCAGTCACCAGTCTAGCTGCCGCATTCTGGATTAATTGCAGTTTCCGGGTCACCTTCAAAGGTAGCCCCACGTAGAGCGCATTGCAGGAGTCCAAGCGGGATATAATAGGGTCCTCTTCCGCCAGGCAGTAGGAAGCTGCATTCTGGAAGCTGCCAGACCATTGGAGTAGCATGACAACAGCCTTACAACTTATTATATGGCAAGATAAGATACGGAGAAGCAGAAGGCCTGCTCAAGATCCAGCAACTTTTTGTACTGATCCATAAAACTATCCAAGCGACCCGTTTACTGGATACCCCCTCTAAAAGAGGCAGCCGTGGGGTTATTTTCATAGAAGCCCATGTTTTACCCCCATTTACTTGCTCGTTGGGACGCAGGTAGCTCTGTGGATTAAACCACAGAGCCTAGGACTTGCTGATCAGAAGGTCGGCGGTTCGAATCCCCGCGACGGGGTGAGCTCCCATTGCTCGGTCCCTGCTCCTGCCAAGCTAGCAGTTCGAAAGCACGTCAAAGTGCAAGTAGATAAATAGGTACCACTCTGGCAGGAAGGTAAACGGCATTTCCGTGCGCTGCTCTGGTTCGCCAGAAGCGGCTTAATCATGCTGGCCACATGACCCGGAAGCTGTACGCCGGCTCCCTCGGCCAGTAAAGTGAGATGAGCGCCACAACCCCAGAGTCGGCCACGACTGGACCTAATGGTCAGGGGTCCCTTTACCTTTACCTTTTACTTGCTCGTTACAGTTGCTCTACACTGAATCAGTCAATTTATTTGTTTCTTTGTTTTATTTGCGTTTCTGATACATTTCAACAGAAGGGGAAACCGAAAGTAATAAAAACTAAGGTGGGGGAAGAGTTACATATTACATATTCTATTACATTCAAAAATACACTCCAAGGACTCAGCTACATTAGTAAAAGGAGGTGGGCAGGTGTGGGGACTCCCTGGTCCTGAATGGGGTAACTGTGCCCCTGAAGGACCAGCTGCGCAGCCTGGGAGTCATTTTGGACTCACAACTGTCCATGGAGGCACAGGTCAAATCTGTGTCCAGGGCAGCTGTTTATCAGCTTCATCTCGTACGCAGGATGAGACCCTACCTGCCCGCAAACTCTCTTGCCAGAGTGGTGCATGCTTTGGTTATCTCTCACTTGCACTACTGCAATGCGCTCTGTGTGGAGCTACCTTTGAAGGTGACCCGGAAACTATAATTAATCCAAAATGCGGCAGCCAGACTGGGGACTGGGAGCGGCCGCCGAGACCACATAACACCGGTCTTGAAAGACCTACACTAGCTCCCAGTACGTTTCCGAGCACAATTCAAAGTGTTGGTGCTGACCTTTAAAGCCCTAAATGGCCTCGGTCCTGTATACCTGAAGGAGCGTATCGACCCCCAACGTTCTGCCCGGACACTGAGGTCTTGCGCCGAGGGCCTTCTGGCAGTTCCCTCCCTGCGAGAAGTGTGGTTACAGGGAACCAGACAGAGGGCCTTCTTGGCAGTGGTACCTGCCCTGTGGAACACCCTCCCACCAGATGTCAAAGAGGAAAATAACTACCAAACTTTTAGAAGACACCTGAAGGCAGCCCTGTTTAGGGAAGCTTTTAATGTTTAATAGGTTATTGTATTTTAGTGTTTTGTTGGAAGCCGCCCAGAGTGGCTGGGGGTCCCAGCCAGATGGGCGGGGTATAAATAATAAATTATTATTATTATTATTATTATTATTATTATTATTATTATTTTATTTTAAAAAACACACCACAGTGTTTTGAATGCATTACAAACATGCATCACCAGATGGCGCAGCAGAGCAGAAAACTTTTATGTACTGTTTTACATAGTGGTTCCCAACCCCCTGTAATTCTGTGAAATAAACAATGCTGTGGCTGTATCCATGTGGATGGCAGGAGCGGGTGGCGTTGGTTTCTCTTTGCTGAATGCCCCGGCCTCCAAGATCTGAAGTTCCCTCTTTCTCCCTCTGCTTTCTCGGCAGATTACGGCGAAACCGAAATTCTGTCCTCCGTCCTTTGCGTGGGGTTCCTCTTCATTCTGCTTGCTGGATCCCTGGCCTGCCTCTGGAAGCATCAGTTGTGCGTGTCCATAAAGCATCGCCTTCCCCATCCCACTAGGCCCAACCCGTCGTTTGCTAGGGCTCCCAACTTTTTCTTCTCTCTCTCTTTTAAAAATAACATCCTCCAGAGAGGGCTTAAAGGAATCATTTTGCCACTTGGGACTGCATGACTCAAGAAAACACCCTGAGCATAGCTGTCAAGCGTCCCTTATTTGGTGGGAAAGTCCCTTATCCCAGCGCCATGTCCCGCTGCTGTTCCTTATTGATGGATGTCCCTTAAATTTCCCAGGTTTCCAAGGGAGCAGCTCCTCTCCCTCCCTCCTTGCTGGCCAGGGAGGAGGGAGGCTCCAACTGTGTTGCTTGGCTGCCCAGTCCGCCCCCCTCCGGCCTCCTTTCACCAGCCTCGGCCCCCGGGAGCCCCTCGCCGCCGGGACTGGCGGGAGCCTCGGGCCCTTCCGCCACCATCCTCCTCGCGGCCGCCAAACTGAGCATCTCTGCCTGGGGCCTCCCCTCTGCCTGTCACCGCTGCTCCCACTAGGCCATACTGCAGCTGCGCCACCGAAGGACCCGGATGAGATGGGCAGCCTGGCATGGCCTATGAATTGTTGAGGAGCCCTGAGAGGAGAGCGAGGGCAACCATAGAGAAAGCAGTTCAGAGAGAGGAGGAAGAGGAGGAGGCGGAGGAGCAGGCAGGTGTTCCAAGGGCTACAAGGGAAGGACCGCAAGCGCTTCTCCCATAGATTTGTAGTGGTAGACTAGCATAGATGGTCTGATCTGCGGGTTTACTTCGGGCGCTATTTCCCCCCCCCTTCCTCCCGCCCCGCCTGATGGAACTGAGAGCTGCAGATGGAGCACGAGAGAAAAGATACAGAACTGCAGCAGCAGCATCTTCGTAGCTCGGACTTCGTTTTGCACGAAAAGTGGTTGCTGCTTGTAGTTATTTAATTGCAGTGTTTCATCGGCTGGTGCCTTGAGCAGCAACCTCTGGAAACGAAGGGCTAAAACCGGCGCTGCTCTCCAAAATTACCTGGTCCCTTTTAACTGGTTGACTAAAATCCCTTATTTTGGCTGCTGGTCCCTTCTTTTCAAATCTGTAAGTTGACAGCTATGACCCTGAGCCCCTTTCTACACCGGCCTGTGGGAAAGTCTCTCCCTTCTGGACTACGGCTTCCATCAGCTCCAGTCATTGTAGCCATCTCAAACTACAACTCCAGCCAGCCTCTAGCCAGCAGGGCTGTTTCAAACTACAACTCCCATCAGCACTGGCCAGCGTGCCAACTTGGGCTGGTGGGCGTTGTCGTCCAAAAGTATCTAGAGAGAACCAGTTTGGCAGAGGCTGGCATGCCCCATGCCAGGGCTCAGTGGGGCTTCCTCAGAAGCACATTTCAGAAGCCTGGGGCCACCACCGAGGCAGCCCTGTCCACACACACACCCCCTCAGCTTGCTTGTTTAGGGAAGCTTTTAATGTTTGATGCATTAATGTATTTTAATATTTTGTTGGAAGCCGCCCAGAGTGGCTGGGGAAGCCGAGCCAGATGGGCGGGGTATAAAATTATTATTATTATTATTATTATTATTATTATTATTATTATTATACGAGTCTCATTCTGCGAAAGAGACACTTTGAAACTGAACCAAAATCTTCTGCCTCCTAGGCAGAAACTAGATTTTGCTTTCCTCTTTAATTGTCAGAACTCATTTCAGTTGAAGTCCTTTTTTTCCTTTTCTATCTCCCACTTCCACTCTTTTAACTAAAGTCTCTGGATTTTTCAGGCTTCGGAAGTACCTGTGGCCGCCGATTCCTGACCCGGCAAAAAGCAACCTTGCTACATGGGCACCGCAAAAATGTGTCTGGTGAGTAATAAATAATAATAATAATAATATAATAATAATAATAATAAATAATTTTTATTTATACCCCGCCCTCCCTGGCCAGAACCACTGGGCTCAGGGCGGCTAACACCACTAAAATGACAATAAAACATAATAGAAGAAAGAAAAAAATTGTTAATTAAAATATGGGTTAAAATATGGGTTAAAATACAATTTAAAATGCAGCCACATTTCAGTAGTAGCCCATAAATCAAAACCATAAGGGGAGAAAAACATAAAGGCCAAGTGGAACAGCTCCGTCTTGCAGGCCCTGCGGAAAGATGTCAAATCCCGCAGGGCCCTGGTCTCTTGTGACAGAGCGTTCCACCAAGTCGGGGCCAGTACTGAAAAGGCCCTGGCCCTAGTTGAGACCAATCTAACCTCCTTGCGGCTCGGGACCTCCAAAGTGTTGCTATTTGTGGGCATACCAGGATAGTGTTGTTTGGGTGGGTGGCTTGGATTGGCACCAAAGGGATTTTCCTCGCCCACCCCCCAAGGCAGTTAAAGGCGCCTTCATACACAGCCTGTCTTCTGTGACCTAAGAGCAGTTCAGCCAATCGCTGAGCAGGGGCGTTAGAAAAGCATTGCAGCCCAATTAGAACATGGAACCAATGGCATTAAGGACTCAGCCAATGGGATCATTGGCCAGCACAGCGCTTCTGTGACATAAGGGCAGTTCAACCAATCACTGAGCAGAGGCTGTAACAATCGCTGAAACCAAGCGATCTGCAATATGGACACGACGCTAGTTCAACCAGAGAGTCAGAATTTTTAAAGGACACACCTTAAAGCCCCTTCTTGTCCTGAAGGAGCGTCTCCACCCCCATCATTCTGCCCGGACGCTGAGGTCCAGCGCCGAGGGCCTTCTGGCGGTTCCCTCATTGCGAGAAGCAAAGCCACAGGGAACCAGGCAGAGGGCCTTCTCGGTGGTGGCACCCGCCCTGTGGAACGCCCTCCCACCATATGTCAAAGCGATAAACAACTACCTGACATTCAGAAGACATCTTAAGGCAGCCCTGTTTTTAATGTGTGACATTTTAGTGTATTTATGGTCTCTGTGGAAGCCGCCCAGTGGCTGGGGAAACCCAGCCAGATGGGTGGGGTACAAATAAAAAATTATTATTATTATTATTATTATTATTATTATTATTATTATTATTATATTATTTAGGATTTCTCTCCTTGTCGCCCTGAGAAATGGAGTCGAGATTATCTCACCTTGACCATCACCGACCTCTTGAGAGTCCTCCCCTCCCAGTCGGAGGAGATGGGGAGGAAGGCGTTTTTGGGGAACCAGTGGCTGGTGGATGTTCCCAGGCCTTTGCAGAAGTCAGCCCCCATGACCAGAAATGGGAGCCCCTCCTGGACAAGCGGGGGGCAGCCCCAGAAGAACATGTCCACCTGGAGCCGAGTGGACTACTCTAGAGTCATCGTGGTCCAAAAGAACCATGGTCCAAGTGATACTCAGAGAAGTCCTCACCATTCGCAGTCTTCCTCCAAGAGTCAGGATACTGAAAACTCTGCTCTCGGATCAAGGTCTGGCCAAGGGGTCTGGTTGCAGAATTTCACCTATGAGGGCCTGCTGGATGTTGCGCCAGGCAGCAGGGTGTTCGGGTCCGTGGGTGAATTTCCACTCCTGGTGAGTCTGGTGGAGGGAATTCTCCAACCGGCTGAAAGCCCGCAAGGGACTCTGAGGAGGAAACCCTAGCTTATCTCGCAAGGATCTCGCAAGACCTCCTGATACGAGCTTTCTCGCTGCTCAGCTTTATTATCGTAAAACTAACCTGCTGGGAAAGGCGTACGACAAGGCTGTATATTGTCTCCCTGCTTATTTAACTTATATGCAGAATTCATCATGCGAAAGGCTGGGCTGGATGAATCCCTAGCTGGAATTAAGATTGCCGGAAGAAATATATCAACAACCTCAGATATGCAGATGACACAACCTTGATGGCAGAAAGTGAGGAGGAATTAAAGAACCTTTTAATGAGGGTGAAAGAGGAGAGCGCAAAATATGGTCTGAAGCTCAACATCAAAAAATGAAGATCATGGCCACTGGGCCCATCACCTCCTGGCAAATAGAAGGGGAAGAAATGGAGGCAGTGAGAGATTTTACTTTCTTGGGCTCCATGATCACTGCAGATGGTGACAGCAGCCACGAAATTAAAAGACGCCTGCTTCTTGGGAGAAAAGCGATGACAAACCTAGACAGCATCTTCAAAGCAGAGACATCACCTTGCCAACAAAGGTCCATATAGTTAAGGCTCTGGTTTTCCCAGTAGTGATGTATGGAAGTGAGAGCTGGACCATAAAGAAGGCTGATCGCCGAAGAACGGATGCTTTTGAATTCTGGTGCTGGAGGAGACCCTTGAGAGTCCCATGGACTGCAAGAAGATCAAACTGATCCATTCTTAAGGAAATCAGCCCTGAGTGCTCACTGGAAGGACAGGTCGTGAAGCTGAGGCTCCAGTAGTTTGGCCACCTCGGGAGAAGAGAAGACTTCCTGGAAAAGACCCTGATGTTGGGAAAGATGGAGGGCGCAAGGAGAAGGGGACGACAGAGGACGAGATGGTGGGACAGTGTTCTCGAAGCTACAAACATGAGTCTGACCAAACTGCGGGAGGCAGTGGAAGACAGGAGGGCCTGGCGTGCTCTGGTCCAGGGAGTCACGAAGAGTCTGACACAACTAAATGACTAAACAACAACAACAACAACAACAACAACAACACCAACATTATGGAAGAAACGTCTTGAAATAGTAAGATTTGACCGTGGAACCAGTGACCTGGTGCGAGTGGCTGGGCTCTCCATCAATGCCGTAGAAATATCTGGATTTCCTATAGGACTCCTCCTGCTCTTCTGCGTTATACATTTAAAGGAGTGCGATATTGCACAAAAGAGCCACAGGTTCCCCAAAAGAATTCTGGGAGCCGTAGTTTGTTAAGGGTGCCCAGAGTTGTCCCCTCACAGAGCTATATTTCCAGAGTGGCTTATCCATCAGTCACTCTTTCCAGAGAACGCTGGGAATTGTAGTTCCGGAAGGGGAATAGCACCTGGAACAAACTACGTTTCCCAATAGCACCCGGAACAAACTACATTTCTCAGCACCCGGAACAAACTACATTCCCCATTATTCTTTGACTGTTTAAAGATGGCTTGAAATGTATAGTGCAGCTTAGGACCTTATGGATTAAATCTTTGCTCCTTCTTGCGGAATTCCAAATCGTTTACCCCAATATTACAGTCAAATGTCAATAATAATAATGCAACTAGTACAACTCCTTGCAGGGACGCGGGTGGCGCTGTGGGTTAAACCACAGAGCCTAGGACTTGCCGATCAGAAGGTCGGCGGTTCGAATCCCCGCAATGGGGTGAGCTCCCGTTGCTCGGTCCCTGCTCCTGCCAACCTAGCAGTCTGAAAGCACGTCAAAGTGCAAGTAGATAAATAGGTACTGCTCCGGCGGGAAGGTAAACGGCGTTTCCGTACGCTGTTCTGGTTTGCCAGAAGCGGCTTAGTCATGCTGGCCACATGACCTGGAAGCTGTACGCTGGCTCCATCGGCCAGTAAAGCGAGATGAGCGCCGCAACCCCAGAGTCGGCCACGGCTGGAACTAATGGTCAGGGGTCCCTTTACCTTACCTTTACAACTCCTTGCAATGCAGGAATCCCAGCTAAACAATCCCAGACCATCCGACTTCTTCTGAAAAATCTCCAACGAAGGAGAGTCTGTTTGCCCAGCGACACACTTTGTACAGTCAGAAAGTTCTTCCTGGTGTCTAGAGAGGGAGAGAAGGAAGAACGGGGAGGAAAGTTTTGGGGAGGAAAGTTTTGCTCGGAAGTGAGGTTTCTTACGAGAGGCAAGAAGGCAGAAGGAGAGCTCAAGGAGAACATCTGTAGACAAAAGGATGAGTCACGCTGCTGAAGGGGAAGAAAATAAAATACTTAACTGTTCCTGAGAGATGGGCAACTGCTCCTGCAATTGAAAAGGGCAAGGCCAATGGAACCGTAGGGGCTGGCTTGTGTGTAGGGGGGCAGATCCTGAAAGGTCTCGCTGCTTCATTATTTTGGAGACAATAAGGTGCTGGCGAAGACTCTCAAGAGAGTAGGATTCTGAGCTGGAGAGCAGCAAGGGAAAAAAGGGGTATTCAAATCCATTGTGCCGCCAAGGAGAGTCGTAGGAGAGGCTACGGATCAGGGCCTTGGGGTGGCGGGGAGACTTACTGTATTTTTCGCTCTATAAGACACACTTTTTCCCTTCTAAAAAGTAAGGGGAAATGTGTGTGCGTCTTATGGAGCGAATGCAGGCTGCGCAGCTATCCCAGAAGCCAGAACAGGGAGATGGACACTGTGTCTCGCTGTTCTAGCTTCTGGCTTAGCTGCGCAAAGCCTCCACAGGGCAGCGGGATGAAGGCACCCCGCTGCCCTGCAGAGGCTTCACAGGCTGTCCCAGAAGCCAGAACAGCGAGACGGAGCGCAGCGCAGCACTCCCTCTCCCTGTTCTAGCTTCGGGGTTAGTGGTGCAAAGTTTCTGCAGGGTAGCGGGGTGCCTTCATCCCGCTGCCCTCCGGAGGCTTCGCGCAAAGCTAGACCAGCTATCCCAGCGGCTATCCCAGAAGCCAGATCCCTCTTGCTGTTCTGGCTTCTGGGATTCAGAATTTATTTTTTCTTGTTTCCTCCCCCCCAAACTAGGTGCGTCCTATCGTCTGGTGCGTCCTATAGAGCAAAAAATACGGTAACTCAGAGGAACGGGCACAAAGGGAAGTTTGTTGTGGAGTGGGAAGGTGGGAGATGAGAAATGAAGGAGAGCTTGGCTACAAGATCAGGCACAAGGAATGGATCAACGCAGGATCCTGCCCTCACCGGGCCAAGCTGCAGAATTTGTCCGTGCGAGGTTTTGCACAGCACGCTGGAATCCTGAAGGAGATTGCTTGCTTGTCTGCTGCGCTTTGAAAATAAAGCTAAAAGATGAAAACACTCCGCCTGCGTT